GATACGGATAGTGAGCCTGAGTTGCCTTATACACAACGGCATTCAGGGAGGGTTCGGAAGCGCTCAAGTAAGCTTGATGGTTATGAAATTGAGAGTGATAAACGCCGTAGAACTTAAAGCTATATAACGTATATTAGTTCCTCAAAGAATAAGATATTTCTATTAAGATTTGATGTTATTTAGCCTGTTTAAATGATTACTCCTGGTTATATTTATTTTCTATAATACTAAGCTGTAAACCAAATACTAAATAATACAGCTGAGAAATACATATTTTATGCAACTCTAGGGATTTCCCTGTTTGTCCTGTTTGTCGGCCCTCAAAATGTTTGGAGGGCCGCCCTCTGAGGGCAAGAAAATAACCTGCCCGACCCGCGGGTAGGCGTCGCTTGCCCTCCGCCCGCAAAAGTGCGGGTCTGCGGGCGGCCCTCAGAGGGCCGCTCGCGGGCGGTTATGAGGTCTAGAGGTGTTTCTCTAGTGATACGAGATAGTAGGCGAAAGCGCGTAGGTCCTAGTTCGGATATATCTCGGCTTTTTAGTAGAGGATAAGGATATCGGTAACGATATTATAGGAGTTATAAAGTAGGGTTTTTGTCTATTCTTTAAAAGCTTCCTAGTTCTTTTCGTCTTTAGGGTAGTTTGATAAATGATTTTACCACTTATTTTTGTAGGAACTACAGAGGTAGTTTTCAGCGGTAAGGACCTTCTAGGAATCCGAGATATATTTCTTAGGTGTACCTTTGAAAAGCGTATTAAGGTTAGTTAGCTATTCCTCTCTCTGTCGGATACCGAAACTCTCTTCGAATTTTTCGATATCTCGCTTAATCTCCCCTTTCTAGCTTTATTCGCTTTCCGTTAAGGGTTCGCGACTGTTTCGGTAGCGATTTAGCTCCTTCCTATTCTCTGCGAGGAGCTTTTGTACTATAATAAGTCGATTTTATAGCTCAGCTTATTTCTCTAGTTAAAGGATCGTTTCCTATAGTTAAGCTACAGTTATTGTGATTTACTCAGGGGTTTAGCCTATTGATTCGGCCTATAGATCCGGGGTTTCGAGGTTTTAGGAAACCGATAGGGGTTCCTCCCCTTCTGCTGATAGAGTTGATTCCGGATCGTTACTAGCTCAAGGGTTTTCCCTTAGCTTATTAGGAACTAATATTCTAGTACAAGGAGCTATTGTATCTTAAGCAGTTAAAGAAGAAGAATTAGAATTGTAATAGTATACTAGTCTTAGGTGTAAGGCCTATCAACCGGGTAAGATATAAGGACTCGGTGAGAGGAGACGAATACAATATATTGTGTGGAACTGTCTTAAGACTAATTCTTATAGGAGTAAGTGGGATCTAGGGGGATCCTAGACTATAGGGTAAACCATCTGATCGACTAACGTGGCCGTTATATAACGAACCCCTCACGATCAGGTCACGATACTTGGCTGATTATATATTGGTCCTATATCAGCTGACTCCCGTATTGTCGGTCTCTAGGTTATAAGGATCTTTATCCGTTACACTATTGACTCCTTTAAACTACCGAATAGCCCGGTGGTTATTCGAATCCCTTATCTTATATATATTATCCAGCTAAGCCTTCGCGAGCTACTTAGATTAGTGAAGGCCGATCCCTAGAACGATACTACAGATCGGAATATTTCTAATATCTAAGCCTAAGCCTAAGCTCGATCGCTCTATACTTCACAGAGTAAATAAGTTATTGTATAAACCCTTATTAAGGTAAGTGTATTACTTTGTTTATTACTTAATATATCTAATAAATATCTAGATTCGAGGGCTTACTGTGTTTATTAATATAAGCCCCTAACGTCGCGATAATTTCTTCCGTCTCTAGACTAATAGAGTAAAACTTACGCTAATCTAAGATATCCGTACCCGCTGGAATTCTACCTTCTTAATACTTCGTTGTGCGAAACGCCTTAGTAAGCCCTGCGATAAATACTGTAATAATATTAGGACTCAGAAATATAAACTCAGTAAGGTAGAATAGCGGTAGGTCGACTACCTTCTATATATTACAGAGCCGTTCTACCGCTTTACTACAGTACTTTCAAAGACTAAAGAGATAATAGTATATTATATTTTTAGTATTTATAACACCCTCTTTAAGTACTTCGAGGAATCGATTGTATAACTTACTCCGAAAACTATACCTTAGAAGAAGGCGATACTATAAGCCCTCAATACTAGGATAGTAAAGCTTACCTCTTACTATATAAAGACGAAAGAGATCTATAGTAGTCTCTACGCGATTAGAACAATTCTTATACCCTAGTATAAGCTTCACTTCTTCTTAAGTAAGGTATAGGGTATATCGGAGAACGATATAAACTAGAGTGATTAGTATAAGGAAACGCTTCGCTAGTTTATAGCTCCTTATACCTAAAGATACACTTAGATACGGTCCCTACGAGAAGAGTAACCCCCTAAGCGTTACTTAGCTAGTATAAGTGACCTAGACGCCCTCCTTAACCTTCTACCTTATATCCACTCTGATCTATTAACGTCGGAGTACGAACTTACTAGATACCTTAAAAAGCGTATATTATATTCACTGTTATTATAAGCGGGAATACTAATACCTATAATAGTAAGGAGAAAGGTCGATCCTTTACAATTCTAGAAGGAATATAAGAATAAATTCCTAATTCTTTTAAGTGTTACTCGCGATATTCTCTCTATTCCTACAATAGGCGCTAGAGTTAAATATCTTTTTAATTCAGCACAGGATATCTACCACTACCGACGTAGGCAGCTGAGTGCGAAGACAGTCTAGGATATTATAATATTCCGGTGTAAAACCTAGTTCGATATTAAAATAGAAGAACTACCCGATAAGGATATATCCTTAGATTTAATATAAGAAGCAGACGAACAGAGAGAGGCGGAGCTTACCACTGATATACCTAAACCAATCAGCGATAGTAAGGATTCTAAGGATAATAATCCTATTAGACTGATCGAGTATAAGTTTATAATAGAGAGTTAGCTTCCTCGTCCTTCTATAGTGCTAAGTACACGGAAGCGATAGAGAAGTAAGCTAGTCGACAGCGAAGATAAGAGTAGTCCTTATCTCCCTTATTATAGAGATAAGGGTAGTACTTAAAAGCGCCCTAGTTTAAGAGAAGTAAGGAAGCGTAGTAAACCCAATAATAATCAATTTATATTATATTAGTGTGAATATATAACTATAATAAATACCTAAGTTATTATACAAAGGCTTCTAAGGCTTATTTCTAACCCCGGTCAAAAAAGTGACAATATATCAAGTTATTGTATAAAGGCTTCTAAAGCTTATTTCTAACCTCGGTTAGAAAATTGACTGTGGTGTTAAGTTATTGTACAAAGGCTTCTACAGTTTATTTTTCTGACCGAGGTTAGAAAATTGACAGTAGTATTAAGTCATTGTATATATAATCGAATTACTCAAAAATACAGAGAAAAAATACACAAATAATATAGGTCACGAGGTTAAGAAATTCTGCTTACTAAAAAGGCCTATAGGCGCCCACGGTGTCTATAGACAATAGGCCCTAAGGGTAGGGCCCGTCTATAGGCGTATAGATAGTGCCTATCGCCCGCTTATATAAGGCCCGTGGGCACTGCCCACCCGCCCGTCTATAGGCGATGTCGCAGTCTATTCCTCTATATACTCGCTTACCGAGTTATAGTCTAATCGTTTTATTTTATTAAACTTTCGTATCTCGAGAAATACCGTTTGTATCAGATCACTACCCTATATTATTGCTATAAGCTTATCGTATAGATTATCGGTATACTTAGGTATTTTTAATAGATTTCGTAGCTTGTTTTATAGTGTTATATCAATTTGGTTATATATCTAGCTTACGACTAGGCGCGACCAGTACTTCTACCTTTCGAACGAAGTATACGACTTATAAGGTCGAGGAATATCGCTTTCTAGTAACTATTCTAAGGCGTATAGGATCAACTGGTAAGCTAATACCTGTTTCTAACCACTTAGATCAGTGTTATTGTACTCTAGTATCCTAACTTTCTAAATTTTGGTTATCGCAATCGTAGGCAGACTATATCCTTAATAGAACGGCTTATTCTTATCCTCACTATCGCTATTATCTTAGGCGAAATAAATCGGATTGTTCAAGGACGGGATTTCGTTAGGATCAATCGATGTATCGGGAGGAGAAGGTTACGGGTTGTTGTCCCCTATATTTCCTATATCGACGTCTATTATAATTGGTTAATATAAAGCTAGACGGAGCTTTTGCCGTCGGGGTCTCGAAGGATTTCCTGAATATTATTGGCTGGATTCGGGTCCGTGTGTTATCCCACGTATTGGGGTGGATACACTGTGGAGTCGAATCGTTAAAATTCTTCAGATGAAAATAGCTTCAGAGAAAAGAGTTGCTAGTGGTCCAACTAGCAGAGAGGGCTCATAACCTGATACGATACAAGTAGATCTTTTAGAGAAAACTGTATATATTGAAGCGGACAAAGAGGAGAGAAGAGAGGGAGAGAGAGAGGAGAAACTATCTGTGGGTTCTATCTTACATGTGATGCCTGAGGTATCCAACAGTAGGGGATACCGGGTGATCTATATTTCTGGCGGATGGAGGAGACCCCTGGTTTGATGAGGCAAATCTGGTATTGGTTCGGTTGAGCAATCTATCTATTATGACAGCAGCTAAAACTAATCAACACATGAACCAGAACTGCTTCCTCAAATAGTATATAGTAGAGTTATTTGGATTTTGATTAATAAAGATTATCTCTTCTCAGTCTCCTTTTTATCTTTGACGGCGTCCTTTTTGGGATTCGTTCTTATATTCTAGTTGACCCAGAGCTACACATATAAAGCAATTACTAAAGTTTCTAGACTTATGTATCCACCAATCACCCAGGCTGTTAAAATCCGTACTGTGTTAATATTTTCTAAAAAAAAAAGGAACTGGCGCAAGCGGCAATTATTGCTCAATATATCGATAGAAGTAATTACTTTCCCTCCTCCTATACCTTCCCATGATTCTCTAAACCAGCAGGTTCATTCTCGGCATCATCATTGAGTAAACCTAGAATATGAGAGCTGGCGTTACTCGAAAACAGCATTTTTCCGCTCTCAGTGCTGCGCTGAATCAAATCTTTACCACGTGTGAACATATCTTTTTCGTATGCGGCCAGTGCAGCTTCCAGCTTTATATCATCTACATTATCCAACGTAATGTTTCTGCCGCAGTGACTGACAAGACTCTCAGCTAGCATGACTGCATCGTACATGCTACAATTCACGCCTTCGCCAACGAAGGGAGTAGAAGCATGAGCAGCATCCCCCAACAAGGTCACGCCGGGAGCAACGCAGCGATCCCAGCCAACAGTTTCAGGGTCAATGAAGTACAAGGGCCAGGGACGGAATGGGCCTTCCGCATTTTTGATAAATCCCTTCACGCGCGGTGCCCAATGTGCGAAGAAATCATTTGACAGAAGACGGGAACGCATTGCCTCGGTAGCTTCGGTCGGATCAGTGTCGATGGAGATCTTGCGTTGATAGAAATCTTCAGGTTCAGCCAGTCCAAAGTAAACACGATAATGGCCGTCAGATAGTTGCTGCACTGCCATCATCTTATGGTTGCCCAAGACGAGCATGTTTCCAGGCCCGACTAACTCATGAGCGACGGAGTAGCTCGGATTGTTGTGCGAGATTTTGCCCTCGATGTAGAGTTTACCAGAGTAAACTGGCCTTGTGGGTGTGAGCTTTAATGAAAGGTGTTAGCAATAGTTTTCAATAATGTGGATTCTCAGATGCATACTCACCAGAGGACGGACTTTGCTCCATACGCCATCAGCACCCACAATAAGTTGGAACCCAGTAGCAGAGGATCCATTTGTAAAGTGAATAGTGCATCCATTATTCTTCATAGGCTGCTCATCACCCTCTTTTCTCTCGATTGATTTGACACAGTGTCCCCATCGAATTTTATGCTGAGGAATCGACTCGAGCAAAAGATGGCGAAGTTGTAAGCGATCGATCTCAGGACGGTTCCCCACATCACTCATGTTGGCGATTGTCTCCCCATCTGAATTGAGGACATGCAAACATGCAGCGTCCCAACGCGCGAGTTCGTTGCTGAACTTGTCGAACAAGCCGGCTCGCTTCAGGGCTTCTTGGCCAGACTCTGTGTGCAGGTCCAGTGTTCCACCTTGCTGGTTCGGGTCTGGAAATGAGGACTGATCTCGCTCAAAGACAATGTAGTCTGTGATTCCGTTTACTTCGAGTAGTCGAGCAAGGACTAGACCGCTCGGTCCACCGCCGATAATTGCGATTGATGGAGGTGCTTCCATTGATTTTTTCGTGGTATAGTTGCGAAGTGAATGCGAGGTACCATAGAAAGGCAAGGTAGAACGAGAGATTAGTGGTATCGATGGAATTCGGTGCATGCGTCTTTTTATAATCGGGGGTGCCTTTGTCACGGCTCTCGAGATGTTGTTCAAACATACACTTGGACGGACGCTCTGGCGCAAACACACTCCCGACCGAAGAAGCAACGACTGCATAAAGCTGGCCATTTTCACTTGCGGCTTGATGAATACTGTCTTCACTCACAGATAAATTCCTGAAATCTTTTGTCGGGATCACAGTGTCCGGTAGCAGACCGGAGTAAGCTCCGAAACAAACTACTTTGATTGGTCAAAAGCGGGACTGTCCGAGATCACCCAATCAACGGCACAAATCTCGGACGATGTTCCGACTCAGACATCCCTCTCTTTCTATCTTGACTGCGAATTGTAAAGTCAATTTGCATTGGCATTCCGTTATGGAGGTTAAATCCGCTCGATTTGCAGTAGGTATCGCCAGATCACCAACAAATTCGTATCACGACCTCGCAACTGACTTGCACAGTGTACATTTTGCAGACAAAAGAAACTCAAGTATACCACACCCCCGAATTAAATCTCTTTTGGTTAAAGGTGACTCAATTGTGAAAGGTGCTCGCGGGAACTCCCAAAATGCAGTAACTGCAAGCCGTGGCCCAGTGGCTGTGAATACTCACGAGAAAAATCGAACCCCACCCTGTCAACTTCAACTCCAAGTCAAACGTGAGAATTGATCGCATCAACAATATTTTTACCAAGCTGGGGCTGACAACTCCAGAACGAGAGGTTTGGCAGTGGAAAACGAGATCGAGAGTAGATTAAAGCGACTTGAGCAAACAGTCCAGCAGTTGACAGGCTGTGTGAATCGAGTCCTGCAGACTATCACTCCTGGATTACCTCAAACTAATCCTGAAGTATCGAGTCCTTCTTGTCACACAATCACTACAGAAAATGTTGGCCCCTCACATTCTTTCTCCTTCCTGGAGGAGGCATCGGCCAACGTTGATGCAATGCGTCAGTCACCGGACAATACTACTAGCCAAAAAGCGCACTCAGAGCTTCAATATCTTTCCGGTAGATTGACCACCACAGAAATCGAGCAACAGAGTGATGGGAATGCTACCAACTTCTATATACCTTCAAAGGCAACTGGCTACCAGCTGATGGGCAGTAAGATCTCGTTTCTTAGGGAAAACAGATAAGCACTAACCCCTTGCCGCCGAAATAGAATTCTTGGAGTATAGTGAGCTCGGGGAACCGTTCTTTTCCGTTCCCTCAGACGACGTCTTAAGGCAAGTGATATTTGAACCCCACAAAGTGCGAGAAAGGGGATGGATCGCCTATTTCAACTACACGATGCTTTCCATTGCCTCCAACGAGAACGGCGAAAACGCCGAGACGAAGAATTTTCGACGCAATGTGCAACTCGCGCTGAACAATAGCAGTATATTCATAGAACCACGTTATGCAAACGTGCAGGCTCTGTGCTTCCTGGCAATGCATGGTGAGGATTATGCGGCACCAAATCTATCTTGGATGATGTTGGGACATGCGTGCAGGCAGGCCGAAGCTCTAGGATTACATTCACCAGCTTACCAGAACGAGGACTCGCGACAACAACGGCTTTGTCTCTTTTGGCTCCTCTTCCTAATAGACAAATCGTGCTCCCTCGCGTTTGGCAGACCAGCGTTTCTTCCCACGGCATTGTATCAGAACGTTTTGTTGCCAGACCAGTGTTCCTTGCTCAAGTTCAAGCCGCACGAGCGTGCTTGGTTTGGCGATGGCCAGGCGTCCGCACATGGCACGCGCTTTGGTGCTGAGATTGTCACACGTTGTATTCAGTGGGCAAAGCTCGGGGGTTCAATTGCAGATCTTCTCGCAATGGATGGCCCGGTAAATCAAAAGCAAGAGATTCGATCAAGCCTCGAGGCTTGGTACTTGGATACCACTCAGGTATGTTAAAACTATTTCCATGGGATAGAGGCTGGTGTTTTAATATTGGAGAACAGTCCCTCACAACCATCTTGGATGTTGAAAGTGCCTCTGCAACTTCCATCCAAATCAGAGAAATGACCTTGGGAATCAGCACTGTGAAGTTTCAGTACCTACATTCCCTCATTCTTCTCCTCAAGGGGGATGATTCTTCGTCAATTCTACGCCTTTCATCTGCCCGCGAGGCCATCTCTACGCTAAGCTCCATGGTATCAAATTGGAGCTCTGTATACAATGGATTAGTTTGGTAAGCGTGCATGTTTGAACTTCCATTTACAAAGCTCCTGTCGCTAATACAACCTCATAAGGCAACTTCTATATTGTCCGTTTACCCCTTTTTTTGTGATCTTCGGAAACATTATCCACAGCGATAACGCCCGGACACCTATGATCGAGCAAGACCTGGACCTTTTATCTGCCACGGTAGACTATTTCGCGGAAATGAGATCACAGATGCGCTTACTAGCAACGGTATGCTCGAGGCTGCAGCATACCGCGTCTGCTTTTCTCCGACTCGCTCAGGTTCATGTTTCTCGGCATGCCTTAACCCAGAGTGTTGAAACCCCTGCTAGGCCAGCTCAACCACCACCCATACAGTCCTCGCACAGCCACGATCATCATCCTGAAGATTCAATGGATCTTGATTTGGGACAATTCAATGTCGCCAGTTATCTCGAATGGTTACCGGCAGATATGGGCTCCCCATGGCCTATCCTTGACTCTAATCGACCTGAAGTCTCTTCTCGGCCTCGAGATAAAAGGCCTACTCTAGGAGATATGTTTGACTGGTTCTCTTGGGACACCTATTATTCGGGAACTGAGACATTAGGTGGAATATAATTTATTTTATTGTAATTTCTTTCCCAGACAATATGTGATAATATATATCCCGCGTCGCAGCACTGTCTAACACGTAACGAGGATACGAATATCGCAAAATCAACGTTTACTCGGGAGATTGAAACCCAAAATTTTAATAATCGTTATAATATCAGCTAAATCACTTCTAAAAAGGCTTTTTTATGAGCAGAGGGGGTGAGGGAGGAGAGAAAGGTATCTCTTCTTACTTCTAATTGGAAAAATTTGGTCTTGATGCAAAAAAAGCAGCCGACTATCAATTAACTGGGCTTGTGGTTTAGTGGTATAATACTCCCTTAGCATGGGAGTGGTCCAGGGTTCGATTCCCTGCAAGTCCAGATATTTTTTGTTTTTGTTCTTTTTTGCCTCGGATGTGGCTGCCAAGACATCACGCGTTGCCAATAATGCCCAGACATAAGGGTTTATTAATTATGTCTCAGATTTGGTGTTTAGACAGCATATACTATCCTAATTTGACTAGCTCTTTTCCGTCAAGCCCAACTCGTTCAACGTAAATCTTGGAAGTTGCACCTTGTCAGGGGGGATATTTTCTCCCGACCCTTATATGTATTCAGCCTCCCGCCCCCACATTGCTCGCATTCTATTTGCTCTCTGGAATCCTTTTTTTTTTTAAATTTTTAGTTGCCGAAAATGCGTTATACCTGGAGATGGGCCTCGTGGATCTTTTTTTTGATTTCAGCTTCAACTGTGTTTGCAAAAGATGACCCGGACTATAATTCATTGTCAAACTTCCGGCCTAACAATGTCACGGGTCTGAACCAGCTTTATACTTGGGTTGGATCGTATGTTTCACTCATCAATTTACACGAGCTAGACAGTTAACCAAGTGTAGTTACTACAATGGGACCACAGAAATCGAACTGAATCCAACAATTGGATATTCATCAGAGGCTCCAGTATGTCCGAATCACAGGAATCGCACCACAATCCTGAAATGGAAATCACTTTTGGCAATTACACAGCGAGGCACATACAGTTCGGGCCTCAACTCAGTTAATCTATGGCTGATCATGTTTCCGCCGAATCATAACATGTCCGACATGCCATACGAAACCCGACTGTTTGAAACCAGAGAATCCGTCATGTTCCCCATCATGTCTTCCTTGTGAGTCACATGGAGACTCTCTTCCCAAGATCCTCCTATTATCTCATAGCTACAATCCTGATTTGACCAGACCCACTTGGAAGCACCAGGAAAACATAACCGCTCCTGATCATTTCAACATGTCAACAGCGAGCCACAGTGACTCTTCCTTTACTCTTTCAGGGGAAATGTATAACAACGAGCTTTACGATGACTCAAGCGCGTCCTGGAATATGGATATTGATATGCTTGCGTGCAACACCTCCAAGTATTACGGCAATTGGAGTCTCCGGGTTTCCCAGTCATTATCATATGAGACAAGGGGCTGGAGCGACTTTGTTCTACCGAATATGACGGTGGATTTCAACACCCATGCGGCAAATCTGACCATGGACGGGGATTTCGCTGCCGCTCCATACTTGCGATCAAACAACTCAGGCTATCCGCATAGTGGCGTGATGTCGGGCACCACTCTTCAGGGTCCCATTCAAATTCGATTCCAGGGTGTTTTAGATGCTTATAATTCGGATATCCTTGACGTCAATTCGACGTCTCCAGCGTGGCTGCGGACTGTTGGCTTTGGGAATAATTCGTTGAATATCGCGAATTCATTGAGCCAAGGATGTCGTCTGCGATCTGCTCTGTGGAGTGCTCTGGTTGTTCCCATCCTTCTTGCTGTTGCTGTTCACATGTAGATCGAATGTCAAGAAACTCTGCACAACACGACTGCCAAACAGAGGGTTCAGTTTTCTGCACGTGGGAATCGTGAGTTGATTCGTGAATCAAGTTATTTGGATCATCAGACTCTATTCGGACGCGACTGGCCGCAGTTTTGATATCGATTTTAGAGAGAACCAAGATATTTGGACTCTAGGAAGACTGGCTAGAGGTGAGGGGCTAATGTGTCGACTAAAGGAGGCATCAGGTTTACTGACAGGTTTCATGATCAGATTCAATAATTCGCAGTCTACTCTTATGGGCTCAGTTGAGCCACCCCGAATTCCAGTCGTTGTGTCTGGGTAAAATCCCGACGCTTCATCTCGCGGGACATTCGAATTTCTGCATCCTGAAGTCAGATTACTCTTTGTCCCTATAAAACTACATAAAGAGCTCCATGCCAGTAGTCATTAACATCACCCTGTTGAGTAATTACCACCCTGCTTCTAGCTTCTTAGACTACAGCATCAATATCATGCTCATTGACACCTGTAGGAATGGTAAACTGGTCTATTTGAAGTCTGTCATTATGTTCTAGGGCAATTATGGCGTCACAACTGCTAGTATGACAGTTACGCTACAAGCAATGGCATGAACGCTAATTCCTTATCACCTACTATTTTTACGATATATCTTTCTTCCCTATGAGAGTGTAAGCACATACGACCATAGGGTGTGGAAAACAGGGCTTCCCGTCCGCTCAGCCGTACTTAAGCCACACGCCGGTGAGTTAGTAGTTGGGTGGGTGACCACCAGCGAATCCTCACTGTTGTATGTTTTTGTTTTGTTTTATCTCAGACCTTTCTGTAGGCAGCTCTCATGCCGTCAATACCTAAAGCAGCACTTAAATTGTGTGGGTGATGGTTTGAGATAGGGATGAGAGATGTAGACCCTAACAGTCCTTGACGATGTCTTGTAGTTATGATACTTGATTTCAACGTTTCAAAACTGTTTTAATGCCACATTCTAAATGGATGCCCTGTCTGGCTAGGTCTGCCTAAACAAAAACGCTATGACTCTGATTATCATTCTCGATAGCAAACGCCGGATGCCAAACCAATTTGCTTTAACCTTCAAAGTTAACTTAACGGAACCGTTGTAAGTTAGAATTTAATTTAGAAAACATTCATGAAATGTTTCTGTGTTTCTGTCTGGTTTTTCTTCCCTAATAAAAGATTCCCATCTAATCTCTGCATATAGATAGATGATACGGTAATAAAAAAAGGAAAAGCTACATTCCGAGCTACTATAATCAGATTGATTAAGGATTCCAATAATGGTAAATTTTGAAAGACAATCTCGTGTTTAAAGAAAAGAAAACTGAAAAGGCGACATGCGTAACATCTCATGGTGATCCAAGTCAAAAGCGGACATTGCTTCTATGTCCAATTCTCAGCATATGGCTCAGTCAACTTATCACACTCCATTTGCTTTTTGCTTGAAAAGGCCATTCCCATTAGGACGACTGGTATTCGCGGCAATGGATTTCCGTCTTGTACCGTTCGAAGCCATGCGACCAATAGTGGGACTATCTGGCTTTCCATTGATCTCCTGCTCTGCTTGAATGTATAGGGGATGAGATCTCGTCAGTTGAGTGACGAATGTCAAAGGATACCGTCTTTGGTCTTTGACCTGAGATATGCGTGGAAAGATGGTCAGAAGAGTATCACTTGCGATGCTGTGTGCTATGGTGTTCTTCTCGGTGTTTTCACCGGGAAGATTAAACATGGCCCATTCATTGTCATCCCAGTCAAGTGGATCAAAATCGGGCTCATACTTTTGTTGAGCACGTTGGATTGGTAACCAAACATCAATCGCTCTCTGTACCACGCTTGCTATGCTCTCTCGAAGCTCATTATACTGAGCACCCGAGAGCAAGTTGTGTACGCAGCTTGACACTTTGCCAACGATAGACTGGATTCTGAACTGGAGTGACTCTTGCTGAGCTTTTTCATCAATTGAGAGAAGCATTGATCGGCAAAAAGATTCTTTATCACCATCAGTCCCAGCAAGTTGACTCATGGTGACTCGCAATTGAGCATCTTCTGGAACGAGATAATTTGGTTGGAAGATATGTTTGTCAATTTCTTTTGACAAGATAGTCAGAATCACAGCAAGTCGTATACCTTTGGCAGCGGAACTGTTTGAGGGGGGGTAAAGGGACATGTCGAATCGAGATATCGCCACCCTTTCGAAGGCTTTCAAATGAAGTTTTATTCTAGAATAGATAAGCGGAAAGTTGTAAGAAAACCGGGGACCTAGGCTATACTTACACTCAGAACTGCGCTGTCAATATCTTGCATCATTATGCGATACATTTGCTCTGTAGCATAATTCCAGAGATTTGAGAATCCGTTGATCCTAGAAAAGAGTATGTAAGTGTTTGGTATTCATATACCCAGCTGGCACTGACTAACATAGAATCCTCATTCATTTGGTGGCCACGGAAGCCATAGTCCTCCAGCTTTTGAAGTTTGGTTTGAGACTCCTGTGTGATCTTTTTCGAAGAAGAAAGTTCTTTTTCTAGCTTCGTGTTTTTGCTTTTCTCTGAAGACAAGGAGTCCTTCATTCCAGATTCAGCGGCTTGTAATTTATCGATGATCGTGTCTTTTTCTTTCAGTTTCTTTTGTAACGAAGTAATCTCTCCACAAAGTTGAGTTACTTTGCTTTTCTCACTGAGATGCTCTGATCGAGCGTTCTTCGTTTCTTCTTCAATATTCTTAATTTTCTGAGCTGCTTCTGCAAGCTTGCTATCTTTTTCTGCAATGGATCCACGGAGTAATTTCAGCTCCGCCTCGGCGTTTTTGGATTTAGTCTTCTCTTTTTGCAGTTCAATCAACCACTGATCCATTGCGATAGTTTGGTGTTTCTCCTTCTCTGCAAGAATCTTGCGAACTTCGGACAGTTCATCTTGCTTTGTCTTGATCTGGTCTCGTTGGTTTTTAATTTCATGGATTATTGTGGACGCGATCTTCATCTCAGGACTGGAAGCAAAACTGGAGATATGCTTCACAGTACTTTCGAGAATCTCACTAGTGATTCGCGGTGTAGTAACACCATGGTTCGGTTTAGGTGGAACTTCGGTTTCCGTAGACATTGCGAGTAGATGGTAAATTTTGCATGAATAAGTGCTGCTCGGGGTTTGAATGGAGAAATACTCCAAATTTATACACTTTTGTCCCTGATTGATTTCCCATAAAATAACTATTCTTTTTTTATCCCAAACTTTTCAATCTTCACGCCATGGGTACCATCTCCAATCATGGAAATTGAAGCTACCGAAGACAGGGGTAAAGTGCACGGTCGGTGTTCCGCCCATTCCAGCCTTTGATTACGGACTTTGGCAAACGGAAAATAATTGGTCTCAGGATTGATTTGTATGGGAGGGTGAGCTGGCTTATGCATGCAAGATACAAGGGTGCTTTGCAACGTGTCTTGGGCTATACGGCTGCCCGCACCAAAGAAAATCGTGGTCGTTGGTGATGCGAACCATCCCGCGCATAATCTGTGCATACAGCCAGTGGGGTCTTTCCATGGGATAAGCGCCTTGTTGAGGCGGGTCAGACCTCACTGGATGGAGCCCTCTGGAATTTCAAATGCCTTTTTAGTAGACCTGCCAGCGCAACAAAATCTCTTCTCATGAGAAATATCCGTATGGAGACTGCAGGCACAGTGACATGGCGGATCGCTGAAGGAACCCATTTCTTGGCCGTTGAACATTACTGGCGCTCTCACTCTATTCAGTATTTACGCATAGCCGCGAATCGCGCGGGGTGACATACTTTTATTGTGATTCTACGACATAACTATTTAGGTACTCTTCCTTCCACATGATTCATCGTTGCATCTAGCCCACTGAAGCCAATGTGAGTTACCTCTTAACTCTACGCAATACTAGGATGGGATACCATTCAACACTCAACGTCCGCTATTGTTCTGTTCAAGGTGAAAATTCTCAAGTCGCCAATACTTTTGTCTCGCAAAATGTGGGCTACTCCTTATTCGTGTTACAAGGGGAGACTTGATAGGAACTGAATAGGGAACTAGAGTACCAATCTATTAAAAGTTCTAGGACATAAGGTAGGATATTTGGCTTGAAATCCACTTCGTAGTTTGTATTTAGTTTCAAAAGGATCTTCATGCTACACTTCTTTGGGACCGCCGGATGCATTAGCCGTTTGACAGATACTCCGTAGACGCAACTATGATCGAAAGCTATGATGGATGTGAGTTTAAAATATTTGCTTTGTAATTTCCTTAGCCGCCGCTATACTTCCTCTCTCTTTTTTATTTTTTAGAAGAAAACTGCTAGTAAGATACTCTACTGTCTCAAGAGATCAAAATTCTTAAAATCCACAACGTTTGTCAGAAATGCCGGTCGGGTTCCTAGAATCCGATTCGCTTAAGAACAGTCCCGCCAACCTGAATGCTCTCGCCCTGGTTCTCCCCCTGGTCGCGCAAAGCTAGAGCAGAGTTCACCTAGGCGACACTCACGCAACTACTGGCTGCAAAGAAGCAGGCTACTTTTGTCACGGCAAATGATACGGAGGCCCTGATTGCTTGTTGCTTTGCTCAGTCAACTGGAAAGGATTATGCCTACACCTAAGAGTTTGCATGCTATTGTTAGAGTTGTGCGTGTTGCGAAGGAGTTGGGGCCTGGGCGGGATGTTGTTGTTTGTCTTAGTGGACGGAGTGATAAGGATATGAAAATGTTGCTCATGTTATGTCTACTCTTAGACTTGACGATGAGGTCTAATGATTTGTTTTGATTAGGTGGACAGTGTTGCAAATTGTGAAGTCTTTTTGATTATGGACCAACCCTAACGGTAAATCTGCGGCAGTCTATTACCGCCAGTACGCCAGTTCACCTTTTTTTTTGGCAGTCTGTTTAGCAGTCTTTTAAGCAGTTTTTCTAGGTATCCTTTTAGATCTCACTTGTGGTTTATAGCTAGAAGCATACGAAAAATTAACAGTCAAATATAGAATAGTGAAAAGGGTGTAAATGTGTGTGACCCGGTTTTTTTATATAACTATAATATGTAATGTGCTGGTTAGACTATAGTTACATAACTAACTAGTTAGAGAATTCGGCTTGAATTTTCAACTTGTATATAAAATTGGTACGATATTACTCATATTGTAAACTGAACTGGCACACTGGCGGTTACAGACTCTATTGAAAATGGCTACCTTCAAATACAGCATTTCTATAAGATTGTAAGAACCATGTGAATGACCCTACAGAAATTGACCTCTTTTATGTCATGCATACCACTTCTCAGTAAACTTCTGATACGTATACAAGGACTCATAGCCGAAGTGTATTTACTTTGAGATCGCATCTAAAGTTCAACCTTTCCGGCGTCGGAGGTATAAGCTGACATCATGGATGAATTTTTTTAGAGCAGAAATCCTCAAGAGACATCCTTCCTCAAATTCAGATCACACGTTCAAACATCAGATATGAAGTTTTCCTTCCCCCGTCGTAAAAGAAAACCGAGCCGCCGTCGGGCGATGAGAAAAGGAGGGGCCATGAAGGGTGACAGAGACTATTCGGAAATCGGTCTCGAACGATCTGGAGATATCAATATTCTCCAAAGATATCGCTTGGCTCAATACTGGAGGGAAATCGAAAGAGGCAACACTAGACCGCCTTTTATCTCACATAAGCTTCTCTTTATAGAGGAAGACCTCCGGGAAGTTGTTCAAGAAGAGATATATATTAACAAGGGAGCTGTCTTGAATAAAGATGCCAAAGAGAGGCTTAATGCTTTGAATGCTAAATACTGGCTATTACAGCAAAAGTGGTGGCATTATCGTTCCTGTCTTGCTGATGGGTTTCAGCTACGAGCATTTGAGCTATGGCGGTCCTACCCTAAATGGTATATGCACCGCGTGCTCGTTGAAGATTGTGCTGGCCGACAAGGATGCTGTGCTCGTGGATGTGACTGCTGTCTTAACCGTGAGATCAACCCTGCGCGTATACTTGGAGCTGGACATTGTACCTTTGAATGTGAATGTTGTCGCAGAGCTCGAGGCTTTGATGTTTCTGAAGAAGACAAGAAATTATTTAAAGAGCAATGTCGCGAAGAAATAAGCAATCTCGCTAGGCATCGGACCACGCGAGTCGCAATATGGGGGCTTGTCGGTGATAGCTATGAGAGCCCGTTTGATATGATTGATGTACCACCAAGCTACGGGCAAGTTGCAAAAGACAAAGCTTCTGCGAAAAGACTTCAGGGATAAGACTCGCTGGCTGGCCCCGATAGATGTCGCTCTTCCTCGCTATACTATTGCTGTCTATTGGATGAATGTACCCGATCAAGCTCTTACATCACAATGCAGGCTCATACCTTCCCTACCGAAATTTGTAGTCACGCCGCACCTTCCCTGTAAGCCATTGATACTCCTGTCACAAAACAATCTCGTAATCCGCGTAGAATCTTCACGTTCACATCATTTTGAAACATCAATCCACATCAATAAAATACCTTTTTTAACCGTTTTTTTATTCTCTTTTTTGACCCTGACTCTTGCCTGTAAGTTTAATGTCTTTTCAGGCGTCTTTTCAGGCGTCTTTCTGACATTTCCTTTTTTAGCCCCTATCCCTCTCCGCCCCCCGGGCACAGAGGACGAGACGCTGACTGCCGAGCTCTTTCGGTTGGCTGACGAGAAGGGCCGCCCGTGGATGATAGCCACGGCCCGTGACGTCCTCTGGATCGTGGTCTGCTTCCTTGTGGTCATCAAGACCATCAATCTCCTCTTTGGGTGGGCCAATGGGGAGATATTCCGGTATGTCAATTGATCGCAGCATAGGCAATAGGAACAGCATGCTGACCGTTGACGTAGCTGGCGGAGGCTAAATGCGCAGCGGGAGCTAAATGCGCAGCGTTGAGAAGGAAAGGGGAGTCTTGCTTGGGGGGGAGGGGTGTTTCTGTGCCGCGGGGGGGGGGGGGTTGTACCCCCCCCCCCCCCCCCCCCCTTCTAATTATGATATGAATACGGATGGGAGGGAGGGTTGGCCCTCATTGTATATAGCCAACTCGGCCATTGTACATATCACCATCGGCCCATAACCCCATCATTATCACAAACATCCACATCCGTAGATGTATTGCCCATGTAGCCATGTAAATTCAATAAGAAAGATAGCTTCGTGGCAAATTGAGGAGTGCTTAATATCGTATAACCGCCAATTAGCTTCTTTGAATGAGGTAGATAGAAAGATGAGATCTAGATACCCCTTGACAAACATATTCACTTAAACTGGGAGTAAACTGGGAGTAAACTGGGAGTAAACTGGGAGTAAACTGGGAGTAAACTGGGAGTAAACTGGGAGTAAACTGGGAGTGAACTGGGAGTGAACTGGGAGTAACTGAGAGGAAACTGAAGCATCTACCAGAGTACACCTACGAAAAGGGCCGATTTAAGCTGTATGATGAGACTGCGGATTGAGATGGGATCGTTGCAGATAACATATCTGAAGGCTATGTACGTAAGGGGGATCTCAATATATCTTACCAGAGTGAAAGAGAAAGCATGACGAAGAGAGCAACTGTTATCCCCTCTGTCAGATTGCATAGCTCGTAAAACCTAGCTTCTACAACTCTCTACTCAATCAAGCTACTCACATTCCACCATGCACTTCGATGTAGCCCTCTCCTGACACCCTCCTTCTCCAGCGATGAAGTGGAAACACATGATTATTAAAGAGGAGGGGGTATCGAGGGACTGTAACAATGTTGGAGCAAGTACAGAGTATTTTACCACTAGGCCACAACAAAAACCAAGGTTCCTGTTTATAGCCTAGGGAGGCTTGTATTGCGCTGTCAAACAAAGGTGGTTCGGGTGTTGGACGCTGCATGGGTAGTATGGAAGCTCGCTCATGTCGTATGAGGGAACTGAAGCCTTTTGAAGTTGCGAAAGTGCTTTCGCTGCCGACGAGGAAGGAAAATCGCTGGTCGCAAAAGGGTGTATGCGTTAGTATGAGAAGTGAGACGCGTGTTAGAAATAAAAGGGTTATAGGTCACATGACCTCCACCTTGCTCCTACCTAGTAGATGGTTGAAACCTTCTCCTCTTCACGCAACAAGAGATTTTTCCAGTATCATCTACATTTCATTATAATTACTGTATCTCTCTCTGTCCCTCAAAAAGCGGCTCGCGGTGTCTGTCGGAGGAGATTCAATTGTTAAATGTCTGCGTTGAAGGAAGAGGTATCTAGGTCTCTGTAGAACGAGAGGGACGAAGGTGTGCGTAGAGCGAGGGGGATGGAGGTATGTGTGGAGCAAGAGGCGTAAAGGTCTACACAGAGCGAGAGGGACGATGATCTGCGTAAAGCGAGGGTCTGCGGTTGAGGATCGGTGACAGTGTAAGCCGGAACGGAAGGCGAGTCGCGAGGTCATATGTGGAATTCAATATTATGATAATTATGATAGAAAGGAAATAGGAGGGGCTCTATGAAGTTGAGGCTGACGAACGAAGTCGGGAAACCCTCAAAGTTGAATGGTACCGCGAAATGTGGAGGCTGAAGGAGACCGGGGTGGCTAAAAAACCCCAAGGACGACGAAAATAGGCTCAGTGATGCCCTGGGATAATAAAGGTAGATCGGAAGAGATGAAAAGAATCAAAGGTGACAAAACATCACTGAAGTGAAAGGGTAACAGCAAAGAAAGAAAACACTCCAAATAGAAGAGTAAGAAGGACACCAACAGATGCTAAGGAATCCAAAATTTTGCTTCTCAATGAGCTGCACAGGGTCGTAGCCACATTCTCTTTCCCGGGGATATTTTACTATGTAGTCTTGACTGTTGAGGCAGGACTTCTACCTTTCAAAATATACTTTGTAAGTAATTCAATGTGGTCTCACTTGTAAAGGTGTAGCTACAGAACATGGTGTTACGAACACTCCTCCATAATCTATAGACCTTCTTCGCAAGAAATAGGAATTGGAACAAGGATACGATCCACAACAAGCGAAAAGGTGCGATAGACTATATAGAATCGAAACCATAGCCAGAAAAGCGTGTCAAATATCTGTAGCACGTTTTCAAGCAGATAAAGAACGATCTGCTCCCTGCATAATTTCTCGACGACTGAGATAGATAAGTAGTATCACGATCATATCCCGTTGCTTGTATCAGGCTGAATCAAGGCAGCGGAAACAGACCAATGAAGCCGTGCCAGAGGCTCACAAACACCGAGGTATATCCTTATGCAGTGTCCATTAAATACTGGGCTTCGTGTGAAAATGTGGAGACGGCTCGATAAGGTGGGAGTCGAGGACATACATTACGACAAGATCGTATCGAGCCCGCAGGCCATCCGCTATATAACCAACTTTATACACCGAACAGGTCTCCTCCAGCAGTTTCAACAAGTGGGAGTTGAGGTGGAGAACGACGACGACGAACTGTCAGGTCTTGCGGCAATGGATATAGGTGTGGAAGGCGATGGATATTAGCTGACGAAAACGAATTTGGGAGACGAGAAGCTCAGCCAAAGTCAACAAACATGCTTGACAATGGACCATGGATAATACACTATCAACTGCAACTGGAGAGGGGAGAGGATGGGGAAAGAGGGTGGGGAGAGAGATGAAGTTGGAAGGCGGAGGGTGCACTCCCCCGCATTCATTTGAGTACACCCTCCGCCGTCATTTGATATAGATATGTTTTCCTATGCATGGGTTCTTGGGTCTATCGGTTTTCCCTTGTGGTGCATCATATCCTTGTTCCCCTTGCCATTATTATAGCAAATAAGCCCTACAGGTAACTTCATTTGATTAACTTCATTCTATCTTGAACATACAAAGCTAATTGTGTCTTTCAATATTGGTTCGCCAACTGGAGTCCCTATTCCATCCCTTCCACGGCAGGTACCGACGAGGGCAGACTACCTATAAACAATATGAAATCAACTGCAACAGAATCTCGCCTACCGCAATCGGAGGCCGATATAGGCCGATATAGCGGGGTGTTTCTGAAACAGTTTCTTTATAGTGTTGAAATCCGAGGGATCGAAAAAAAACTTACTCAACTACAAAAGAATAGCACGGTGCGCCCCTCGCGTCTATTCGTCGGGCGTTTAGCGCCCTTTCAAACCCCCGTTTCTTTGTTATCCTCGATACTAATACTCGGTATATACTTAAAGAGCTACGATAACTATACTTTGATAACGACTGCCTTGCCTCTGGGAAAGTCTCTCTACGCGATATATATCGACTGTAGGCCCAGACAAGTCAGAAGTATTAGCTAGAAGAGTGGACCAATAATGCGTCAGGACGATATGAAAAGAAAGCCAAATGTAAGGATACGGGGTTTGCTAGAATACCGAGTAGGTTTTAGGCCCTAAATCCACTATAAATACCATTGTTAAGCTATATACGCTTGTTTTTGCCTCTACCTAACTAATCTAAATATAAAATACATCGGGTGATATACGCTGACCAGAGTATACGTATTTATTCTTCTATGTTTTTGTTCAAAGTGTTCCATCAATAAAATACTGCTACATATATTCTTTAGATGTATTATATCTATGGGGAGCGATAGAAAATATGAAGAGGTGTGGTGGACGAACATTAGACCTAATTACGATTGATTCTGAATCAATGAACTATATAATTTTCTCTTGCAAAAATCGTAATACATACGACCATAGGGTGTGGAAAACAGGGCTTCCCGTCCGCTCAGCCGTACTTAAGCCACACGCCGGTGAGTTAGTAGTTGGGTGGGTGACCACCAGCGAATCCTCACTGTTGTATGTTTTTTGATTTATATATTTTTATTGAATATATTCAAAACTATGAAAAGTATGGCAAAATCATGGCAAAGTAGTTCATTAATACATATCATTCATTTGTGTTGATCTTCTCATGTGCATTGATTATTTAGTATGAATACTCAATTGGTGTCTTTGAAATTATTATCTACCCGGTGGCAATCGTAGAGACTGTGGTTTTCATCAGGGAACTGCATGGGTGGAACATTGGGCCGTCTGACAGAGCTGGTTGGAGTGGTATTGAAATCTACAAAAGCTTTTTACATCAAAGAAATTCTTATTTTCAAGTCAAGAGACAACCACAAAAAGGAAAATAACAATGTGCGTGGTAACATGCGTCAAGGGTTGATTGTTGTTAAAGCTAATCTTTGACGGGACTATCCAATTAGAATGCCTCCCCATGAGCAAGAATTACGAGAAAGGTAACTGAAGGACGGAGCTGCTGATGATGTTGTTCTATTTGAGAGGCTGGTCTTTGGTGAGTGTACTTTGAGCGGGATTCGTAGCCAGTTTATTGAAAGGGGGTTTGCCGTGGTTTGCGGGGTTTTTGAAGCATTGGTCAGAAGAATGATTGGCATGGCGTTTATGAAATTTGCAAAAGAACGGAAGAGGGCTTGTAAAATCGGCCAAGTTAAAAGAGTGAGCTTGGCTCGGAGAGTTAGCTTGGCTGAGAGTGTTGAGCCGACGATCCTCAGAAACAACGAAGTCTGCGAACGTTGCCTCGATAGTTGTATCGGTGGAGACTTTTGAATGGAGGAAACTGTCGAGCCACGGGCGAGCGGCTTGGTTGACGCTGACGGCATTTAGGAAATGATAAAAGATGAGAAGAGGCGTGAGCTTTGTTGAGTTACTTTCTTGGAGTTCGCCCAGCGCAGTGCGCCACTCGTTGACAAACTCCTGAGGTCTGTTGGAAGTGTACGTGGTGTTGATAAACTTGAGGAAATTGGTGAAGCCAGCTTCGTAAGACCGGACTGCGAAGGCGCGCTGGAGGCTAGCGTATGCAGTACGTGCGTTATTAGCGTCGAGGATGTAGAATTTGGCCGTTTGATGAATAGTGGCGTTGAGCAACGGAAGGAGGTATCGACTGGCGGTATCCCATTGGGAATGAGCCTCGATTTCGTCGGCAGTAGGCTGCGTCGGGTCGACTGCATTGGGCTCACTCCACACGCCAGTGAGAAGTTCGTAATACCGAACGTCGCGCGAGTCTAGGGTCCATTTGAGGGAAGTCGTCCATAGAGAGAAATTGGACTCGCCAACGAGAGTTGGAACAAGTTCGAGAAGGGTGGGCTCCGCAAAGCCAATGGAACCCATATTGGTGATGGGATTCACAAAATGAGGGTGAAGAGTCGCTGGATGAAGGTGACTATGGATAAAAGAAATGTATGTTTTGAATGATGAAATTGGCTGAAGAGCGTCGCAATTGGGAGTGATGAAGTATTTGTGCTGATGCGACACCTACTGGACGACGAAGGACATTGGGGTAAACAAAGACGACGGAGAAGGAGCAATGAAGGGCAAACACCTGCCAATTTATAGACCTACAAGAGCATAAATACTAAAGTGCAAAATGACTTCTGAAACCAAACATCGGGGGAAACTATCTCACAATATTCCCGCACTGTGCCACGACATCTGATATATGTAATGGGTACTCCGTATACACCTGGGCAATCCTCGACTATTATTTGTTTAATGGCCTGACCCCCCATATTACATATAGAAAAATTTACACATTTTAGTTGTTTTTGACTGATATTCTATATTTTGTAGCTGATTATTCTCATCTTCCTGTCTAAAACATTGAAAAAAAAAAAGAATTCATGTGGAAAATGATACTGTACGATCGCGCTAGCTTCGATTGGGTATATTTCAGCCTCATTTTTCTAATCGGATTGTATAATATAGTAAGACCTAAGGTTGATTTAAGAGGAAAAATAGTAATAATTTCGGCGATTTTAGAACATCAAGTAGTGTCGGTCAATTAGCCCCCTCTATTGTGTTTGTATTTTCCAAGGTTCTAAGATAGAAACTAGCTAAGTACTTACAAATCTGCCTTGACGGGATGTATCGGTTTTTTCAGCTTGAAATAGCGATGGCATCCATGAAATTTACTTTCTATTGCCACCGAGGCAAAGATTTGAAGAAGCAGTGAGCCTCCGAGAAGCCGGGGTTGATCGAGAGAGTAATCAATCCTACACTGCGTATGCCAAAATTGAGATGAGGAAATGAATAGCCCTGAGAGAGTAACCGCATCTGGAAACAACCGAGACAACAACTGAGAGAGAAACTAGCAGTCGTTACCTGAAAATCCAGGTTGAAACAGCCGAGCTGGATTGCTGTTTGGCCCCCACTACTTGTTGATCCTACCCCGTCGATCCACCATGCCAATCCTTCTTGAGTCACAACACAGAGCGAGAGTTCCATTTTGTCTCTCAGTGATTTTTCGCAATGACGAATAGTCAAAGTGGTGATACGAATGATGGCTCGACTGATGATGATGAATTTGTCGTTGTCAATCCAGGTAATGACACCCAAAAATTCCCCGAAAAACCCAGCTAAATGGTTACAGGCGGAGAGCACATGTCTTTATCACAGAAATCTATTCAGAAGCTCAAAGCCTGGCTGAATCCTACAGACTCAGAAACTCCTGCCAGTGAATACAGAAAGCATCTTAACTCCCATGCCAAGGGGACTGGTGAATGGATTCTGGAGACGGACCAATACCGAGAATGGAGTCAATCTAACTCGGTCGGAAACCTCTGGATCAGGGGTATCCCCGGCTGTGGAAAGTCTGTTGTTGCAGCGGGCCTCATCAGTCGACTTCGACGAGCAGAAAATGGTCTTGTTTTGTTTTTTTTCTTCCGGGAGATAATCCAGGCAAATCGTACCCCACGGTCGTTGATGCAAGACTTTTGTCATGGAATGCTTGACCATTCACCTTGGCTTCAGTCTGAGCTAGACCAACTCCAAACACAGCACTCATCTGTTGAATCTGTTCCATATGACAAACTTTGGAAATGCATGGCAACCGCTATGCAATCTATTGGAAAGGTCCACTGTGTGGTCGATGCACTGGATGAGATGGAACAAGGAAATGACCAGTTCTTCAAGGAACTGCTCGACCTAGGCCGTCGGTCTCCCGCTTCAATCAAGTTGATTGTCACCAGTCGCCAGGTTCCACATGTTGAGAAGCATTTGAATGGGATTTCCTTAGTTGATCTACGCCTTGATCGTCGCAATGTGGACCGTGATATTGCCATTTATTCCGCGCAGCGATTGGAAGATACTCATCTGGATCTGTCCCTAGAAAAGCTTGAACAAGTCAAGCAAGCAATCTGTGAGAGGGGGAGAGGCTTATTCCTTTATGCCAGGCTCATGTTGGATCAACTTTTGTTACAGCCGCAATTGATGCTAGCTAACATCGAGAATCTCCCGGACGGTCTGGGAGATATGTATACTGAGCTGCTCCATGACCACGCCATTCGTTCAGGAACATCTGCAATCTTTCAACAAATTATTCTACAATGGATCACCCATTCCGCACGACCGCTACGATTGCTAGAACTTTTTGTCATGATTGATTCTCTTCCCGACCGTGCTGGACTCACCCAAGAGCAAGATGCAAAACTTGCCATCCGAACAACCTGTGGCCCTCTGCTGGAGGTTTGTGAAGATGGAGTTGTCCAAATCATTCATCATTCCCTGACCGAGTTCGTTCTCAATCGGGATGTTGTTCATACCCAGATGTCCAATCAAGTCCGTGAGATTTCAGGCTTTCATTCTCCCACTATCCACGGAATGATTACCCGGGTATGCATCAACTATCTTTCCAATGGCTGTCTTGATCAATGGCCGACTGATCCCCACACTGCGGCTTGGAAGAAAGATGGTAAAGAACTGATGCTGCGATTTTATTTCCTCCGTTATGCAGTTTTGGAGTGGCCATTTCACGCAGCAAATGCTGATGAATCTGATGATGAATTGTTGCATCTCCTTGACCAGTTTTGCCAGGATGGTAACCAAAGCTATGAAGCCTGGAAAAAAATATGGCCAGCTTTGCAGCCGAATACTATACCTTCAAACTGCTCTCCCCTGGATATTGCTGCGTATTGCGGGATCTTTGCATTTGCTAAACATCTTATTGGCAAGAGAGCAAACACAGACTCCCGCAACTCCAAAACTAACGGTCTATTCCCACCCCTATTGCATGCGATCAAGAAAAATCACCATCGCATTGTCAGCCTGCTTCTGCAACATGGCGCGAATCGCGAAAAACATGACGGCCGAGATCCAGTATTCTATGCAACGGAGTTGAATCACGTCGAATCTTTGCGTGCTCTCATCGAGGGAGGCGTAGACCCTAAAACGACAGCAGGAACCGCTGATGGATCGAGTGAAATCATCTACTGTGAGTTTCTGGACCAGGAGGTGAGCTATTCCGGATGGAATAAGAAGAGAACGCCCCTTGCATGTGCATGTCATGACGGGTATATCGAAGCTGTGCAAGAATTGATAAAACATCTCGATTCAGCCTATCTCTGCAAGGGCTATCTTCACATTGCTGCCGAGCAGGGAAAGTCAACAGTGGTGAAAACCTTGTTACAAGACGAGAAGGTTCGACTAAGCATCAACGATAAGGATTCCGACGGTAATACCCCCTTATATCTGGCCGCCAAAAGCCGTGACTATGCAACAATTCAGGTGCTCTTGGATCACGGAGCAGACATCAGCATAAGCTCTATGAATCTGAACCATCCCCCAGAGCCACCACACACCCTGGCAAAGTATGATCGAGACGGCGTATGGCCAAATTACTCTGCTCTGCATGGGCTGGCATTTGGTGCCCGACGTGTGAGATGGAAAAAGGCTCCCGAGAGGTCCAATTGGATCAAGGCCTTGAAAATGCTTCTAAGTGCAGGCTGTGATATCAATGCCAGAGACCACCGAGGGCGCACGCCTCTATTTTGGTGGTCAGAGTTTCCCGCTGCCAGTGATAAGTACGAAGCTACAGAGTTCGTCGCCACTCTGCTTGAATATGGTGCCAATGCTTCCTTATTTGACTATGAAATGTCATCGCCACTTCACAGGAGCTCCACTAAGCTGACTCCGAGGATGGTGGAACTTCTTGTAAATGGCGGTGTTGATTTGAACTCCACGCGAGACTCTGACGGCATGACACCTCTTATGTTCATGGCATCATCTCTAAAAAACCATGAAGTATCTTCATGGCGTGATATGAAAGCAAACTTTGCCCAGAAGGATTGGGCGGGTAACACGGCTTTTCACCACTGCTTTTGTTCACTGGCACGTGCTCTAAAAGAGAACGACACAGCTTGTTGGATGAACGATTGGTTTGCTGCTGCAGACTTGGGCGCCCAGAACCATTGTGGTCGAACCCCATTTCTTGAGTTCCTGTTTAGACAACCGAGTATCAAATTTATGGACCGTGATCACATTAAAGTCGTTCAAGAATTCGTCAAGAACGGAGCGTTGCTGGAAGGTCGAGACTTTTCTGGACGAACAGCCCTACTTACCGCGTTGGACCATCCGATACTGAGATCATTGGGCATTGTAGAAGAGATATTGCGGCTAGGTGGCGATGTCAAGGCTACCGATAACGAAGGCAAATCAGGCGAGTAAATCATTCATTTCTACACCCTTTGAGCTCTTTAATAACAAATTCTAGCATTACACTACGCATTCAGAATCTATGACGGCCGTGCGATAGACACAAAGACTATGTCTGAATTTATCCAGAGACTAATCGACTTAGGGGCAAATGTCTATGGAATAGATCGCTCAGGAAACACCATTCTTCACGGGCTTGTTAGCTTGAACAACAGTGAGAGCGAGTGGTGGCAGCTGGGGAATCGTGCCAAGAAGATTGTTGGGCTCGGTGTGCCTGTTCACTTGGTAAATCACCAAGGGCGAACTGCATTGCATCTTGCGGCGAGAAATAGATCGGCAGTACGCCAAAAGGAGGAATTTGAAGACGGCGGCCTGGGTTTCCTCCTTGGGCCATCTGTAAAAATTGACCCCAACATTCGTGATAATGAGGGACGTACTGCTTTGCATTTTGCATCAGCAGCGTCGGACATTTATGCTTCCACATTGATTCAACACGGCGCTGACATTTGGGTCAAAGACCACCACAATCGCACACCTTTGCATTTTGCTGCTCAAGCAGGCCAAAGCAACGTTGTCGGCCTACTTCTTGAACATTATGAAAAAGAACGAAAATTAGTGGATGAATCATGTCTCAAAAAACGATCAGCATTGCACGAAGCTTGTCGAACTGGATGCCAAGAAACGGTCCAGTTGTTGCTTGATGCTGGTGCCAATCCACGGCTTCAAGATCGAGATGGACGGACACCATTGCACGCAGCTGCAGAGTTTACATATCTGACCACTGCCCGTGCGAAGCAATCCCAATATGATTCAATAGATTCTGGTTTCAAGAAGTCAACAGTTGAACTGAACAGCTGGGATGCAGTTTCCCAGAAGCAAGTTCCCGCAGGAAATAATTACAAGAATTATGGAGACTTGTACAGAGATATACGACAAGTTGTTGTATTGCTGATTGCCGCCGGAGCAAACCCGCACTCAACGGATAAAAATGGTCACACGGCCTCTAATGTTGCCACAATGCTCGGGTGCTTTCCTGTTTCTGATGAACTGAATCACGTTGTTCATTGTGAATCAAATCCCTCGGCAAATTTACGTGAGCTTCAATTGAGTCCCCTCGTCACCTGGAGCCACAAGACTCTTGAGTCAATAACAGTGCCTGAGGACCATGTCCCATTCTTGAAAAATGTTGTTTCAACAGGCGATGGACGTCTACTTGAGGGGATTTTACGCATCAATCAACTTAAGCTTACTGGTAAAGATGGGGAGGAAATATTGTCCCTTGTTGCACACTGGGGTCTAGCATCAATGATGGAACGACTGATCCCTTACGTGGAGAACTTCACTTACATGATCTGCCCACTTTTGGAAATTGCAATCAGGCGAGAATTATGCAATATTCAGATAGTGAGAGTGCTTGCCAAAGAGATACGTGACATGGAAGATAAATCTCCTCTTGTGTCCCCAATGAGACTTTTGGCGAAAGGCGAACATTGGTGGTACCCTCAAGCACTTTCTGTTCTTCTAGATGCAGGCGCAGACTCAAATGCTGGCGGTTATAAACCCACCCTTGTGCAAATGTGTTTAGACACGAAGGGCGGCATGATTTTGCACGAAAAATGGTTCGTTTGGCGCTATAAGTCACTTGAGATTTTGTTGAAGAATGGGTCGGATCCTAATGCATTGGAAGCCGCTTTCAAGACCAAAAGGGACCTGAAGGTGCTAAAATTGCTTATTGAACATGGGGCTTCCCTGGAAGCTAATTCAAAATTGTTTCTTCTCGCGGCAATTGGTCAAACTCGGAGTCTCGATTTTGCAGCTATCGAGTTCCTCTTAGAGTCGGGCGCCGACCCGAATGGTACCGATTCCAAGCGCCCTCTCTTTGAAGCTGCGAGTAGTGGTCCTGAGCGACTTGTGGAACTTCTCTTGAAGCACGGAGCTGATCCGCAGAGACCAATGAGAGATGGCTCATCTACTGTATTGCATGAGATTTGTGGTGTCGACGGCATAATAAAGCCCATTCTGGCAATGGGTACTGATCTCAATTCCCTCGATGCCCAAGGAAGAACACCAGTCATGAGAGCTTGCACGAGCAACCGAGCTTCAAATTCACGACCTCTCGATGCTGTGATTTTGATCCAGGCGGGTGTCTGTATTGACTCTGTTGACAGCGCAGGGTTGAGTGCCTTACATCACGCCGCGCAGTCTGGAAACTCACAAGCCGTCAAAGAGCTCCTCAAGCGCTCTGTCAAACTGTCCTCGTTGGATTTCGCCGGCTTCACACCCCTATCCTATGCCTTAAGTGGTTATGCCTTGCAACGATTCGAAGAAGAATCTCATATTAGACCTCAGTTCCATGCAACTATCGAAGCTCTGCTAGATGCTGGCGCAGATCCGCACGATGTTCTACCGGACGGTCGAATGGGACTTCATTGTGTAGCTGAGCCCCTGATGAATTATAGCAATGAGAACAGAGAGAACCAAATCAGAGATGATTTTGGTGAAGATCATTTCAGTGCAGCCTCTAGGCTCTACCAGCGCTTTGTGGAGGCTGGGTGTGACCCAGAACACCGGGACAACAAGGGCAGGGCACCAATCTTTTATTTTGTTGCTGCGGACAAATCCTATGTTGGTCCCACATATGAATATGGAAATGAATCTCCTTTCAACCCTGATGACTGCTGCAAGATGTTCGCTGAACATGATATCCAAAAAATCGACCATGACGGGGACAACCTTCTTCATGTCCTTGCCCGACGAGAGGAAGGCTGTTGTGATAGCGAAGACCATGTTGTGAAGCTGTTTTCAATGCTGGTAAATATGGGCTTAAATCCACGACAAGAGAACAAAATTGGGCAAACACCTCTCGACATTGCAGCAACCCATGACAAACCTGAAATCCTGGCTTTGTTTGCTCGAGAGGATTAGTTATCCAGAGATACGTGATTTTATTCAGCTTTTGGCATTATGGAGCGAGAGGCACAATGAACTAAATCAAAGCAACCCAACTTTATTGTACCAGAGAGCCAGTTTCGGGGTACTTAGGCGTATTTGCACATTAACACCGAACCTATGACCCGATCCTTCCTAGGAGAGTTGGAAATGTCGTAATGGCATCGCTAATCTTGTAATCAGCTAGGCATGGTAAAATTACGGGAGAGGCGTGGAGGAACATCTATGTCTGACCCCTATAACTCTTTCATGTAGGAATTAATAGAAATGACCTGTAACCAGCCTTCAAGGCTTTCTGGTCTGTCTCTGCTTCTTATTGGTTGGTATTCCTGTACTCTGATCATTTCTCAACTCCCCCTACTGTTATCTCTATAATATATGGCTTTTGTAGTAGACTCTCTTAGTTCCAACTGGGTGTTGCTTCAGTTGGATAGAGCGTCTGCATAGTCATACGCAACTACTTAGGCTGCAACGCGTTAATTGAACTTTGGTTGATTGATTGATATGTAACAATTCGGCTATCTTATATTTCTAGCACGTTTATATATTTGTATCAAATTTGTTCCAAATGACCGAAGCTAATATATGCGTTTTACTCGCATTAACTATAGTTCTGCTGCACAAATTTAACAATAATGTTCAAACCCTCATCAGTCGCACCCCCCATAGGAATGATGGTGAAAGCATGACATGCCCCAGGAACCACACTCAGCTCCGTCAAATTCCCAGCTTGTTGCCATCTAGCCGCCATGAAAACACTGTCATCGAGCAAGGGTTCAATATCGCCCGACAAAAACAATGCTGGTGGCATTTCCTTCAAGTCCGCATAGAGAGGTGAAACAAGCGGATCCTTCCTTTTCTCCATTGGAATGTGGCTGAAGCTCGCCTCACAAAAGTCCATCATACCTTCTTTACTCAGCACGATGTTGCGAGTGTGCTCAAGAAGAGAGGGTGTATATGTGAGATCAAAAATGCCGTATCCAGCCACGATGCCGTCCAACCTCGATCGGACGTGGACACCATAGTCTCGGCGAAGGGAGAGACCTGTTGACACTGCTAGCCAGCCCCCCGCGGACTCACCTCCAACAATTTTCAGCGGTGCACCGACATCTTTCTCACCCGCCGGGCTAAGCGCGTACAGTGCTGCGTCCACACAATCGTGCAGCGGCTTGGGGAAAGAATTCTCGGGTGCCAGTCGATATTCAACAGATACCACTCTCAAACCACAAAGTGGTCAAGTAAGTATCGTATGAGGCATTGCTACCAATAACGAAGCCACCTATCGACATTGCCCGAATCAGCCTGCGTCCCAAGTAATCATTTCTGTGTTGATAAGGTGGGGTATTTACCAGCGTGGAAATGAAGCCAAACCCCTCTGCTAGGCTTTTCTTGGGGAGCAATGATTCTTAATTCAATTTGATGTCCATCCCTTCCGAGTACATCCACAGTCTTTGCTTTAGGATTGAGAGCAGGCGCTGTGAATCCATTCAGGCCTTCCCTCCGCATTTTCCGGTAGGCAGCTGCTGACTCGCATTCTTGCCATTGAATGCTTCTTGTAAGCTGCGCTTCAAACTTATCTAAGTGTATCAAGCGGGCCTTGAGAGTGGCCTCGTCGACGGGAGCTGGTAGCACGTTCAATGGCATTGTAGCTGTCGAATACAGTCACTTGAGATCAAGCCGCCAATTTGGATAGTGAGTGGTGATGCTTGATATAGAGGATGACACCTAAATATATATATTAATATTTAATAATGGTGCACTGATTCATCTAATCCAAATCTAGGTATAGTTTACGTGTCGGAAGGTCGACGGAATGGTCCAACACGGAACTTAAGTTATGCACGACGAATGGAAATTATATCGACTCAACCTAGGTGGTGCGAGTTCCGTACGATATTTGTAGGATTAGCGATTGTCTGCATAACTAAGCATCTTTCTTCCAAAGCAGCTACTTTTTGTTTCTCTTTTGGTGTACTAGACCTATTGGCGCTTCTTGAAGATATATGTTCACGCTGCCCCGGAACTTGACTCCAATTGAAGCCACCTTAATGGACATGACAAAAATTTCGCTAGCAAAAACCAAGGGGTGTATATGTTGCTATTGAATTTGCTTTAGTGATCTGTATTGTAAATGTTGCATCTGGCCTGAGCAGATGCATACAGATGATTCCAGATACAAACCAAGAGATGCGAAAAACATTGCGGTAAGAAGATGAAAGTCCCAAAGGAATGTAATATTGCTGCGGCTATGCTGTTCAGAACAAGATATGTTTCTAACCAATATCTACCTTCAATGGGTGGATTGGATATACCTAGACTCAGATAAATTTCATCCGTCAATCACCAATGTCCCTTCATTCTCTCGCCTTCAGCTGAACCATCAAGTCGTTCTTCTCCCACAGAAAGAAGGTTTTCTGTTTCTCCGAACCAATAGACTCAGGCAGAAGAGAAAGCTCAAAGTTATACAACACCTTGGCTAGAATGAGACGCATTTCATGATATGCCAGACTATTCGATCATTAGCTACTTGGAACCACCGTTCAGAGATTAAAACGAGAACATACTTCTTTCCAAGGCAGTTGCGAGGGCCAAATGAGAATGGTTGAAAGGCAGTCTTGTTATCAGTGGCAAAGTCATCGCCAATCCAACGCTCAGGGATGAACTGATGAGGGTGTCTGAAGTTTTGAGCGTTGTGATAGGTAGCCCAATGATTAACCGAGAGTGCAGTCTATTATTTTATCAAAAATTAGAGAAAGATCATTGAAACACAGAGCGGAAAAGCAAAAGTACCTTTCCTGGGACATGTTCTCCACAGACAAGCAGTCCCTGATCGGGAGCGATGCGAGGCAGACCAACCGGAACCGGAGGATAGATGCGTAACCCTTCCTCAATGCACGCATTGAGATACGGCATACGCTCCAGAGATCTCATGTCAATATTCGAGTCTTTCTCGAAAGTCTCACGAACTTCCTTCACAATCATCCTCATCTTTTCCGGCGTGCTCAGGAGTTGATAGAGCAAACCACTCAGTGCGGTTGCAGTAGTCTCGGTACCTGCAACCATGAAGACCTGCGAGTTGGCATACATCTCTCTGCGGCTAAGACGGAGGTCGTCCTTTTGGCTCATGACAATACCCCAGATGTCAGGCTTTTGCAGCGTATGGTTGCCGTCGATTCTTTTATCGACACGCTCCTGGGAGGCCTTGTAATGAGCGACACTCTGTTGCTTTAGTTCCTTGGGAATGAGCCTTTGAGCAATGGGAGCCGTCCAAGGCACGTAACGTGCCAATCTCCGCAAAGCGTTGGTTTTCATACTGACGAAAACTGCGGATACCCAATTGAGGTTGCCAGTCCCAGCCAACAGACCCAAGGAGTCTCCAAAGGTTAAATCTCCCATGATATCAAAAGTTGTCAAATTGAGCATGCGAACCATATTGATTTTCGCATTGGGCTCCTCCTTGATCGTCCTGTGGAGACTGTGAACTAAAGAATCCACATATCCGAGGATCAAAGATTGTTGCTCTCGAAGCGCTCGATCAGAAAAGGCATGCGAGAAATTGCGACGAAAACGAGAATGATCAGGGCCATTTCCTCGGATAATATCCGCGGCTCCATTGAATGATGGTCCGTAGAATCGGGAGTCCTTGTCCGTAACTGGTTTTCCTGCAGAGGCGTGACCATATATTCCCTTCCACGCCTCGCCAGTCGAATAACTCAATTCATCGGGGGCGATACGGACTACATCGCCGTGTGCTGCATGTAATCCACTGACCCATTCAATCAGGTCACCTTTGAAGGTATGATAGAGTTGAGGTATTCGTGATGAAGCTGCAAACTTCGGTCCGGGGTATTTGCTAAGAGGGCTGATGAAGACATGGTAGTATGCCCTCGAGACTAATACCAGAATAACCTAATCAAAACATGTTAGCGACGATGATTCAATTGAATAAACTAGTCAGCGTACCGAAGTGGCGATGACCGAAATGTAGTGTTCGTGAATCAACCTTGAAGCAGATTGAAGGAGCATCTTGAATTATGAGAATGTTCTTGTGAGCCAAATGAAATGGATTGAGAGGACAGGAAAGCAGAAAATGCTTGAAAATTGATAGATCAACAACTTGAGTTTTTGTCCAATTGGTATTTTGAATTGTGCACGCTTTTTCTTGCATAGTGATGATCGCTATGACGCCTAGCTCAGTTTGTGGAGACTTATAGAGAGATTTACACCGTAATTACCACTATAAGCAATAGATACACATGCAAAATACTATATTGGAATTGATCTACGTTGATTCTACGCTAAAAGCTAGGTGAGTATTCCGTTGCGTTATCTTAGTTTGTTTGATACACGAAATGCCTTCCGCGGAACGAAGATAGCCAATTGCCGATTTCCGGTTGATTCTGCATGAACCTGGATTACTTTTACGAACTAACGGAGAGTCAATCAAGTTGAAGTGGATATTCATAAGTCCCACAAAAGCTTCTTCTAGGTCGAGTTAACATATCGAGAAAAAAAACCCCCCGCCCTCCCAAAAAGGTAATCATACAAGACAAAATGCGTTGGGACCTGGAATCCTCCATCCAACAGAGAATATGCATTACAAAAGATCCCCCCCGAATTGAGTTGGTGAATAGTCTAGAGAAAGTGGAGATTTGAACGGCATATGTTCCAGATCTAAGTTCATACAAACTGAGATTGTAAGTCATTCAGTTGGAATGGTAGATAGTCAGACACAAAGCTCTCATCAATTTCTATGATAGATGGCTGTGTGTGAGTTGGTGCCGAACTGGTTCCCTGTCCTGGTTGATCCACAATAATTTTCCAGAATTTCTCCGAGAGGGTTTCCAAATCTGTAGATGAACTCAAGAATGGGGCTTTCTTCACAGCCATTTGACTCGTTGAGGCTGTAAGGGGGTCGTCGAGTGGCAGAAGATTCTCTAGGTATCGACATACCTTAGATGCCGTCGCAACCGACTCTGATAGAGTTTGAAGAAGTTGAATGGCATCGTGCACCATCCCCTTCAAGAGTCCATGGGAAGCTATAGGTGCTGGGTGGGACTCTTCTGGAATAACGTGGTACATAACCTCAACCAACGTTGTGGTTAGAATATACCCACATGGCTTTAAAGAGGTCGTCGTCATCATGTAGCTTCGAATTGCTTCAATCATTGCTTTACAAATTGATACCGACGTTTTTCGACGCTCAAGGTCGTGTTCGTTGGAAGTGAGAGCCATATGTCGAATACTCAGACGGAGGGATTGAAATCGCTGGTATGATATGTTAGTATTGAAGAATTAGGGTGCGAGATTGATCAAGAATAGTGCGCTTCTTACAAGGAACACAATCAGCCTCTGGCGAATATGTTTTTCCTCCTCTACACACATATACTCCGCAACCATAGAAGATTTCCAGTGGAGGTTTGACGGAATTTGCCTGTATGAAAGGAAATCCGTGTGTCCATCATCTGCGACTCCTCCCAATTATCGGCTTTCGGGGCCTGGGCAGAAAATAACCCATCCCAAATGTGAGCCCACAGCCGACTAAATGATATCAAGCTCTGCAAAAGTTCGTGCTTTCTCGAACCCAGAGTATCCTTGGCTTTGCTAAAGTCACTGACAGCACTTTCATCTTCACGTAAGAAATATGTAACTCTGCACTTCTGAGTGATGCGTTTGTCAAGAAAATAAAGTGTCCACCAAAGCCCCTGACGAGATGCTAACTCAAAACTTTCTATTCGGCCACAAAGATTGATTGTTCAGTCCAATTTTGAGGGCAATCTGAAAACCTTGGGTGATGCTCTGGAGGGCCGTTTGATGCATGGACATTTCTAGAAGGAATGCAGAAGACGTAATGTGATAGATGACAGTTTCAATATCACCTTCATGAAGTTGATTGAAATGTTGCATCAATCTTAGCCCTTCCGAGTACTTTGGTGAAACTGGTCTCATTTTGCACGACTCAATAGGGTGGGTGAGGGATTAAGCGTATGCTAACATATTCAACAGAATGGCGATGATTTTAGAATTGTCAGAGCTTATGATAATTTGGTGATGCTCGTGGTCATATCCATGGAGCGACAGAACCATTGATAATCGCTCGTAGATAGCGGGCTGATTCAGACATGGGAAGTAATATTCAAATTCTTGAAAAAAAAAACGTCGACAAGGCCCCAAAGACACGGTGGTTTTTGGCAAAGTCACCGTGGCAATCAAGAATTGGGACGAGTCATCGAGGCCCCCTGGAGCGTTAGGCTGCCGGAGGTTCCTCAATGCATTGAGTTGGGAACCAATCGGCAAGCTGTTCAAGGAGGGAGTGTTGACACCGAGCGTATCCGACTCTGTTGACTCCTCTAAAGGAGTAGGAATATTTGGAGAGGCAGTAAAACTACCAGCAAAGCGATTCTCGAAAACATCGTTTCCCGAGTCGATGGATATTGATGAAGAAATTCGGCTAGGAGGTTTATCTGAGGCTAACATGCTCCTATTATAAGACTGCGTGGCGAATACATTTCGTGTATCTGTTCCTTGAAAACTTCGATTCTTGGAAAGCGCAGTCACTTGATCCTGGAGTTGTGAGAGTTGTTCCTTCAGGGAAACAGACGTTTTGCTTCGTTTCCGGGGGAAAGCCTTGGAGGGAATCTCTGTAGTATCTCTGGATTTGTCAGGCATGTCATTGCGAAATCAGAGTTGAGCATAATACTCACTCTTTTCGTGCGCGTTTGTTTGGTGCCGGCGCCTGATATTGGTGTTCTCCAGCATATTGACATTCAATGTTTCTGGTTAGACAACTAGAACATATCGGTTCCCCTGAACACTTTTTCGTGTATTAGTGATTTGAAATCGAATAAAAACAAATGGGTCATATAAGATCATTGTACATGCACGAAACTAACCTTGATCTTGCGTCTTTGGCATTCCAAACTGAACCAAACCAGCGTCAACATGGCAAATGAATGGATATTGAAGATACTCACCATGCTTGTAATGCATATTTGTCGCGCCTATGACCTTCCTTACGATTTGTTTCCTTGGGCATGGGGTTAGATTTCTTTGGAATTTGATTGTGGTTACTCTAGTCCTCTTGAAAGAAGAAGGCAAAAGGCATGCTATTTCACGTAGAGAAAATAGGAAGAATGAAGAGGGGAGGCCAATAAAGGCTCTAAGAGACGGGGAAGGTAGTTCAATGCGGGGACCTAGGGTTATTTTGCCGATGAGTCGACACCGTGACCTCTTATTTAGTTATGCATCGAACTTATCCCCAGTTTTCCTGGTATACGCCACTCCCGATACACCCGACTCTACGATACAATAGATGGGCTCATAAACCCACCAGGGCCACCGCCCTCATTCTTCACGTACCCGCAAAAGTTTCCGTACGGTCGACCCACACCCGCGTTTTCTCCTAACCATCTTTCATGACTCCCAGGAACCCTCGACGCCCTATTAATTCTAATATAATGAAGGGAATTGTACTATCTCCCTATCTCCGGGGTCAGATCTTCGGGTAGGCCTTAATTCATCATTTTATCGAGTTGATTTATACAGTATAGGCGATGCTAGGTCAGGATTGAGGCTGTAATTGAAGCAAATAGATGGTATACCAAATATTAAGACACAAATTAAATACTGCAGCCAATTGCCTATCTAGTGCATATTTGCATATATTTTCATTAAATGATTTGGGGGTATAGCATTTGATTGAAAATAGTAGGTTCAATTTACCAAAATTAAAAGTGAGAGATATATATTTGGTGGGCCGTATCGGAACTTTTGCAACAGAACTAGTTATACCATGTTACCCCCAGATCCGTTCTCCTCAAAATACTAATAAAATAAGTCGCTCAGTAATTCATATATTAGGAGTGGTAGTGAGATTTGAAATCGATATAACGGAAAAAGTAAGAAGTTCTGATTCCTTTCACTGGAGATACAAGTCTGATAAAATACTTTGCTGTGGCAGCTGTATGAAAGTATCAGTCACCAAGAGTAAATGTGCCAGCAAATTATTGAAGACCCAGCATTCAGATCTCTCGGGATACATTATACTAGACTAAAACAGTTTCGGTACTACCGTTGGTCTTTTTTAATAATGGAGATCAAGATCACTAGATGGAGTAAAACACGCATTCGGTCTTTCGCTTGGATCTGCGATACAGGATAGCCAAAAAAAAAAGAAAAAGAAAAAGAAAAAGAAAAAGAAAAAAAAACCAATATACAAAAGGAATTCGCAGCTGAGAGACCCCATCGAAAAACCAGCGATCTGCAGTCTACCTATAGAACATATCGACACCCAGGAGTTTCCCAATCAGTCAGATCTTCCAGAAGCAGCCCCTCCGGTGGTACATCAGATGGCACCTCACTCGCTCGCTTCTTATTCTGCCACTGTAAATATAGTCGCAGACACACCAGCCAGAAAAATCCCAAGCCGAACCCAACTAGACTAGCTGTGATACCCTTCCTATACCTTGGTGCCTCAATTACACTGAAGAACTGCGGACCAACGATATTTCCCACGCAATACATCACCAAAACACTAGCATTAACCACTGCCCGCTTGGTGAGACCACGCACATTACTGGTGATTAGCGACATGGCAAGCGGCATGTTGGCTGAGAAAGCCAAGCTCAGACAAAAACCTGCCATACGACCAGCTTGGTTGCTTTCCTCCAGAGCGTACATGAGCACCATTCCCAGCAAACTGATAAGCGTAAGTGCCATCATAGTCAGCATGCGGATGTTGGGAATTGACGAGCACAGCACGGCACTTATGATCACGAAGCATAACTGGGCGCCACCTGTGGGCATTTGGATCAAGAGGGCTTGGAGACCTTCGTATCCAAATCCTTGCACGACAAGGGACCCGAAAGCTGTGAGTCCTCCATTTGCAATGTTCACACAGAAGGTGTACAGGCTCAAGAACCAGGTTACCGGGTCCCGTAGGGCTTCGAATACCTGCGACATCTTGAAGGAGCTCCTTACGCCAGCCTGGCCATCAGCCATGATATTTTTGATTGCGGTCGATTGCTCCTCGGGAGTCAGCCAGTAGGCTTTGGATGGTGTGTCTGGGAGAAAAACAAGCATGACAATCCCCCATAGAGCAGTGACAGCGCCGAAGATGAGGAACAGATATTGCCACGCGGCTAGGCTGTTGTTTATATGTCCAATGCCATAGGAGAGCAACCCTCCAAATAAGGAAGCTATCGAACCACCCGTAAACCACAGCCCGTACCGGAGGGGCTGCTGGCGTCGCGTGTACCACATGCCAGTGATCAGGGAGAATCCCGGGGCGATGGATGCCTCGAGGGCACCAAGGAAGAATCGGGTAATTACTAGGCCTGCGAAGTTGTGGCAGGCTGCATGGCACATAAGGACAGCGGCCCAAACAAGTCTACAAGATTTGGCTGTTAGTCTGTTTTCTCCGCCTGAATCCACAGACTCTCGGAAGCGAGGCAATACGTACACGGTGGTACCTAGGTATTTTCCAATCGGCAAACGCACTGACAGGTACATGGTCGGGTACGACCAGAACATATATCCAAAGTAAAACACTGAGGCTACCCATGAGAATTGCGTGCCTTCTAGGTGTGTGTCTTCAAGCATTCCCAGTAAGCTGGCATAACTCAATGTCTGTTTGTCCAAGAACTGGAGAAAATAGCAGAACCCAAGTATTGGCAGAAGAATCAAATCGATTTTTCTTCGTACTCGGCGAGACTCCTTAGGGGAGATATTGGTGATGCTCCCTAGAGAAGTATCCCGTTTTGGGTCCTGTTTTGGGTCCTCGGGAGAACATGATTTCATCTTGGGATCAACAGAAGACATAGTGGTAAGTTGGTAGGATGAGAATTATCAGACTGGGAGAGATATCATTGTATTTATGTTATCTTTCGTGTTTATCTCAATTTGTCAAAAGCTATCGGATATGTACATATGTTATGTACCTATAAACCCAGAAGAATCCGGAGAAGGCTCAGTTCTTCCCGGAGCGCAATTACCGTTTATTGGACGTGTGATCGCATCTACCTCCGCAGTGGATACTTCCAAGATTGTGGAGACGAAGGCAAATAATGATAACAAAATCTACGAGCGAGTCCTGATTCCCCCTCTCGCGTCGGTAAAAGCATTGCGTACATTGCCGTATAGCTCATCATTCACGAGTACCTCCCACCCCGTCATTGCCATCGCTTTTCCTGCTGTTATCATTCTCTCATGGGCAACGCTCGTGCCAGCTGCCGCAGTGAACTGCCGCGTATGGTTCTTAGCCCCATCGCTTACAGGGATCCCAATGAGGCCGTGCAGGGCCGGGATAAGCTGCGACACGTTCCCCTGGTCAGTGGAACCTGGCATCAGGATCTCATCATTGGCTAATATGTGTTCACCTTGCCCCCGCATAGATTCCCGAAAGCTTTCACATAAAGGCGGGTTCACAACCAAATCGGCGAATATTTGATTTTCCTCAAGCTCCACCGTACACCCGGTGGCAAGGGCACCTGATTCAAGACACCTCCGTACGCGTTCTCCCAACAATCGTGCTCCATCCATAGTTGAACTACGGATCGAATATTTGGCACGCGTGATCTCGGGGATTGCATTAGTGACGGTGGGTGCCTGGAGAATTGCGCCGTGGACTCGTTCATCGGGTTTCATCTGCTGACGTAGCATGGATATGCTGTTGTAGGCCGTTACCAGAGCATCAAGAGCATTGACTCCTTCCCATGGACTCGCAGAGGCATGAGCGCTGACCCCGCGATAGACTGCTGTGATGTCGTAGCAGGCAATTGAGGAGCGTCCGGCGATACCATGGACACCTTTGCTGAATTCTTCCTCGGACAACGGATGGCTGCGCTGGTTAGTCTATTTAAGTTTTGGTTTTGAGGTCAGAGCGAGGGAACTATCATACATCATCAAAGACACATCCACTTTCTGGTACGCCCCCGAGAGAATCAGATCGATCTTCCCGCCGCCATCCTCTTCAGCCGGGGTCCCCAAGAGCTGGACATGGCCAGGAATACCAAATTGGCGAATTGCAAATGCCAGAGCTAGAAATCCGCAAATGCTGGAAATCGCAATGAGGTTGTGACCGCACGCATGTCCAATGCCGGGGAGTGCGTCATACTCGGCGTTGAAGCTCACACAGCGGCCATCCCCATTACCAACTTTGGCCTCAAAGGCGGTACTGAGGCCGTAGGCGTGGCGCGTTATTTGGATTCCTTGGGATTGAAGGAAATCGCAGATGGCGTCATGGGCAACGTGTTCCTCGTACGCCAGTTCTGGAGTTTCATGAATCTGTGATTTGTGTATTGTGAGAAAGCGGCTATTTGTATAAAATTGAGAATTTACCTTCTGATTTAGCATGCGTAAAGGCTCTGCCAAACTATCGATGTATTGGTCGATGGCCGTTTGAACTGCGGTCTTAGACGGTGTAGCCATGGTCGATTGTTGTGTTTGGGTTTGAATAGTTAACTATCAGTAGTGAATAGCGTTATCTTATGATATTTCAATAAGAAGAAAATATAGCCCGGAGACCGATAAATCTGCCGTGTGCTGGATGAATCTTCTAGGGCTACCTTGCCAGCGCAAAAGTATTTGATTGGTCTATCTCCCACTCTCCCCACCGGAGTATGAGATATAAATGAGACCATGAAACGTTCGAAATCACAAATCGTGTTAAAGATTACATTTATGCTTCCCCGCTTTCCTGTTTGTCACTCTCAACTCAACTCTTAACTCAATTCTTGACCCAACTCTCAACTTAACTCTTGACTCACCTCTTAACTCAACTCTTTAACATCAACCTTCCCCCATTTACCAGACTATTTTTGAGAGCTGGACAATATGACCAATCTGACTTGGCAAGTCAAGTGTGCTGCCAAACAGGCGGAGGCAGACGCCAAAATTCCCATCGAATGGCGACTCCCTGCAGAGATCCTCCAGCAAGTCAATCAAAATGAGCTGAATATTCTTGATGTTCCCTCGAAATGCGGAGTCCTTACCAAAGAAGAGCTCGCGATTACTGAGCTTCCTGATGCAACTTCGCTCCGGGATAAGCTTATCACCCTAGAACTCAGCGCCGTTGAAGTGACCACCGCCTTTTGCAAGCGTGCTGCCATTGCGCAGCAGTTGACTTCATGCTTGACGGAGACCATCTTCTCAGAGGCTCTTATTAGAGCCGAAGAGCTGGACGCGCATATCAAGTCTACCGGAAGACCCATCGGACCACTTCACGGAATCCCGATCAGTATGAAGGAAACCTTCAATATCAAGGGCGTGCCGACCTCTCTCGGGTTTGTGTCTTTCTTGGATCGTGAGCCCGTCACCCAGAACTCTGTCTTGGTAGAGCTTCTCCTGGAAGCAGGTGCTGTGCTGTACGTGAAAACCAACGTGCCCCAGACCATGATGACCGCCGACTCGCATAACAATGTCTTTGGACGTGTGCTAAACCCACACCGAAGTACCCTGACGGCTGGTGGCAGCAGTGGAGGCGAAGGAGCTCTTGTGGCCATGCGTGGATCCATCCTTGGCATTGGGACTGATATTGCTGGATCAATTCGCATCCCAGCACTGTGCTGTGGTACCGTGGGCTTCAAGCCTAGTATCGGTCGCGTACCGTATGCTGGCCAAACGAGCGCCGGTAGACCGGGTATGACTGGGATTGCTCCATGCGCAGGACCGATTTGTCACTCTGTTCGCGACGCGGACATGCTCCTCCGAGTGGTTTTTAATGCAGCTTCTGATGACATGGACGACATGGCGCTAGGATTCCCCTGGGTTCAGCCCGTGAAAGCGTCTACGCAGCTCACAATCGGAGTCTTGCCAGAAGATCCTCAAACTCCACTGCACCCCAACATGCAGCGCACTCTCAAAATGGCCATCGAAAAGCTGGAAAATTCGGGCCATCACATTGTGGATCTATCGAAACAGATCACATTTTTGGGAGCTGCTGCAGATCTCGCATTCCGCTTCTTTCGCATTGACCCTGATCAAACAGCGTTGCAGAACATCTACAAGTCTGGCGAGCCGGCGATCCCGTCTCTTCGATTCACGTACGACCTCGAAGGAAAAGGAGAGGAGCCAACTTTGCGAGGATTGTTTGACTTGAACGTCTCCCGAGCAGATATTACAGCCAAAATGCGTCGCATCTTTCTCGACAACCGCCTGGATGTGATTATCGGACCAGGATACCAGAGCACAGCAGTTCCTCATGACACTTATGGTGTTCCAGTATACACGGTCCTCGCCAATTTGGTCGATGTATGTTTCCTTGTATTATTTACGAATTGTTACACTAACCCAAGATCCCTAGTATCCCGCATGCGTCATTCCATATGGCTCCTCTCATGAGGCCGATGATGCTGAGTTCGTGCGCGACGTGAAGTATTATCCTCCTTGTAAGACTCATCCTGGATATTTAAAAATCGCATATGCTGACTTAGATCAGATGTTCCCAAAGAGGTCGAAAACGCGCCGTGCCACGTGCAACTTATCGGCCGTCGCCAGAAGGATGAGGTGCTCATTCAGCATGCGCTGATCGTGGAGGAAGTTTTATCCAAGTGATGAACGCCAAGCGATGAACCCAGTGGATAGCAAATAGTATGAGGCCAATTTAAGAGGGTTCCATTAATAACTGTAATTGCTGCAGTATCATGTCTCCATTTCCCCGTGGGGAGGCCCAGACATTCATCAGTCGCTCTTGTAATCGCACTGCCTGCCCGCGTCTCATGCGGACCAATGGACTAATTCGGTTGTTTATGGTGTATCGCTCAAATTCACCTATGGCAGCAGCACCAAGTACAGCCACAGGCCATAGAGAATAACTGAGTAGGTATTTTTCGACGTCTATCGTCTTCAAGATGATCAGTCCTTCGTAGAAGAGGGCTTCTATTTCGGATATTATTTGTGTAGTACTTCGTATAGGATCTTTCTTGAGTAGCAAAATTCGAACGGCCCGTGAGTAGAGCCTTCTGATTGAATTTTGATTATCGCCTGTGCGCTCGTATTGCAGGATGTCGCTTTGAAGGCGTGTCCACATCTGGTGTTCTTCTTGATTTAGATCACGGGATAATCGCGCGAGTCGCGTCACATTTGCAATCATGATGAAGAAGTCATAGGATTCATCCAAGAGAGGTTGTGGAGCAGTTTGCCAATCATTGGTTGCAAAGGCCAAATAGTGACGTATGTCGCCTGTTGTCACATCGAGTGAAGGGTTAAACAGCATCACGAGCGTACTGTGATACAGGAACGATTCCACACATGTGCGCTGAAACACCACTACTGGCTGGGACGGGGATTGGGTGCTCGCTTCCGGGCGTCGTCGCGAAAGAAGAACGCCAGCAGCCTTCGCATGCAGACCGATGTTTGGGGGCAAGTCCGGTCGGAGGTTCTTGATTTGAATCAGGCTTGATTGATGCATCGAAATGAATACAAATACGGGAAAAGGAAACTCACTTCAAAGACACAGAGACATATCGTCGTCGCTAATAAACCATCTTCATTCCCGGTGCCGGGGGCACCTATTATGTAACCCTGCAGACTGCGCAGCGAGTGCAGGTAGTGCTGCATCGCAAGAGTATCGTTACCGAGATCAACCGCTGCAATGGCAATCATAATCGCCATTAGCGGAGAGAACTCCCGGGCCAGTCGGAGGATGTGTGATTGATCACTGTACACAGACGGACAACTCGGTCGCACAAGCCGCGGCATCACAGTTGTCGCGAAATGTGTATACAAAGCCTTATCCTCATATGTTAGAACTACACTCTTGGCGTTCATTTGACGTCTCTCGCGCCTTCGGCCATCCATGGGCTGGCTGGTAGCTGTGGGCCAAGTGCAGGTGGAGCCGAGGTTGGCGCATCTTTGACACGTTGGCCTTTGTTCATCACATTTCTTGCGGCGTTTGCGACCTAGCTTCAGTCAGTTGAGCCATCCAAAGGGTTAGATTCAGTGCTGACATTCGAAACAGCCGGTACGGGTGCGCACTCGGGCTTTGGACTTCCAGGTTGGGGTTGACATGGCACAAATGGAGAGATGCAAGGGCTACTTGTGCATATGCTCCTGTCGTATAAGACACGCTGATAGATCCCAAGCGCATCTACTGACTCATGACTTATAGAAGCATACAGGCCTCGTGATAGGCATCTCGATGCAGGTTCTGGAGTCTCTTTAGGTTCGCATTCGCCGAACATGGGGATTCGTGAAACGCGGGGGATGATCCACCGCGCAATTACCGCGGATTGGTCAATTGTCGGAACATCTATCAGTGCCCCAGGATGAGTTTTTGAACTTGGAAGAACGCTCTGGAGTTGACGAACAGCCCTTACACAATTGCATTTCTTGTTTTATGCTAGACCTATGTCTTAATGGATGTTAGCCTAATATTCTTTCTGGTATTTTTATGAACCCTACCATCGTATGAAACAAATATATCGTTGACCATAATGATAGGGAAGATTATATCGACTTCAATGTGGAACCAACCATTTTAGACAGAACCTGGCTGCTAGAAATGATTTCAATTCAATGTGGATTGATTGGTGACTGTCTTTCCCCCAAAAATTGCGACGAGCTTATCATCCAGCTATCGGGGAAGATCTTCATTCCAATAAATTGGACCCCCCAGGCCAACTAATAAATATTCTCTCAATCATAAATATCAAAATACCGGCGCCAACTGAAGGAAATGGAAAGCTCCGCAGCAACTCTGCAGACTGCAACTAAGACTGTCTAGTTCCAGGATCGAGGCAGCGTAATCTTGAATCTGTTGTCCGATCACCCTGGGATTTCCATTCAGTTCAATCTGACTCACAAAAAACTTATTGCCCATAGATCAAATTTCAGACAGCAGCGAATAGAAACAATCCTTATGGTCATCTCCTATCTCAGAGAAACTCGGATCAAGCTCCTGTCTTACTCTTTCAAGCATGATGGGGACCCGATCGGGATTAAAGGGAGAAAATCCATGGTCTTCAAACCCTCGCATTGGCAACTGAGCGCTACTCTCTATGGCGGACCCAAAGAAAATACTTCTGGTGTTGAGAATCCCCCTGTGTTCCAAGGTTGATTGTGCTTATCCTTTCATAATCATGTCGTGTCAGCCCCAACCCAACTAGCTGTTGGTTCAATGGGTATTCACCTGGAATGATTGCTGTTGCCGCTGCCGGGCTGTACATAGTGATTAAGTTTTCAATTTTCTCATGAAATAATTCCGAATTGTCCAATATGTGATCCAATGGCGTTTCTCCAGGAAGTGCTGTTACTGCAGCCTCCGAGATGTCTATGGTTTTCATGCTCCCCCGGGAATCAAGAATGCGCTTTGGTGCAGCGAGCAGTTGGCTGGAAAACAGCTCCTCCGGAAGTATGGCTATTTTAGCCTCTGAGATATCTATGGTTATGCTCGGGGCAATATTTGATTGGCAGCAACATGAGTTGCCGAATTTCATCTGTCGTTCTCATTTTATTCGGTGCATCTATTGAAAACTTTCCTCAAATTCTTGATACCACAAGTGCGTTGAAATCTACACGAGACGGACATTTGGCATTCACAAAAACCATTGTTTGGATCATCTTCGGCGAAGAATTCAGTGTAGTGCAGACATGACACCTGTTATCCTGTACTATGAGCCTGCAATCAAGATGTCTCGCACAAGTTTGGTCTTTTCTAACGGAAATGAAAGGTTAATACTGAATCACGCTCTACTACAGCCCAATTTCGAACAAGTTCATACATGCAGGAATTGGGACAATTACATGCTTGGCCTGTTGCAGCTGCGAAGGCAACCCCTCGAGACATGACTCTGACCAAGACGGATATGGAAGCTATAGACATCGAATCTATATCGAAGCATACTTGTTGGAGTACAATAATTTATTGTGGGAAATTGTAATTTGGTGTCCGGTTCTTTGATCAGGTTGTAAATTTGGGAAGCTACAATCTTGGAGCAAACGAAGGATGACTGCTTATTCAAAGAACTGTAATTCTAACGGTTTGAAGATCTAAGTGTAAGCGAAAGTAGCCTAATACAAGAATCTGAGATTGCAGTGCCTGGGACTTTGACGGCACGATTCAGTAGTAGAAACCATGCCCTCAAAACAGTTTTACGTACCTATGAAAGAATTCTCTCAGGGGTCATTCTGGTTTTGTAGCTTTGACAACAGCGCTAATACTGCGAGCAGTGTAGTCGATATTGAACTTATTGAGCCCACTAAAGCAAAGAAATATGTCAGCTTAACGGTTATTCTCAAAATATGTTCATCACATACGCGATAGATATTCTTCCAGAATCCTGAAGGTAAACATGATACTTGTTTCGGAGCAGTGTGACTTGTTCCACGGATAGTCCAACATATCTAAATAAGGTCAATATGGTGAGTCTCCCCGAGTCAGATATTGGTAGCACTTACGAAAACATTCCGTTCTGATCAGTGATATGCTGCCAGTTACCTGGTGTTTCCAATTTCTCCAATCCTTCTCTTAGCGCAATTCGACGACTCTTAAGTTGATTCGCCATATCTCGCACTTCTTGCCGCCATTGGAGCTGCAAAATATCATCTGATAGAACCGTTTCAACAATTTTGGACCCGAAATCAGGCGGCGCGCCGGACTCTGCTCGTGCGAGTAGTTTCATGTGCCTTTCTATTCTCTTTCCGACTTCCTCGCTTGGAGCAAGAATCGAGAGAATTCCAACGCGTTCGCTGTAGAGACCAAAACACTTACCGTATGTTGAGACGAAAACAAGCGGGATTTCTCGCTCAGCAAACAAACGAACGCCTTCAAGATCCGTGTCAATGTCCCCTGAGGCGAAACCGGGATATGCAGCATCGAAGAATGCCAAATGACCGCCCTGTATGAAGATCGAGGCTAGCTCTTGCCATTGATCTGGTGAGGGATCACATCCAGTTGGGTTCTGGGCTCCAGACTGGAGAAGAATGACAGATTGAGCTGGTAACAATTTAATAGCTTCTGTAAAGCTTGCAAAATCGAATTTGTTTGTTTTGCTGCTAAGATATGGCAGAAAACTAGCCTTAATTCCCGCAGACTGGAATAGGAAAGGATGATTCACTGGGGCTCGGTCAGAATTGTTTTCATATGTGTGATTAACTGAAGACTTACACCATGACTCGCTGGGAAGAAATATCTCGGGGTTCCCATTCTCCTTCCACGGTCCGTAATGATTTTTCAACATAACTGCGCCGACATGGCACCCGCCACTTGCGCCGAGTGTTTGCGTTGAAATTATTCTAAGAATAAAGATCAGCTCCGAGTCAATTTTGCAAAGACAATATCAGTCTTCCTTTACCTATTTTCTCGCAGAAGACGATGATCTGGCCCAAAAAGCAACTTGGCACTCAAGTCCCTATAAATCTGGGAACCTAGAGCGGAAGGGCGATACTCATGATGCCAATCAGGATCATTGAATATTCTGTTCTTTGCCTATAACATGAAGATCAAAGATTTAGTGATGTACGGGGCTGTAGAATGATATACTTGGGAAGTTATATACATACCTCTTTCACACTCGGTAACACATACGCTTTCCCTTCGTCCGTTTTGTACACACCCACTAAGAGATCAGTTCTGTTGGGATCTGTATCCTCTCGGAACTGCGTAATAAGAGCTTCGAGGCCCTCTAAACATGCTTTGTTAATTAGAGCTCATGAATGCATCAATTGTAATATTTACCTGTTCGGCCCGCTGGCACATCTTGGAAAGGATTTGCTGCTATGCTACCCATTTTGCTTTTGAGAATAGGAGGAGGAAATAGGATAACTGTTGGATCTTATACCTGCGGGGTAATGAAGTGTCTTGGAGTGATAAGTATCTTGTAGCACGCTATTATTAGCAACACGCCATCATGTCGCAATATTAGAAATACCAATACCTGTCTGCTACTGGTAACTATATTATCTCCTCATCAGCAATTATTAATACGACCAGCGTGCCAAGGTGCTCACGATATCGGCCCTTTCTCTTCTAGTGGTCAGAAAATGAACAAATGAATTCAATATGTGAAACATAGAGCGCCTTTGCAATGACACCATATGGCGAATATGGAGTGCCAATGACCAAGAAAATCATTGCGAAATAGGAAAACCAAAAGAAAATAATAACCAAAGCATATAACCGTGAGCTCCGCGGGCGTGGCCACCGACCCAGCTACTGATTCACGGGCGTCTGGCTAGTAGTCTAGTTCCGGCCGCCACCTAATAAATGGTAGGCCGTTCCTGATCGGTTCCGGTTTCTTGACTGCTAGGTTAAGATCAGTCGATCGGGCCTACAGAATCACCTTCGAGAATAGTGGCTTATAGTTCCTACTATAACTACTAACAGAACCGATATCCGGGAGTCGAAGAATTTCCACCTCACTAATATGGAGGATATCTCAAAACACTCGCTGAGGATAGTACAACTTCATTAGAACGTACTATTTGTAGGTTTCGGGGTGGTCTCAGTATGATTTGTACGGTCGGAAAGGACTTCAACGCCTAGGATTCAATAAATTTGATGATTTGTTTAATGGGAATAGCTTTAAGACCATAAACCGCTTTGAATTTTCAGAATACGTAGGATTAACCTATAGGATTAGCTTCATTTTATCTGATAATTGAGATGGATTGTTAAACATAAGTCCTTTGCTCATTAAGGCCTCTGTCATAGTAATTTAAGTATTCTAATTTCTGTCCGTCTAAGATCAGGCATAATCTAAGCATCAACTCCTAGAATATCGAGCATTTGACCCTGGCCGCTATGCCCCTTCGCACAACAGATAGATCGGGATCTGCATCTGCATTTAGCTGCGTATTCTTTTTGATTATATTTGGGCAATTAGGGGGTGGCCTTATTTGTTCTCTTTTGATTCTTCTGTGTATTTCGATTTGTTTGCTCTTTTTCTGGCCAGCGAGGTCTATAATCATGGACCAACAAGGTGCGAGGTTTATATTCTGACAATCACAGGATTTTGGGAATAGGACAGATGAAACCTTGAAAACCAGGTAACATACTACGCATCGGGTTCAGAATGACCTTTAGCCAGTGAGTCAATCCTAGCTACCTTCTTTTCGGGAACTGCAGGCAATTTGAGTCAAGCAAGATCATAGGATATCCACTTCATTTTTGACTAATATACCTATACACGACAAGCTAAAGTCCCTTGCCCCTCATAAATCCGAAATCGACACTAGCTTACTCGCCTGCTCACCAAGTCCCATCTCCCATTTCATTTGCGTAAATCCTCCTGTCTGGGGGACTGTCTGTGGCACGTCGAGCTTTTCATCATCTTTCATTCTCGATACCTCCAACACGTTGAAACGGACAGACGAAGTGAGTAGTAACTTAAACACACATGCTCCCTGCCTCTTTTGCTGATGTTTCATCAAGTGAATAAACCATCGAAGCAATGACTGTGCTTCGTCAGATGTTCGATCACTGGAGAGAAAGTCGGCGAAGTTATCGATGATGCAAAATACAACCGCCTCCCGTGGTAGCAATCTGAGTACAATCTTAAAGCGCACGCAAAGGGCCTTAAGATCATTAGTTTTCAAAGGACCGAGCTGGACAAGCTCCATCAAATCTATTTTGTCTCCGAACGATGTCAGAAGCTGTCCAAGCAGACTGTCCATAACACTCACTGCGCTGTTGAGTGGATCCGCGCGATCGAAATGCTCACCACAGAAGAAGTGCAGGGCAGCAATGGGGAATTCGTCTAGTGAACCCATCTGACCCACGTTCTTCAGTGTGCGTGCTAGCCTTGAGGCTACAAAGCTGAGTGCGGACCTGCGTTGGGTCTTGACTTGATTTCCGTTGACAATCAGAATCCCGGAGAATGGGCTTCTGAGCCAACCAGCTAATTTAATGGACTTAATCAACCACACGCAGCGGTCTTGATCGGCGATAGGTAACGTAAAAGCCAGTGCATAGTTCTGCATCAGATCGGCCGCCACTTGGTCCGGGTAATATTTCATTCCTTTGAGGATCTTTTCCAGAAGATCGTCTTGCGAATACTGCTTTCCAGCGTTCGTCAGAGGAGCGATCAAGCAGATCGATGCATTGAATGTTTGTTCTGGACTCGGTCAGTACATGAACTTCAAATGACAGGCCGAAGAACTTGCGCTTGGCTACTGCTTGGGCGTATGCCTCGGGACTGGCCTGAAGGAGATCCAGAACAAGACTCATCTTTTCGGCAATATACCGGCTGTGCACGTCTAAATCACTTCGAAGTCCAGAAACACCCCTGCTAATGTTTTCCGTAGTATCCCTCATAGCGCTAGTTTTCTCATGCATTAGCACGACCTGCTTCTGAATGAACTCCTGGGCCCTGTTCTGCTCGGCCTGCCCTTCCAGTATTCGAGATTGAAGCTCTGTGATTTTGCATGAATTCTCGTTACCCTGGCGCACCATAGCATGTAGTTCCCCAGCCATTTCGACTCCACACATTCTGGCTTCTTCATTAAACTCGTTCCTGCGTTTGCGAACCTCTTCTAAGCTCTCGGTCAGGGCTTGCTCAAAGCTAGCTCCTTTCAAAGTTGCCTCCAATGTTTTCGGCAAGACTCTTCGACGAACATATCGCAGACTATGTCCCAGGTTAATCAATACTGCAACGTACAGGCCATCGCTGTGCGCTTGCAGCTTCTCCGATTGCCGGTAAACCCCAAGGACTCTCTGTGTGCCATTGAGCAGCACTGGAATGTCATGAATCCCGTTCAAAAGGCCTTCCCGGATATCCTTTAGTTTCACAGCTGCCTGCCTCGGGTCAGCATTCCTGCATTTTGTCTCAAAAGGGGAGGGGTTCTACACGAAGAATGAACTTGATACCCCCACACACTGTGGATAAATAGTCGGGCTCCGAGGGCACCAGTCCCAACCACTCCTCGATGGCTTTCCCATGCTGTCCCAACTTTCGGAATGCCCTCCGCACTTTGCCCCAAATACCTGCCTTGTGGCTCTCTCCTTTCTCATACTTCTCCACTGCCGCGTCCAACTCTATCCATACCTCCTCCATCGTATGTTTGCCTTCCAGGTTGAGGTTTGTTTTATGTTTGTCATCCGCTTTCGACTCATACTCGCGCATCGCCCGGAGAAACTTTTGTTCTTCATCCCGCACTATTGACCTCCGGCGTCTGCACCGGTCAGAAAGGCAACAGGGCTTTCTCGAGTATTTTTTCGTACATACCGAACTTCCTCGTCTTCCACTACTGTCCGAGCGGGCTCTGGATCAGGGCGGGCAAAGACGGCCAATAAATCTGACCCATGTTCGGCATTGGTCACGTATTTCTCGACGATGTTTTGTCGTGAGTCATGAATCCGCTGGTTTTGATTCAAAATGACCTCAATATCCTCTCTGTGGGACGAGGGGATCATGGCTGTTCTCATTGTGGCACACGATGTTGTGCTAGTTCTCCAATCTTCTGCTACTTCAGTTCGGGTCTTATCGGCTTCTATTGCGGGGTATATATTCAAGGTGAGTCGTTGCAATTATCAACGGTACACCTGCACCCAGGCTAGCCCTCATTGCACACTTTTAGAACATGGTCGTTGCAATACAGACTACTACTGGGTAGGAATGCATGCCCTGTTGCATTAGCGGATGACTGGTCAACTAAAATGGGCCTCTCTATTCTTCCGCAGCGTTTTCCCATGGGAAGTCCTTTTCAGTTCCGCCACCGATATTGGTCGCTTAAGCAAATATCCTATAGGTGGCCGCACCTGCTGTCATCATTTAGATTGCAGTAGTGAACTCTCAGACCACTGATAAGTCGGGATACCCTGTTCGAACACGCCTATCATCTTTATTATGGTGTGTGACGGATCATGTTTCTTGCTCGTGATGCAAATTGCGTTGGTCTGCCCGCTCCATCTTCGCATGGTTCGCAAAACCCTTCGCTTGATCCCCCAAACCTAAATAACTAAATATGAATCCACATTGCAAAATTTATAATTCTAGAGTTATAACGTTCTTCACTAATAGTCAGTTCTTGCCTACTTTATACCATCAGCAAAAAAGTCTCGCCAATCCCAGCCATGCCTCCCTTCATCGAGGAGCCTCAATTCCAGATAGACGCTCCACCGCATCACATCCAAAGCAAAATGGCAGAACATGCCGGGGCTGATGTGGGTGGGTTAGAGAAATCCCCTAACCTATCCTTCTTACTAAATGGAGATTCTAAAAACAATATTTTGTCAGTCGATCTAACCGAAGATCCTGATCAGGATGAACAGATTAGCTTAGCTGGCTCGGCAGAGACTTCGGAAAAAAGCGAGAATGAGCGAACAAAAGACCATCATGTCACTGGCGAGCGACGCCGTCGTATAAGGGGTGATTGGCAAGAGTCCCGTAGGGAGAGGAGTCCTGATGAAAACAGAGCCAAGGAGTTGAGAGCGTACCAAGAGTTTTCCAAGCAGTGCTCACGGGTTGATGGTGTCGTCTATGTGCCAAGCAACGTCTGGGAGCGGTTTTACCTGTACAGCCACGACTGCCATATTTATGTTGGGACTTCGACGCTCCTGACTCCACCTCTTCATGGGGATGAGCAACTGGATGAAGCCATCAACACGGGCCCTGAGCCAAAAGGCCCAACCACCGGCATCCAAAAGCCAGTAGTCGATAGGGTTGGCATTGTGAATGAGCTTCTGATGGGTCCAATTATGAGTATAATAGGTCCCACGGAGGCGCAACATGACCATGTTCCCCCCTTTCGCGCTATTATTCCCTACGAACAACAATTTCGAGCCATGCTAAAAGAACAGGAAGCGCAGTTGGCCGAGCAAGCGGCTCAAAATCCCCAGCACCCTGCGGTGACGCGCACAAAGCCTTGGGTGCCAAAGCAATATGCCTACTACAAGTTAATCGGGACTAATCGTGAGGGGCAAATCCTCTGGCATGACGATCAGGAGGACCTTGGATTGACCTCATTGGACACGATGAGGATCCTGGTTGACGGCCTCCGGGCACTTGTTCATCTTTTGGACCATGAACTCAGCAGTCTGGTGCAGACCTATCGCCAAGCCCAGGCAGGAACATTGAGGGAAATCTCTTTCTCCCATCTCTATTACCTGTTCTGGCCGGGCCAGGAGATTGTGACAAAGCGACCAAACTACCAGGTTTATCGGGTGGTCCAGGTTTCCGGGGGTCGCAAATCTCTGGCTCCGCGCAAGGGCAAATCCTCCTTCCGAAACACTGTCTCCCCTCTAGCGATCGATTGCTTCTCCCTGGACTTCGATGGACACCAGGTGAGACCAGTACCTACAACCCTCTTTATTCGACCTTATGATGGCGAGGCCGCGATCACTTCCTTGGAAGCATATCCCCTGCAGTATGATGACGCATATCAGCGTGATGCTGTTATTGCCCGAGGACGCAGATTTGTCGAGCTGGTGCAGGTCACACACCGGCGCTACCATGGACTTAGCTTGACTGAGGGCAGATTTGACAGCTATGAAGAGGTTTGTCTCAAATTTCCTAATACCACTACTCTCAAATGAGGGACATGCCATGATTTATTTTCTTTACTAGATTGATAGTGACGTGATAATTGACTTCGAACTTGCGCTCCGAAATAAGGACGTCACGCCTCAGCAATACAATGGGGGTATCATTGTTTCTCCAACCGAGGAAGACGAAGAAGAAACTCACTCGTCGGCTTGGAATTTTGACTTCGCGGAGCTGCAAATCAGGCGCTGGTCCGAGTTTGTGAAAACCACTCCTTTACTCGAAGACCGGTCGCTAGATCAGCTCGGTCTGGATCACCTCCTTCTCCTTCCATATCGGGTTTATGGATATGTGTTACTAAGTAGGAAGTGGTGTGAGTACCCCTTGCCCATTTTCTGTTTTCGTACCGCAGAAAAGCAAAATTGGGGGGATGTTTCCTGATCGACTAACTAAATCCTGGTATTCCTCTTCTAGATCCGCTAGATATTGATAGAATCACCGAGTTAAGGCGTCTGAACTCGGGCGGGAGAGATGCCTTCGATGATCTAGTTCTACCTCCGCGACACCGGAAGATTGTCCGCGCCCTGGTCAAGACCCATGCCTGGAAAACACCCGAGGCCAACAACACCAGCAGCTCCCAACTCCCGGGGATGCTAGTCAAGCGAGAGTTTGATGTCGTCAAGGGGAAAGGCAAGGGCCTGATTATCCTGTTACATGGGGTACCGGGGGTGGGAAAGACGTCCACGGCGGAATGCGTGGCCGCTCACACGGGTCGGCCCTTGTTCCCCATCACTTGTGGAGACCTGGGGGGGCAAAACGCCCAGGAAGTGGAAGAGAACCTTGAGCGATTCTTCCATCTTGCCCGCAAATGGGGGTGCGTGTTGTTACTGGATGAGGCGGATGTTTTCCTAGGGGAACGGGTTGCTGGGAATTTCCTCCAGAACAGCCTGGTGTCTGGTAAGTTTGTTGTATTCACCAAGTTAAACGCGTATTTCCTTTTTTTCTAGAAGCACTTTCACTGACGGGCCGATGAAAGTTTTCCTTCGCGTCCTCGAATACTATTCAGGCATTCTAATACTCACAACCAATCGCGTGGGTCAGTTTGATGAGGCGGCCATCTCGCGCATTCACTGCGCCCTGTACTACGAGAACTTTGACAAGAAACAAACGCTGAAGGTATGGGAGAAAAATATCGACCGACTCGAGCGGCAGAATAACGAAAACAATAACAACCTGAATCCAACCCTTCCCCAAGACGGAACTCCTCAAAAGGTTTCTGATGTGGCGGTCGGATTTAACCGCAAAACCCTCCTTCAATTCGCTAGGCATCAATGGAACCAGGGCATCCGCTGGAACGGGCGGCAAATCAAGAATGCCTTCCAGACCGCGGTCGCCTTGGCAGAGTGGGAAAGTCTTGAAAAGAACGCGGACCACCCGCCCCCTCCCCAGCTGAGGAGGAAGCATTTCGAAGAAGTCACCAAGGCCAGCATGCATTTTGAGTCGTATCTGACTGCGGTTCGGGAATCCAATGCTGAACGTGCCAAGGCACAGATGCTGCGTCGCGATGAATGGACTCAAAATATCCCGCAGGAATATCTGCCAAATTGGCTGGGTTCAAGTGGTGATGTGGGAGCGAAGAATAATAACAATAAAAAGAAGAAGCAGAAGAAGGAAGAGTTGTGGAGTTCGAGTGAGGAGTCAGAGTGGGAGTCTAAGGATGAGGAAGAGAGTAGCGCGAGTGAGAGTCAGAGTGATGAAAGTGAGTCCGAGGTAGAGATGATAAAGAAGCAGGGGACGAAGCAGAAGAAGAAGTCACCTAGAACTAGCCAAGAGAATAGAAAAGAGAAAAAGAAGGAGAATGAAAAGAAAATGGACAAAGTGAAGGAAAAGGCAAAAGGAAAGCGGGGTGGCAGCTCAAAAAGTAAGAAGCATTTGTCGGATACTGAGTCGACGAATACTCAATCAACGGAGAGTGGGAGCGAGGGATGATCAGGAATTAGTATTTCTTTATATCCGGGGATTTCCTTTTTCTCAATGGGTGTGGATGGAGTGTCATTGACATAATGTGGATGATTCATTCCCCGTTTATTATATGTTTTTTGAACCTATAATTTTAGTGAATGGCAAATGGCAGGTGAACCCGTGTAAGATGGGTGACGCTCTCGGAAAAAACCGCATAGTGATGAAATTATGTAGTCTATACAGTCCCACAATTCACCCGATTAGCGACTTGGTCAATGAAACTGGAGTAGTGTTTGAATTATAGGGTAGTCGGGGAGTCTCGTCGCGGCGGACGACATTTGGCCTGGCAAAAGCTGTTGACATAGTCAAGCTCGTGACTAGAAGATATGGGTTAGACGAAAGTATTATGGTTGATGCTCTGAGTCCCTGGCCACCAGGTCCGTGGGTTAACCCTGATTAACGACCTCGGGATTTCTGAACCTTACGCAGTGACCCTTTCCAAGCTTTTATTAAAATGACATTATTCGGACCGTTCCGAATGTACCTGGGTATATTACAGGAGTGGATGAAATACCGAGCGTTCGACTTCTAGCCTAGCATTTTAAATTACATTGCCCTCCTGCATAATTTTGGATACAGACAGCATGTTTTGCCGAACCGCCAATGGCATATTCACCTGATTTATTAGGAGAGCCTCACTAGCTGTTTGGCCACCAATGCGGATGGAAGAATCAGATCCTCGACTTGCTAAGTACTCAAGATACGTGGCCTGTATATCGAGCTTCTCCCTCCAATGATAAGAGTGAAATCTTCCTTTCAATTCCAGGAGCTCTTTATTAAATGCTTCGCATACCGCATGCAAAGCCGTTGGTCCGTGCTTGACCCCCATGCGGGCATTGATGTTGGCCCCCGATGCCAAAAGCCTCTCAATTGTGGCACGGCCAATTTTCTGTAGGGGCTTATTCCATATGCATAAGCCCTTTTGTAGGATGTACTGGGCCAATAGGGTGGTAGGGTCCACCTTTAAATCATCCAGGACATAGGTCAAGAGACCTTGCCATGCCGCTGAAACTTCGACTGGTGGATCCCCAAACACCGAAATTTTAGAGTCGTAGGAAGCGAGTGACTCAGCTAGCGTGCCAATACTGACTGCGTGTCGGAGCAGATACTTCACAGCCAGGAGAAGGCCTGGAATTGTGGTCAATTTGATCAGTCCCCACTTCTCGAGGATGAAGTCCAGGCACATTTGGGAAGGGCTCCAATGGCACCGCACCCAAGGTGCACGGTGTATTCGCTCAAGGTCTCCACGACCTGGAATGGGAATGGGTTTTTGAAGGTGTGCCCCTCGGCTAGCCAGAAATACGAGTCCATCGACTGGGGGTAAGGCATGTGTCGGTTCGTCCCAGTTGTTAATGGAATCAATATAGACAAGCGCAGGACTCATGTATCGGTATTTTTTGCAATCATGGTAGGTATTTTCGCATATCACCGGTGTTGGATGGTTGATGTCTGCGCCATGGTGTAAGCACCGCTCGATCACGGCTGTCCCCTGGCTTGACATGCATGCTGCAGCGGCCATGATGGGAATATGCCAAGGCCGACGGACAGGACGAGCAACATTGGGTCCATGAATGATTCCTCCTTTCTCGATGAGGAGATCTAGAACTTCAGTTTGCGCCTTCCGAATTGCCACAGTCAGGGGAGTCACTAGTCGGTTGCTATAGGAGAATAGCTCATTGGGGTCGCCACCGCGGTCCAGTAAAAGGCGCACCGGACCCAGCGGAGAGGCCGATGCCGATTGGGCGATTACCCCTAGCAAAGGTATGGTAGATGGGGGATGGTGTCGATAGTGTCCCATACGAAGCTGATGGTCGAGGCCGGCATCCAGGTAGAGTCGCAACAGAGCCCAATCATTTCCGGGGCTGCAAATGCGGCTGACAAAATGACGGATGGCGCCCTTGTCCACATCAAGATTATCGAGCCGTGCGCCAATATCAAGCAGGTACCGAAAAGCTTCAACTTGCTTTTTAGTGGCTGCTAGATGTAACGTGGAAGTTTTGATGTAACACCCCGAAGAACTGGTGCTCACGTAAACCACACTAGGGGAGGCACCTAGGGAGACTAAGCGACTAATGGCTTGGTAATTCCCATGCGAGCACGCCCAGCCCATTGCGAGGTCCATGACATGTTCTCTGCTGTAGAAGATTGGGTCAAGCTGGTGGCATAGCTGTCTGTTTGTGGCTAATAGAGATGCCAAATCACGATCTCTCAAGTGCGATACGATCGCATCTAGAAGCTCGGCAGGAAGTGCCTCTAGCCGTCCTAGTTTATCCATGATCTTTTGAATGATTAACGGAAATAGATGGGCAGTAAAAGAAAGGTGGCCAGATAAGATCAACAAATTGGCTTGATCATGTGGTAAACTAGTCAGATATAGCCCTAACCTCATCGGACTAGCTCCTACTTCTATAAGCTGGGAATTTACTCCGTAAATTTTCTCAATAAAAGATAAAACTGAGAGTAATCATTTCGATAATTATTAACAAGAATTGGATCTCCCCATACGAACTCGCTCTTGTTACGCATCTTGCTTTGAACTAAGCTCGCCGCTTTCTTCTTGTCGGCGGTATATTTTGCTTTGAGGGTTGATTTCATACCTTCCAGTCCTTTCTTTCGAAATTGCTTTCCCGAAATGCGTAGAACATCTCAGACGATTCTATCGCATGTTTGTCTCAAGTCTTCAACAAGTCCTTTAGCTCATCACTCAGCTTGCCATCACCCGTGAACTTAAAGGTTTTATCAAACTCCTTCTTGGCCTTCCAGTAGCGCTCGACGAACTCCTCGCCCACTTTGTCATAATAATTTACTGCTGTATCCCCCGCAATGAGATTCGCAACGTTCAGATCTCCGCAGTAATTTCATTTTGGGACCTCTTCGGTTTTGCCATTGTCAAGACGTATTCGCAGAAGCCCACTGCGGGTTAATGGGCCCCCAATTGGGCCCCAAACAGTATGAAGATACCGAGAATTTAGATACCAAGTAAAGTTGAACCCCCCTCTTAGGGGTTTTAAAATTATACTTCGTTTTACCCCCGTTTTTAAGCCTTATCCTAGAGGTAATATTCTGTTATTTTGAATGATTTAGATTTAATTACTAGTTATCCATCTATTTATATCACGTCTAAAAATATCAAAAAACGCGTTTATTTAGAAAACCTCAAGTTACATAAAATTTACTAGAAATATAGTCAACATCTGCTGCATCGCTTTCAAGACCCCGACAAAAGCCGAGCTAATAACCCCGCTACTTGACGAGCATGCTTTCCCTCTTGCTATTCCCGAATTAGTGCCACACGTAATCCAACAGAACGGCCAACCTTAGAAAAATGTAAAGGATGTGGTTAGCATCATGGAGAGATGATCCGCCCCTTCCACTTTATCCATAACTACCGTATGATTGGCCTTCCCATGTCTTTTTGATTGCCCTTTTACATGATATGTCCTTTTAAATGTCTTTTTTGAAGATATTTTTCTCCCCTTTCTTAGGTTCATAGGTATATACGAGGAAAATGTGGAAAAATACACTTAATGTGTGAAATGAACCTTTCTATAAATCACCTCTGTTTATAGCAATATCTAGAATCCTGGGATTCAAGGTGAAACCATCTTAAAAAGTAGTGATGCATAAATTTGCTTGTGAAAAACTTCATTTGACGTTGGCAGTACTTTGCTCATTAAGACCTCGGGAATAATAATGCAATTATTCATATTTTTCTCAAATTCGAGAATTCAGGCACTAATTTCTAGCTTTGGACCTGAGCGCTATACATCATCGAGTAGTCTGACCAAATTCTCAATCCGAGACACTGAAACATTTTGAAGGAAACTCTGCACGACACATAAAAAGGTCCTTTGTACGGTTCACACCACTGCCTTCGTATATCGTACAAATGCCAAAAAATAATCTAGAAGTATGAGGGTACGTCTCTTAATAGGGTTGTGCTCTGGTATCCATGGGTGTTTGCATGGCACCAAACTCTAAATTGACCGACATTGAACTTTGTCGTCATTTCTATCCTCACGTTGATCCAACCTTCTTAGGCTTTCTCATCTCTTCCTCTCCCTTTCACCCTCACTATGCCCGAAATGGAAGCTCATCCAGTTCTTCCCAAGATGATTGGTGAAACGATCACTATACCCTCCCCGAACCTTCCGGACTCTGATCTTTATCCTCGTCGCAACTGGGTCGTTATCGAAAAGCTGAGTGAGTATCCACGCCCAGTTACCCCCAAAGACTTTGACGATGGAATGGGCCCCGCGTACACCGCTGGGAAATATCTTTGTCGTCTTGCAGATCCCAGAGGCCATAACAAGCTTTCCTTTATGCGTATCTACAAACAAATTCCTTTGGCTGGCACTGAACTTGACAACTCGAGCATTCGCAAGGCACAGGCCTCCAAGCCACGAGACCATGTGGAGCTCCATGCCTTGAAGCATTTTACAAAGGAAAGGTGCACTGCTACCCCTAAACTCCCTGGATATCAAATCGACAAGCAAGACGAGAACGACCTTGTCCCCGGCGGATATATCATCCACCTTGTATGGGAGAATGCTCGAGGATATTATCCTCTTGACATTGAGGAGTTCTGGAGCTTTCCCTACAGCCAACGAGAAAGGATCCGTAAGAAGTTCAAAATGGCCTACACGTTTGTTACTAAATAGTCTGATTATGGCCACGTACTTATAGCTGACTAGAATTAGGGAAGTTTTGAGGCTAGGGTATGAGCTGAGCCGGACGACCGCATCGAAGATCATACTTAACAAGACCACGGATGATGTGTATGTTTTATTCTATCTCTTACGACCTCAAGCTAATAACGCACAGCAAAGTCTCCGGTTTCAGGCGGGCTGACCGCATCCCCCCAGACACGCAATGGGACGACTACAACTTTGTGAGGTTTTTGCTGGTTCTTAACTCCCCGGCCCGGTACAAGTACCTTTCCATCAAGGCGAAGGATCTCAAAAGTGAACAAAACAGTCGCTGGAAGTGGTGAGGAGGAGGATTGATGCCCAGAAGGAACCAGAGAGCAATTCCTGGCGCTTGGTCTCATGCGTTTGGCCAACTAGCTTAAAAGAATTACTACCAAGATCTATCAACAACATATCTCCCTAGTTCCTCTATATATTAGGAAAGCCTAACCTCACTAGGATCCCTAATCAAAATTCCCTCGGTGAAAGTAAAAACACAATTTGCACACCGAGTTCAGACTTTGAGGCACCTATATGGATTTTGGACACATCACGCTGTAGTATATCTACACTCGCTAGCTGCCATAGCATATACATGCCTTGGAACTGCGTAGGCCCACCACATACCTAAATTGTATGGGCCTCTAGAATCTATACCATGCCCTACAGCTACATGTCTTATGAGAGATGCTGGATCTCGCAGTTTATCAGTGGGTAATTGTCGCATGAAATGCACATAGTTTATTATATCAGGTATCTTAGCAAGATAATGCAGCCTGAACATCATGCGTGAATACATTCGTCATTGTCGAACTGTTCAATATAGAAAATTAAAGCAAAGCTGCGAGCAGAGAGTAATAAGCTGTTGGAGGACGGGTTACAACTAAAAAGGGGAGAAAGCAGAGGAAGAGTTATGATCTCTTCAATCTAGCAAACCAGGGTATATATACCCTGGTAAAATCATCCAAACAAGGCTCAGTCCACATGGGATGCTCCAACATATCCCTGTTTGGGAGAATGTAGGATATTCAGGTGTAGAACGGTGGTGTTCAGGGCATTCAGGTGAGGGGCTGAAGAGTGGGGCGGCAAGAGGGAGTTTCCAACCGAATAAATAAACGGTTGAACAAAAACATACAACAGTGAGGATTCCCTGGTGGTCACCCACCCAACTACTAACTCACCGGCGTGTGGTTTAAACGCAGCCCATAGTCGGGTGGGTGCTACCTAGGTGAGAAATAGGTAAGCGCCGCTTTTATATCGCGCGACAGGGGGTGAGCAGACTGAGTTGGTTATAGATAGGAAGGTGGGCCGGTGAGAAATATCGTAGATCGCGCGATTCGCGCGACTATAATATCATCGCAGCCTAGGTAGTTCTTGTAAAAGATTATGATTGGACAATCATATATTTAATATAGTAGGCCCATAATGGGCCCCCATTATTTGTCAAACAATACTCCGTACAAACATACATACTACCAATCGCAACTGCATAATTAATACATTTTTCCTGGTTTTTTTGGGTATTGAGATTACTATCCAAGCTGTAGTGTAGTATAAAGCTACGTATACTCCGTACGTAAATCATTATATTTTCTTTATGTATCTTCTAAATAACAGTTTCAGACTCAGCGATATCAACAAAATCATAATCTATTTTCATAATACTCTACGTTTTCTACAAGAACGTACTTCTTTTAATTAGGGGCTTATATATTTAACAGAAGTACATTTTATTTTCTGAAGGTAAAAGCGATAATTCTATCTGTCCCTTGAGTATACAGGTTGGAACATACGTAAAATACAGTCATTAATCGGCTACTTTATGTGTGCCAAGATAATATTTATGCAGTAAAATGGGCTTTGATGGGGGCCTTATGGGCCGTGGGTTGGGCCCCTCGAAGCCCGGCCCATTTATGGGCTTTACAGAGGCCTACACCGTACTGTCAAAGGGTGAGAACGAAGGGGCAAACTACCAGGGCAAATCCCTTATGTCCCGTCTCTCAGATCTCTATCCTCTTACCTTGCTGGAGATTAACTATCGATGCCATCCTCAAATCTTGGATTGGCCTGTATCAGCTATTTACAAGGACAAGATCACCGCCAGCGAGCAGAATGTTATGGCTGATCGTGTGGGTAACGCCTGGGATACATTCGTGTCCTCTCTTTACCATTTCAAGCGTGCAGGTCTTATTGGGAAGCGCCGACTGGCAATTGACGCCAATGGAAAGGCGGAATAGCCTTCAGGGAGTACGTCCTGGTGCAACGACGAACATATCAGTGTCGTAATCACCTTCCTGCGCGCACTGCATACCGATAGATCCAGCAATGATCGGATCGGCCCCAGTGATGTTGTATTGATCTGTCCCTATAAGGAACAGGTCAAGCGCGTCAATCAGCGCTTTGCCCAGGAAGGCGTCAAATACGACCGGTGTTTGACTATCGACGGATCCCAGGGTCAGGAGGCCAATGTAATCATATTCATCTTCACTAAGCCTCGTACCAGTGACGAGAGCGAGGTTGGCTTTCTTGCCAGCTACCATCGATTGAACGTGGCGCTTACCCGCACGAAGAAGTTGCTTATTCTCGTTGCGAATCTCGGGATTTGGAACAAGCGATGGGCAGGGGCTGCCAAAAACGGCTCCACTCGCTACCTGGGTAGCTTCCTCACAGATGCTTTTGCCAAGAATGACATTTTGAAATGGGAGGGGACCAAGACCGTCACTGAGCGCGTCGATGGAACCCAAAAGCCGAAGGCCATCGTCTCCATGCCAGCTTCTTCCATGCGCAAAGCTCCCTCGGCCCCCAAATCTGCTGCTCCACCGCGCAAAGCATCCCCCGTTACCCGCCCACCGGCCTCGCCACGCAACGTGGAACAAAGCGGGGCCGTTGGTGTTGCCCCAGATTCCAAGGTAATCGGTGGAGAGGCCGTTAAGATAACCTCGTCCCTGGAGCAGTTGAAGTTGGATCGGGAGGCCTTGGAGGCTGAACAGATTGCCATGAATGAGAGGTGGACGATGCTGGACGCCATGCTGGCCAAATGGAATGCTGAGTAGGACGACTTGAGGGCTAGATGGGCAAGGGTAGATGCGGCTATCGCTAATCTTGAGTTGGGGAACGACTTTGACTAGAATAGACCAAGCTAACTTCAGTCTTAATGTTATGAATGTTGTCAGAGCGTTATTTGCGTTTTCTTCTTGTGTAAACGAGGTGTGGTGAGTGACCCGTGGTTACCCCGGGGCCCTGGATTACCATTACTGTGCCTGCCATCTGCAAAGTTTTACTTTCCCCTCTCAACTCCGCTACCTGACTTTCCATCTCGCACCTTTGAGTTGTACTTTGGTCCCTCACGCGTCGCCGAAATATTCAGGTTGTGAACAACGAGTCTAGTCTCTCTCCTCAGTTTCTGTGTCCTTTCTGAGGCTCCATATCCCAACCCACCGCCTCTCGTCAATTTCCTTGTCTCCTTTGGAGCTTGAACTCTCTTGAAACCACTCGCCTGTCGTCGGTTTCCTTGTCTCCTCTGGAACTTGGACTCTTATCAAACCACTCGCCTCTTGTCAGCTTCCTGGTCTCCTCTGGAGCTTGGACTCTCTTGAAACCTCTCATATCCTACCTCTGAACTCACTCTCAGTTTATCCTTGTGAAGCGGAAATACGCCCAATATGTCGTCGTCGCACCCCGATGCCGCGTTCGCAACGAATTCCCCTACCACTACCCTCGAAGTTTTAGCTAGAGATCTCTCTACGTCTCTCTTTCGTGCCACACATCACGGACTGTATGACAAGGTTGCGGTCCTGGCCCTACATTGGGAAAACGATGATATAGGCGTGGAAGCTATGGAAAGTGAACTGCTTAACCTGTTTAAAAGGGTTTATAGATTCAACGTCCAAACTTATGTGATTCCACTGGTTACTACACAGTTTGGCTTTACGGTCTTTCTCAACGGGTGGCTCGAAGATAATCAGGGAGAACGAGTACTGCGCATCATAATATACTCCGGCCATGCACGTGCAGGGGGAACAAGGGACACCGATTGGTTTTTAGCGTGAGTTCGACAGCGGTTTTTCAATTTTGATATGTTTACTAACAAACTGACTATAGGGGCCGAACTGACCGTTATGGCAATCTGCGCGGACCCATTTTGAATTGGTGGTTGGTCCGAGGCACGGTGAACACCTATCCCGGAGAAACGTGCTACATTTTCGATTGCTGCTCCGGTGGATCTGTAGTACTTGGAGACCACGGTGGGGGTGAGCTTATCGCTTCTTGTGGGTGGGAGGGCTTTGCTACCGCGGAACACGCCTGGTCCTTGACACAAGTCTTGCTTGAAACCCTCCATGATCTGAATGGCAGTCCTGCGACTCTCGCGCAGGTGTTTGCAAGAGTTTTCCGTCGTGGGCACCAAAATCAACTTGGAGCAAGCCCCGTGTATGTTCCACATGAGAGTCGGCCAAGTGTGACTTTGGCTCCCCTCGGTCCGGAGAGGGCAATCACCCGCCCTTCCACAGCACGGTCATATCCACAAGTCCTGCTCAGCGTGAAGGTCCGGGCTACTATGCCCCATGATACTACTGTGTGGCAGGCGTGGTTGCAATCTCACATCCCTCCCGATGTCGTCGACGCCAATGTCACCGTTCAGGCAGCTTTTCAAGGATCGTGTCTGCTCTTGCTCACTCTGCCTACTGAACTCTGGATCATGTTACCCCGTAACAATGGAGCTTACACTTTTGTCGCGCATGTAAATTCCAACATCCTGACCTGCTCTCAGCAGCCGATAACGATGCCCATCCGACCCATGCAATCCATGCACCCAACCCTCCCTCCCGCAAGAGAAAACAGCCCTCCGCGCGGTGTCGCCCGGGATTCCTCCCCAGGAAAAAGGAACATTTGAGCCGGATGTGTCAATGACTCTATCTCACAATCCTCAAATCCACAATCCGCGATGATTGATCTTCTCGTTTCTTTTTACCTCGCCTCGAGATAGGTTCCTATTCTGAGCACGCATGTTTGTCCCTTCCTCTGACTGACTATCTTTGCTTTGATATTCATTCAAAATGCCTATTGATATCCGATCTCAAAACTTGCTTTCATCACATGAGCTTCATAGTAAAACAGACCTTTCTTCAGAAGACAAATCCTATTGCTTGCCTTCTATGGATGATACTCGAATTCAGCTACTTCGTGTTCCCCAGATTTCTTCCCTCTCGTTTGTCTTTTAAAACGGTTAAGTAGATATATAGAAGCTCACCAAGTTCATCGCACTATAACACCAGCAAAGAGGACAAGGCACAGTGAGAGCGAGTGCGTGCAGTAAGATCTTCTGCGAGGATGTAGCAATTCTGGCCGCTGGAACGGATGGATCAGGCGCTAAACGTAACTGTGGTCAGCATGCGAAGATAAATGTCAAAAGATGATAGCAGCGGGGATCATTGGCGGGCTAAAGAGTGAGGCAATTTGTCTGACAGCTGTCCCCGCATTCCTCTATCTCGAGCTGGGTGAGACGAGTGAGGGTGTATTTTCTGATGATTGTGAACTTACCTAGGGATGCTTCTGCGAAGAGCCAGGTAAGCCAGGTGAATGGTGGGGAAAATAGAGAAGAAGGTTTGAAAAGCCAAGAAGATGCTATTTATAGGTCAAAAAGAATTTTGCGGAGCATCTACAGGCTATAGAACGTATTTCAGGAAGAGGAAGACTAGTCGTGGGTTGACTTCAATATAATAAATGAAAACGGTGTTACGGCAAGGTCGAAAGTGAATAACCTGAATTGGGTTGTATGGGCCAGTGGGAGCCCAGGTGGGGTGGAGCGGGAATTTCTGACGGCCATCAAACTACTCTACTGTGTAGGAGAAGCATGGACAGGGCGGAGCGGGAATTTCTGACGGCCGTCAAACTCGGCCTGTAGCCGGGCCAATAACGAAATCCAAATCTTTGACTTTCTTGCCATCATTGGCGTAGTGGTTGCCTGCTAGTGGCTGCACGTCTCCTGTGTAGTACAAGCTGCCGTAATGTGAGAATGAAACCCCAGCCACTGATTCTGGAGATGTGTCATGGCAATAAGCACTTGGAGCTTCTGGGGTAGTTTCATCTCCCTACTCCACAAACCAGATGCAAGCTACCTTGGACATTTCGTAATATGCCTGCGCAAAGATGGGATGGCAATGATATGAGGGTGGGTGGAAATAAAATTACAGCCCAACACTCAATGATCGTACAGTGAGCGCCGCATTGCAAACTATTACAATCTAAATTGTAATAGTTTTACCACCAGTTCCATCTCTACACCACGTACCACAAATCAATTGCTACGTGTGAATGATGAGACAAATTTACAGCTTCAAACTACGGATCTCCAACTGTGGGGGATGTGTCCAAGGGATACGATCATGTACAACATGCGATTATTCTAGAAGATTTTCACGTTTAGTACCATTTTTCAATATCCCTCACGCCCTCTTCCATTCTATAGATTACCTGATATCTGTAGGGGCAAACCTGCGGAATTCCTCTTTTTAAATTGGGGGAAAGCCATTACGGAGAATCACTCAATTTCCATTGGTTGATCCCATGTGACTTTCTCTTTATATCGCATTTGCTCTCCCTCCGGTTTATCTTTATCTCTCCCTTCTCCCAGTTTCTGCTTAGGAAAATGCATCCTTTATTGCCTTTTCCTCCCAGGTCCTCATCAGTTTATGGCCCCTTATACATTCTTCTAAGCACATATCCCTTCGGATCTAAGAATTCAGGAGGGCAGGCCCCCGAGTCTCACTTATCCCAAGGCACCCCAGAAACACCTACTGTACCCGGAGGAGACCCTATATCAAGCTTACCTTTGTGTTGTTAGTTAAGCCCCGCGTCACCCATCCATATACACCTCAAAGCGAGCGCTACGACGTGCATCCCGGAGTTCGAATCCCCACGTTCCCCACGTTAACGAACCACGAACTCTTTGTCATCATTCAACAACGCGTCGCCGTTCGAGTGTCACCAACATCTTCCACCCCAACTAGCAATACGCCTATTGAATTGGGATTTGATTACCTGCAAGCCTGGTTTGGGGAAGAGTCAAAAGGTGATCTCGATCTAGTTCTTGAGCGACAATATCTAGCAAATCGAATATAAATTAAGAAACACAAAAGCATGCAACAGTGAGGATTTGCTCCTACTAACCCACCCAACCGCAAAATCACCAGCGTGTGACAGCCAGCCTATAGCTTATCTGCGGACAATGATTATGTGGGTGTCGCTAATGGTGAGCGCAGCCGTAGCGTCGCGCGACCGGGGTTAAGCTGAGTGAGCACGCACATATCAGGTGGTGACAAGAATGATGACACCCAGGTGCGAATCATGAGGACCGGCACGACTACCACACAAGCCTCCCAGGTCAGGTTGACTATATTTGTAATTTCTTATCAGGCTAATTTGACCAATTAATTTGGTCCGGGCGGGGTTTACTGCCTTAAACCAGTACTGCATATCCGTGGCAGTAAGAAAGGGTCAAGCATTAGGAGGTCAGCCACCTCCTGAGATCTCGGGTGCCGGCGGGACTTGGTTCAACATATGTATTCCAAAGTAGACATAGTCCAATGAATCTCTTTCAAATACCCCGTACGTTCACTCCATAGCGAGTAATCCTTGAAAAATGTCTCACACTAGTGGGGAAGATCGAGAACAATGATTGCTTGTTGGCGCCGGAATCGGTTAACTTCACCATTTCTAGAGCATTTGATATATCGATTTTCCGTATCAGGGACTGACCCTCCGCCTCAGACGTGCTAGTCCTGTACAGTAAGCCGCCACTCAAAGTCAGTGGCATCCTTATGTATTTGAACTCACCCGTTGGGCATTCTGAAAATTTGGCTGTCTTTTTCTGCAAAAGCTCTATAGCGAGATCAGATCATGGCTGTAATGAGATTCATTATCTTGGCACAATCTCTGCTCTGGTCTCTAGCCTTTGCTGATGCGTCGAACCTAAACCCCAAAGGTGAGGGCTGTGTCGACCCAAGTGGCTATCTCCAATGTTACGAGAACAATGTGAACACGCTTGCAACATGCATGACTGATGCGAAGGATACTTGCGAGGGGGATGTGTACTCAACATGTGTACTGGCCTGCGGAAATGCTCAGTTGGCTGCCAATATTGGCTGTTGGTTGAGCAGTTGCTGGAATGAGGTCTGATGCACCCCTTTTCTCTCACATTTCCTCTCTAATATGAGTTGACTGCAGGTCTATTCATGCGCATACCAAGAGACGGCCCTCCAATACCTCACTGGTGCAGATCGGAACCAAGGCTCCCAAATCCCTTACTATCCTGCACCGGATAATGCGCCTGGTGGATGCGGTAAGAAAGAATAACACTGGCGGCAGATGCAGTTGACTTGGATTCTCCTACTAACGAATTGGTTGAATGCAGTCTGTAATTTAGGCTATCTTTGGGGCAACTTCACCGAAACCTATGCCCTCAATGCGCCTTGCCAGAAATATGCCTCCGATGGTTCTGTTTCCGAGACGGCTAGCTGCCAGTGCTGCTGGGATTCATCCTTCTTGTCTGAGTAAGTCATAGACGTTGGGAATTATGTCCAGACATACAGATTGATTGAACGACTCATTCTCAGGTTTATCGAATGGTGTCCCAACAACGATCTCTCCATTATTGATATCGACCTAATGGTCCAAACCTTCCAGCTTGGCTATAACGAGTCGGCTTCTGATCAGTGCTCTATTCTTTCTGATCCTAGCGAATGCGTCGCCTCTTTCTCCTTGGACACTGGCGCGTCTACGTGGTACAATCCAGGCCAACTTCCCTCGGGCTTTCCTAGAACAGCACCTCTCTCAGATACTACTGATGCCGGAAGCCTTACCATACCTCCAGATCCGTATACATTCTCGATCTTCCCAAGCTATGTCACCGTCATCACCCCAGCTCCATACAACAAGAAAAATGTGAAGCCAACAAACTCGGGAACTGCTGCTGGAACCATTGCTGGAGCCACTGCTGGGACCGCTGCTGGGACCGCTGCTGGTACTGCTACGGAAAAGAGCACTTCTTCACCTAGTACGGGAGCTGCGAAGAACCTCGTATCGCCTGTTAGCGCCGATTTTGGTGTCTGGGGTCTAGCCATGTACACAATGGTCTGCGCTCTCCTTGGTGCAGCGTTGATTGCATAGAGAAGTTTAGGTATGTCCAATCCATCAACTTTTTGTTAGAAGCTGGTAGTTAGTTAACCAGGCTACTTCCTAAGATATCACATGAGCTGGATGCTGGCAATGGGGCTTCCTCTATGGATCCTATAGGGGACTCGCGATGGAGAAGCAGTGTCAGATATCTATAAAATAAGATGAACGGATAGGCAAAGGAAGAAAGAGTGGGAGAGGAAGAGAGTGAGAAGTTATCTATCATAGGATCTGTCACATGCTGCCTAGCCCCCTGTGCGGTATCTCAAGCATCCAACAACACCATCCATTTCCCATGTTATCTATTAAATCTCTCTTTCATATTACCTTGATTTTGCACATATTCAGTCGTTGCTTGAGCTTCCTGCCGTTTAACAGCCACATTAGCCCCATCATGACCATGGTAATAATTTGACTACATCTTGATGAGACAGCAGATCGGAGTAACATGTATCATTTTGATAGAAATTTACTACATACTTTTCATTGCAAGACTTGTATATTTATTTATATTTTACAGGTAGTTGTAGAGTGTTTGTTTGCTAATATCGCTGCCAAATATTTGAGGCCTCTATCTTTATCCCCAGTATAGTTAATAATGGTGGGCCAGATCCTATCTATTAAGATACCGGTTATTTATCTTCGCTATGGCCTTCTTAATCCTATGATATTAATATAATCTCAACAAGGTGCAGACTTGAGTTAGGTCACTAGTTCCAATTAGATATGTGATATCCTTGTCTAAAATATGTAGTGCTTAGGACGGTGGGGGATTGATGAACTAAGTAGGGAAGTGCGATCTCAACACATTAGCATAAGCTGGCCACTATCTAAGCGCTATTTATTTGTCAAGGCAATGCAATCTTTTCTTCAAGATTTTTTTCACTCAGATATCACCTCGAGTTCATTTGCCTGAGATCTTAGATATCTCTCACTTTCATTCTTAGAAACTATCCCTCATCTTTATATACCGTCTCTATCGTATCTTTTCTTCATCTGTCACATCCCGAAAGCAGAGAAATATCATCCAACAACCGCCATGGTCCCCCAGTAGGCCTAGTAAGTCATTGCTATCTCGAGGGGTTTGGTGAGCCCTTAGATACCGCTGATATTTATCTTTTTAGCGCATAGGAAGCCGAACGTATACTGGCTAGTTATCTTGGCCTTGGCACCGCGTTACGTGGAGCCAAAGCTCCGAGAGCTCGTTCCCGCCCCCACATGCGAAAACAACTGCGTATCGTGGTCTACCTCACTCAAGTGTGCTCGGGACGCAATGAGACGGGAGGATAGAGGGAAACCAGTGATACGTACGTGTTTAAGAAGAAGCTGCCTGGAAGCTAAGTCTACAATACCTGTGTGTTAGCCTGAACCTCAAGGCTGTCATGTCGCACTATATATATCGGAGCCTGGAATATCTGAGCGTAATGCTCAGATATAGTGGTCTTTTTGGCCTAGTGTGTAACTCGCCAGTCCAGGGGCATGTTATAACAAAGGCTCTCATGATCAAAGGGAACGGCAATGTTCCACTGCATCTACCTGAGGTGGATAGGAAGCCGAAACATTATGGAAGACGACTGTTAACTAGGTGGACTGACCGTGGAGTAGATATGCGATACCTACAGCTCACCGATTTGGCTAGTTCCCCAAGAACATCCTTTTTTTCTGAATTGATAAGGTTCGTTTGGAAAATTTATTCACTCTTTGATTGACGTTAGTGACTTAGCGCCGCATCAGACAGACAATAGGCTCAAAGCTTGAATAATCAGGAGAGGTTCATCTGGAATTGTCGGTTGGTATTTAAGGGCTGCACGGTGTTCCTCTTATTCTCTTATCAAAACCCACTGCTGCGTTTAAGATATTTCCCGCATTCCGCACCCCTGTTTATTTATCTACAGTTAGCGACAGCCTTCACTTTAAACGCATTATGTCAGTTGTGAGAATCAATTTCGTAGATTGAAATTTATCTCCCACTGTCACAATATGTTGTATTGTTTTGCAGCTCTATGAAGATTTCACTCAAAATAAATTTGGTTACGTAAAACGTGCCGTGTTGCCATAATCAGTCGGCCGATCCTCTACCGTCACAGCAACTCCATAATTAACCATTATGTTCCCCATGTTACCCGGAGGCGCCAATTTCTCCTGGCTGCTTGCCGGACTGGTAGAACGGTATGCACTCGTTGACTGGTACGACTCCTCCTTCCCCCTAAAGCTATTCAAAGCAATATCCCCCACCAACGCGCCCGAGCGGTGCGATGGCATACCACTGGCTCCACGGCCTCGTAAATTGTATGAGTCGTATGGGTAGGATGTCTTGGAGGGTGAGATAGCGGTTTTAACCACGCGATAGAGGCCGGGGCAGCAACCGATAATGACAGCTATGATAATGATAGTTAGTCAATGGATTCAATATGCAATTAGGCAAAGTGGGAAGTATAAACATACCAACTGATCCCTCGATGGTTCCCCATAGCGCTAGCCATGATGGAGCGGGGACACCGTTTTGAGTCTCGCCTAGCTGGACGACGCGGATGGTGGAAATGATGATGCAAACCCATCCGAAACAGAACAACCCGCCAATGCTCAACTTTTGTCGGGGGTTCATTTGCAGGTTCCAGATCAGACGAATGGGGAGGATCATGACTTGGCGAGGTATTAGATCACTGATATTTAAGGAACAAGGAGCACGATACGTACTTGCTAGATCAGTGAGTATGTCCACTGCATATGAGTAGTACAAGCTGATGACGGCCGCGCGATGATCGCGCTCGGTGTTGCATTGACCTGCAGTGAACCAGGCATGGAAACTCGAGCATGAGACCCAAGACGAGGCAATGCAACCGATAATAAACTGAGAAGCATCCCGTCAGTTATTTGAAGACGAGCACTCAGACTGGAAATCCATACCAAGACACAAGCTACCACAATAGCCCACCAGGCGATTATGTAGTTTTTCCCTACTAACAACCGTTTATACATCGCTAAGAGCGAGAATTTGACCATCCACAAGCAGACCCATAATGAAGATGTAGTGACGAAGAAGACAGTCTGTAATCGTAGTCCATCATCTGAAACGGTGGCCCAGGGGGCAATCTTTCCGGCGCTGAGTTGTGCTAGTTGATAGATGACGGGAGAAATGTAGATGTAGAGGATGCTGAGTTCCAAGAAGAATATGTAAGCCACAATCAACAGGTAGTCCTCAGCCTTGAGATCCTTGAAACTTCGAATGGAACCAACAAAACGGACGCCCACAACCAGCGTGGTGAGTATAGTTAAGGCGATTCCAGTAGCTTTGATGGTACTGCGACCAAAAGTGCCTGTGGGCTCTCCCATTCCTTCTCGTTGAGACTGGAATTTAGAGAAACACGCATTAGGAACCACGTGGGGCGACTGTCATCCATATAGTATCATTTTAACAAAATTTCCACAACCACATGGGAGCCATTATTATCTTGGATTTAAGATTCACAAACTGCAGCCACCATGCGCAATCATTCAGTGAACAGGGATTGTCAAACTTCCACGAGGGGCAATCTACCGATTTGTTTCGAATCCACTGCAAGAATTATCGAAGACACATGCCCCACTAGTTACAGACCAATGCTAGCCGAGATACATAGCACAGGTGGGGTGAATAGCCCCACACTTTACTCCCGGCTGTTCCAAGGTTGTGCCCAGAATTGCCATGGGTGCCCCAATAATAACACCCAAGCAACCATGGGATCCGACAACGGGCCGAGGTGCACGTCCATAGATAAAAGGGCCTTGGAAACCAAAACATCTTTGAGGCTCAAGGCATGTTCTAACATCAATTGTTATTCCAATGAATATAAAAATGCCCTTCAAAAGGGGAAATAAAATCCGGCAGATTTTGATGACTGCCGGTGAAAGGCTGGGTAAGATTGCGAATTGAGTTTGGGCGTCTTCTTGTCTCAAACTAAACCTGACACCTGCATAAGTCTCCGGCCTACGGAGTACCGGGCTCTGTGTGGCGTTCTGCATAGCGCGCTCATTTGGGAAATTCATTATATTTCCCCTTTTTTCGAGATTATGTTTGGCTTAAAATTTCAGGAAAAGAGAAAGTTTAGCCGATATGAATAGCCTTATCTAAGAATAATATGGGGGGGGGGGCGGCGAACAAGCGCCGACGCCGCCGAGTCTAGAAGGAAAACTCACAAGTCCATTGTTCTGAGCCACTGGCTGCTACTGGCTGCTACTGGCTAGCTTAGCCGTTCGGGTTGCGCCGCTTCGCTTAGATGTGGAAGCGAAATTGTTTACGCGATCGCGAATGCGAACACTTTGGAATGCCCAGTCAACAACACAATATGCTCGAATTATACGAATTACGGCCCCTTAATTACCAATCTAACGGTCTGCTCCAGGCACCATCCCCGGAACCTCATCGGACTAGAGCCTTTGATCAGCTAACCTCCGAGGAAAGTTAAAAGACAGTAGTTCTCCTCCTCCTGGATCTCTTTTCTCTTTTCCTCTCCAAGTCTTCACATTTGTCTAGATTTCGCCATTGTTTGCTCTGTCTTGGTTGCTTACATAGCTTTTGGATCATGCATCTTTCAACCCTCATTAGCGGGTTATCCGCGATTGGTGGGCTCACCGTGGCCCACGCCGCTGTGACCAACCCGGTTATTGAAGCCGATGACTTCAATGTCACCGCCGCATTGGGGGATCTTGGCGTGGATGTGTCAAGCATTCCCGCATTGGAGCCGTACACCGGCCTCGAGGCACGGTCAACCGACCTGGCCTGTGCAGCTGCTGTAAGTGAAGAAGAAAGAAATACTGCCATTAATAGCAAACCAAATATGCAATGAGCAATGGCTAATTTTACTTTTCTCAGTGCGCAAGTTTGAGCTTCGTATTTGGCTCCAAAGTCTCCGGTCAGGGGGCTGATGGGTACGACAACTTCACTAGCTCGTTCTGGTCCGTGCAGCAAGAAGAGGTCGAGCCCCGTTGTGTTTTCCGTCCTACCAAGAACACGGACGTCAGCACTGCAGTTTTGCTTGCCCGTTTGACCGGTTGTAAGTTTGCTGCTCGTAGTGGCGGTCATGCTGCCTTTACCGGTGCTTCTAGCGCCCCTGGCGGAATCAGCATCTGGTTCAAGGATATGAATGCCGTTACCCTTAATGCGGACAAGACGGTCGCTTCTATTGGTCCAGGAAACAACTGGCTCTCTACCTACTCTGCCCTCGAGCCCTACGGCTTGGCTGTTGTTGGAGGCCGTGCTTCTAGCATTGGTGTTGGTGGTTTCGTTCTGGGTGGTGGAATTTCCTACCACTCCAACCTCTACGGATGGTCTTGCGACAACGTTGAGAGTTTCGAGGTAAGATCATACACCTGATATGCCCTCCGCAAAATAGATACTAACCATTCCCGTATAGGTCGTTACCGCCAGTGGTCTGATTGTGACTGCGAGCGCAACTTCCTTCTCTGACCTGTACTGGGCTCTGCGTGGTGGCGGCAACAACTTCGGTCTTGTCACCAAGTACAATCTGTACACTATCCCCGCCCCACACATGTACGGTGGTGCCAGAACCTTCCTTCAGACCGCGTTCCCTGATGTTATCAATGCCTGGGTCAACGTAATCAACAATGCCACTGTTGATGGCAACGCCCAGCAATACGTCGCCTTCCTCCAGACCCAAGGAATGAGCCTTGCCTCCGCCGAGCTGACCTACCTGAAGAACGACTCCAACCCCGAGATCTACAAGCAGTACAGAAGCATTCCGGCCATTTCCGACACATCCAGCTCCAAGAGCCTTGTTGAGTACGTCAGGTACCTCGAGACCGAGAACCCCTACCACCTTCGCGAGGTCTACTGGCCCATCAGTGTGAACCTTGACGAGAAATTCGCCAACTGGGTCGTGAACCTCTGGTTCTCAATGATCCCCCAGATGGCCAATGTTACCGGTGGCCAGCCCGTGCTCATCTACCAGGGTATCACCGAGCCCATGTTGAACAACATGAACAACTACGGTGGCAACCCTCTCGGACTCGCTGGCTCCGCTGGTCCTGTCCACCTTTTGCACGTTGCCTTCTGGTGGAATAACTCCTCTGACGACAATACCGTCTACGCGTTTGTCAACAGCTTCTTGGAGAAGGTCCTTGCTGAGGCTAAGGTCGTCGGCGTCTACAACGAGTACATCTATATGAACTACGCCGGCATGTTCCAGGATGCTATCGCTGGATATGGTGCTGCCAACAAGGCTCAGTTGAAGAATATTGCCAAGAAGTACGACCCCAGAGAGATCTACCAGGTTCTTCAGCCTGGCTACTTCAAGCTTGAGGGTTCTCCCGTGACCCCCAATTTCTAGAAACACTTGGGTATAGAGATGTCATCTACCACTGTATTTAACTATATGTAAAAAATTTCTAGATGATACCTGATTCGCTATATAATCCAATACTTGTGCATCATACATCATTGCATCCATACATTACATGTACATAGTCTATATCTAAGTATCACTGCTTGGAGGAGGTTGTAGAAACGGTGGCCGGAGCGCATGAAACCACAGTTTAGTTGCGAACTATCCGTGGAAACCGAATAAAAGAAAATTGGAAGTGGTCAGAGCGTTAGAAACAATGGTTTCATAAATTCAAAACCATGGTTTTACTACATGATATTCATGGATACTTATCAGATTTCCATGGTTCCATATTCTAGCTATGTATCCCCTTCGACAATATGCCTCGCCATTCTCACATTCCATGATGTGCTCGGATATATGCTATCCAGAACTTTTTTTTATTATACTCACAGGCTATCTAACCAGTCTGGGCAAGGTACACATGGACACCTGGGCCTTTGTCGCGCCATTCCTATCACTTCGGCATCCCCTTCCTATCACCGATCACACTCTATTTTCAATACATTACTGGTGCTTGCGGTTACCACGGCACGGTGTATAGCAATGCTGCTAGGGCGCATCGCTTCAAACTGAGCGGTTTGTCTTGAAGGATCGAAGAAGGTCATCCGAAATTCCTTTCACTCGATGACTTCAGAAGACAGTAGTACAAATTTCCCGGGTTGGTCTCAATGATACGGCTGTTAATATTTCTTCCAATTCTTCATATGCCCAATCAATGGCTGAGTACAGTGCTAGACTTCCTCTAGTCTGATCCAAGCGTCGCTAGTTTGGACTGCATATAAAGTTGCCGCTTCGTAGAGAGTCGGCTACTTCAGACAGCAAATACAGCACCAAAGAATTTTCAAGCTTAGGGTAGGAATTTAGAACTGGTTCTTGGAAGCCGGACCCCGCCAAACCTTCCATCAAGGAGTCGTCGGTGTGCTCGACGTACCATTTCCTTGCGGATATCCCGTCGATCGAACCTTCCGTAAAATTGACGGACATATCTTCCGCCCACGAGTGAGGCAAGACAAGGGGGCAAATAAAAGAGAGGTCAACCAGGCTCTTAAACCAGTCAAGTATGGCGATGCGGACCGTCATGGGCAAGCATTACCGCGAGAATCGGGACACCCCGCTGATGAAAGCTCTATCTTGCAACGTTAGGGATTGCCAGTTTGTCGAGGAGAGTGGGGGAGTGGAGGGGCGTGGGGTTTTCCTTTTCCAAACCTACACGGACGTGGTGTCAAGCCTAGGGATGTGAGTGTAGGGGAGGTGATAAGTGTTTGGGAGGGGCATTTGCCAGTTTCCTGGGATTTAAATATCAAGGGGAGGAATCGGACGGGGAGTGGTCGACGGGAGTGGAGAGATTGGATGGGATCTGTTTAGTGAGCTGTTGGTTAGGGTTGCTATCCTATTATCTTTCTCATGCGGAGATATAGTATACACGCATACATACATGCATATTTGTACTGATACGAAGAGGATTCTCATGAGTAGCCAATGCCCTAAATAGCCCATAACCTTGGAAGCATGTGGGACGGAACGCAGTAGGTCCAGCACAGCCCACTTCGGCCCGCACGGTTCGGGCGGCTCTGCGGTGGGGATCTGGCTATCTCCAGGGCTGTAATTGTTGGCGTCCCAACATCTGGACTCGTCAACTTTGGGGCCAAAACTCACTCTGATCACATTATTTTGTAGTTTTCACGCATAGTATGGTCATTATGGAAATACAACATATTTATGACAGGGATATATCACCTTATACATATGTAAGATGCGAGGATTTTATTACTTTTCTTTTTCGAGAGGCTGAATCGAGACCGGTGGGTCGCCTAGTGTGGCTACCATAGGGTTCATAAAACAAAGAACTTGACAAGCCCAACATAGCGATTATCACTATGACAAACACGTACTAGTCACCCCTCGCTCCATCCCAACATATTCATCCATAAAAGCCCTCGCCAGACTGACCATGCTACGCCAACACCTTCATTATTCCTTTCACCACGATCCCTCCTCCTTCCTCGGCTCAATTGCTCCTCCTGCTCCACTTCCCATAACAATTATTGAGAATCCAGAAAAGGAAGAAATAGCGATGGAATCCCCCATCTCTCCTCTCCCAAAAGAGCGACTATCCCTCTCCCACCGCTTAAACTGTTTCCTCCAACTCTGGTTGCTCAAATCCCTGGCAATCGTCTACTTTCTCTACCTCCACCTTGTCAACTCCCTTCAACCGGGCACCCAACCAGCCCTCACCAAGCGCTACGCCTGCCGCCAACTCTAGAAACCCGCATATTCTACCCGCGCTCCTACAACCCCGCCCAGCGCCAACTGCTGCCACTTTATCTGAACATCCACGGCGGCGGCTTTGTGTTATGCGATGCCACTATCGACGACTCATTCTGCAGCGCCTGGGCTAACCGTACGGCAATGCTAGTTGTCAGCCTCAACTACCGCAAGGCGCCGCTCCACCCCTTCCCAACAGCCACTTTTGACGTTGCTGAGGTAGCCAAATGCGTGCTAGCAGATGGCTCACTCCCAATTGATCACTCGCGCATCGCTATTGGCGGTTTTAGTGCAGGTGGCAACCTCGCGCTTTCTGCCTCGCAATTCCCCGGTCTGAGAGGCCTGATTAAAGCAGCTGTAATATACTACCCAATCGTGGATTTTGGCCATCCACCAAATGAGAAGCTGGATTCTAGACCGTACAAAGATGGTCCGAAGGATACACTAGAAAAGACCTCCTGGTGGCTGGACGGGGGGTATGTGAGTGTAGGGCAGAATCGGAGGGATCCGCTACTCAGTCCAGTTTATGCAGCCAAGGAGGAGCTGCCGCCATTGATTTATATGATTGGGGCGCAGTGGGATATGCTCCGGTTGGAGACACAGCAGATGATTCATGGCTTGGCTGGGTTAGGGGATAAAGTCGGAGTTGAGCAGGAGGAGGACTTTGAGGTGGGCAGGTATAAGTGGACATTAGCGAGAGGGTGTCCGCATGGATTTACCCATGCTTCGCCGGGACGGAAGAAGGGGGGTAATAGCAGGAGGAAGAAGAAGGAAGTTGCGCAGGGGATTAATGAGGAGTGGTTAAAAAAGTCCGAGGTTCTTTCTTAGCTTTGTACCGTACCTACCCAAGTTTTTGAAGAACTTTGCCTTATGGGCTTTGTTGGTTTGAATAAATAGAGTTGTGTGTTTAAGTAGGGAGTTAGTAAGATGTATGAGGTCCATATTGTGGACCCATGAACATTAGGGCTTAATATATAACTACCCCCGCAATGACCAACCCACGTTCTCTTTCCAAGTTGTCCTAATGATCTATGAGCTGGAAATGCATCCATGGATTTCCCATACCGCCGTTTTCTTTATGTATCACTTTAGTTACAGGCTTCACTTTCTACTGTTTGGTAAGCCGACAGGCAGACCTCATTATATAGCCAAGCCACATGCCCATGAGTCCTCCTTGTTCAACATGACCTTTTGGCCTAGCGCCCGGGCGGCCAAATGCTCTTATGTAATCTCTTAGAAGTGGTGGCGCTCCTAGCATTTAGACCTTGGCATTATAGAGACTTTCTTTCCTCTTCATGACTCTACAGAGTTTACTCTAGAGCCATATATATAGTAGAAGAGTAAAAGCATCGATTCTCAGGAGCTATAAACTATATTCCATTTCATGAGATCATAGTCGGTATTTGTTTGTGCTTAGATACCAGAGCTAGGCACAAGTCGATCCACATCAATAGTCGCATAGGTCGCACATCATTTCGACCCAGAGAAGTGCTTCGTAGCACGAATTGAATATCCGTAGCATCAGTTCCGGTGAGCTAGTCTTGGATTTGAACCACGACAGGAACAATTTTGAGGCGTTGTCAAACCGTTCCATGTAGTCGCCATAGCGAAAAATAATTTCGCTTTTGATGGACGGTTCTCATCAAGAATTTCATCTCATCAACAAAATCGTAGCTTGAATCGTCCAGGTCTGCGAACCCTCATTGTTGTCTATCGGTTCTTGAAAGCGTTAGAAGTACTATGGAGAATTTTCCTGGAGCATATCCCTAAAGAAACATTAGAGTTCATCCCGGTGACAGAACTGTCCAGTAGAGCCGTACCTTCAAATGCTGTCATATCCCTTCATACAAACCGGGAAAAATACGACGAATTGCTTGCAAAGGCTGCGGTATTAGCATAGATTCGCCTTTTCTTAGAGATTTGTATGGTGCCTTGTGGCGAGACAGCGTGTTATGGGCAAAAGGTTTGAGAAACTCGAGGTGTTGATCGGAGAAAAGAATTATTTGTAGAAAAACCACTCTAGTATTTAATTGATAGTCTGGAGTAGAAGGTACCAGGGTATGGTAATCTTTTGGACTCCTTTTGTAATGTGAAATGGATACTAACACCTCAGTTCATCATCTACATCACTTTCAAGCTTGAAAAGTACCTTCAGCTCAATACCTAGTCACATGTTCCTCCATATCGGCACTTAAATCGCATAGATTATTAGAAATCACTAACTCCTCACTCCATTCAGATTTGGAGGTAGCTGTTTAGCAGATATATAGCTACTTTCCTGAAATGGAAGGAGCCATCGAGCCTTGAAATCAAGGCCACCAAAGGAAAGGTCACATAGTTACACGTGATATGCACCTGTACAAATAGGGTCTACGCGTGATGTAGATTAGAATAATCACTGACCTTCAATGTTTCTTCACTGGTTACCGCGGCAAATTATATTGTCAGTTTCCCTTTAACCCGGGGTTCATGGATTCATTGCTATTGGATTGAACGGGATGCAGTGCCGACCTCACACCCTACTAGAAAATATGATCCAATGGCAATTAGGCAGTGATGCATTCTTGCACGCAAAGAGAACGGACAACAAAAAGAGGTTGATCACTTTCCAGCTAAGTGCTCCATTTCTCCGTCCTTAACTTTCGAATAGATTGAGACTAAGATGGAGCCAACCCTATCTAGGAAATAGATCGGCACTCTAACGGTAATCCGGTGGAGCCCCTCCATGCTAATCTAATCTTGATTGATGGGGGCATATCTGGATGAGAACAACCTTGGGAGTTGCATGGCTAGGCCAGATTCGATGATTGGCCAGTCATAAATACTCTCGGTATGAGTTGAGTGGCGGTGAATTGTGTTCCAGAGTGGAAACAAAGTTCATAAAACATTTGATTCACTCAATTGAGATTCTCTAGTCTTTACGTACAAATCAACACAGAGCCTCAAGTCAACCGCGATGACGACTGCTTCAATCCGGGACTTGTATTTCCAACCTACCGAGTGAACTGAATAAACCAGGGATATTGGCATTACCGCGCGAGCTAGGCAATTGTCTAGCGGGGTACATGTTTAGCGCAGGAACATACATCATTTCTAGGCCCAGGCTCAGTACATTTGAAACAATATTACGCCGACATCATCGATCGACGAAACATCACTCTTTTTGGGTCTATTCCTCAATAACCCCGCATCACGCAATTAATCTCGGTCTATGTCTAATCTATGACCACAATGAGATGCCTTGCAATTACTATAAGAAGGGCGTCGGCGCAGGGTTGGAAATATACCACTACCCAGTCGCTTCAAATCTATCGGACAACAAACCGTTCACAAGAAAGCGCAACAACCAACCTCCGAGACCATTTAGCAAAGCCCCTTCTTCAGCAATCAACCTCGATTCTCCACGATGTTGGCCCCAACACCAATCCCGGCCAAAGCCTCAAGCTCAGCTAACGAACTATACCTCAGCCGAGCCCGTGCCAGCGGCAGCACCGAAGATTGCATGGCTCTATACGAGAAATGGGCAGCCTCATATGACGATGAGGTTGGAGATAGTGCGCAAAACTACGTTGCACCCGTGCTAGTCGCCCAAGCCGCCATCGAATACGGGCTCTCAAACGGCGCCACAAACAGCGTGATCCTGGATGCCGGGTGCGGGACAGGGCTAGTGGGAGTGGCTCTTGCAATGGCTAAAGCTAAAGCTATCGATGGTATTGACCTATCTCCCGCCATGCTGTCTGTTGCAAGAAAGACTGGCATCTATCGAGATCTCACAGTGGCGGACATGAACCGACCGATTGCGAAGACGGATGGAACATACGATCTCGTGTCCTGCGTGGGAACTTTCACTCTTGGCCATGTTGGGCCGGACCCTGCGCTGCGAGAACTTGTCCGGGTCACCAAGAATAAGGGCATCGTTGTCTCAACGATTCTGCAGGAAATCTGGGTGCCCGGCGGGTTCAAAGCTGAGGTCGAGAAGTTGGTGACGGAAGGCCTAGTGAAGGTCGTCACCGAGGAACTTATAGATTATGTAAAGGGACATGGCGACAAGGCAGTGTTGCTCATTTTAGAGAAGATTGATCGATCCTGAACAAGACCCATGCCAATCGCGACGCAAAGCCCGTGCGACTCACAGCCCTTGCAACATAAATTGATTTGGTCTTCAACTCCCCCAATGCGACATACAAAGATGGAAATTCAACACCCAAACCCAATGCAACACTGTGGCAGGCCCCAGATGAACTTGAGTTTAGCTACGTGGAAGAAGCTTGTCATTCTTAGAGCTATATTAATTTAATAAATCCTACCAGACTAAATGAAATTATATTGTGATATTCAGGGGAATCCTCACTAGAATCCGGTCATAATCAACTAAATGGATCCGACTTCATGAATCTGCTATTGAAGCAGCAGGTCTGGAGTTCATTTTGAGCCTTGCTCCATAATGTACAGCATAAGGATATGCATGGTCAACCAAGGGGGGGCGGTAAAGTATTGGGAAGGCCAAGACGGAGCAGACAGATCAGAGGCATATGATTCGCACTCAACACTACAGGGATGATTCCAAGATTGCAGTTGTAAAATCCGGGGAACCTGGCATGTCTCAGGTTGAACAAGCTTACGTTACATATGTGCAGTCGAGGCCGGCAGCAAACTTGAAGAAAGATCCCGCCAAAATATGTATTGTAAACTAGAGCCGAAATACAATTATCACGGTCTAGTCTATTCATTTGATATAAACATGAAAATCCGCAGAAAAGCCAACCAACACCACGCTGTGAAATGAGGGCCCCGCCATCCTAAATTCAAATAGATGGTATCATGCAATGTTCATAAGAGTTTTGAGCGCGCGAAGGGAGAGGGGTTTTATAAGGTAATTATCGATACCAGCCGTAGTAGCCTGGTGCTGGAAGCCAACGGAGGAAACTCCAGTGACAGCCATGATGCAAGATGGGTTGAGATTATGTTCACGTTCGAATTCGCGAATTTTGCTCGTTGAGACAAGACCGTCCATAACGGGCATCGAGATGTCCATCAGAACGAAGTCATAGTGAAGGTTGGATGATTTGTATTTCTCCAGTGCGACAAGGCCGTTGTGGGCTGTGTCGTAGGTGCAGTTTATTTTGCGCATGAAGGTGGCCATAATCTAGCATTCGTGTTAGTGGTGCTCGGACCTAGGAAGTAGGGTGGGATAGTATGGTACCTTAACATTAATTTCATTATCGTCCACAATGAGCACGTGAGCCATTGCTTGCTTGCTGGATTGTCGGGGTGTGGAGGCGTTTGACCCTCCCGGTGAGCTAATTGCTTCATTTGAATATTCAGACATCCCTCTCAGATAGGTATTCGGGCCTGGGTCTGAACGGCTCTCTGGTGGCGTTTGCGGAGACACGGACGAGGAAGAACTGTCGGGCGGACAGGACACAGATGGAATCTGGATTTCGCGCCACTTCATGATCTTTTCAACGGCGTTGTATATTTTTTGTGGTCCGAATCTGCAAAGGGTATTAGTTTTCATTCTGAAAAGGTTGTAAACGGCAACTTACGGTTGGGCAACGCGGATGACGTTGACAGAGAGGTTATCCAGTATGATTGGGACATTGCCGCTCAGCACGATGAAGAAGTCAACACCATTCTGAGCCGCAATTTCAGAGACACGTTGGTCATTTTCATTCATAGCTTGTCTGAGGAGTTCTTGCTCAATTACAATGACCTGACCACGAGCCTCTTCGATAGAGTCCGCCAGAGAGATATTCCACTTCAGCTTTGTCATGAAGATGTTTGCCAGTGCACTCTGAATGGAAATATTCCGTTTGCCCTCGACGGTGAGAATCCCAGTGGGCGCCTCTGTGAGGTCGGGTAAACCATTGAAGCCTACCAGGCATGCATGCATTGGGGTGGTTCCTGGCTGAGTGGTTGTCGGAGCTGGGCTGTCCTCCGGACCAAGACCAGTGGGTAGATATTGAACCGGGATATAGACATCGGCCTGAGTTCCAATGCCGACCTCACTTCTCACATTCACATGGCCCCCAAGCGACATCACCAATTGCTGTACCGTGCTCAAGCCCAGCCCGACGCCCTCGGAGAGCGGGTCTTCTTGGGAGAATGGAGCAAAGAGCTTGTGTTTGATGAAATCGGGCGCTATTCCACGGCCGGTATCAGTGATGGAGAGGCGGACAAGGGGTGAGTGTGAGTCTGATCGGTCCTTGGCCTTTGATAATGCTATTTCAATGAAGCCAGCGGTGGTCCACTTCATCGCATTACCGAGAAGGTTCATCACGATTCTCCTCCAAGCACCTGCAAGGGACCGAATCATCCAAGTGTCTGTTTGGTCGACTCGTATGACAATGGACATTTGATTTTGGGCGCTGAACTCCTTGGCGATTGAATCGGTTGCTTCCTTGTTGGATGAAATCCGTTTAGCGAGCTGGCTCACCTGCTCAGGTGCTCGCTGGCCGGTGTACAATATGTCGGCAACCTCTTCCACTAAATGGCTGATGTCGAAATCAGAAACGAGATTGGCAGGGTCATTTTCTGTGATCATTTCATTTAGGACGTTCGCATGTCTCAAGTTATTGACCTTGCAGAATTCCAGCCTAGAACATGTTAGAACCTTTTTATCCGGGAAGGTCGACTCCGGTGGACTCACATATGATTCGTTGTATCCAGCAAAGTCAGCCCAGACTTTTCGATCATCGTTACCATCTCTTCTTGTGATTGGCCGAGCGATGTGGCGTGTAATAATTCGGCACTAGCCAGTATTCCGTGCAATGGTGAACGAAGCTCGTGGCTGACAGAGGATATGAAATCGAATTTTGACCTCTCGGTAGTTGCCCAATGAATCCGGGAAACCTCAGAAATTAAAGAATCACCAAAAACCTTGAAATAGTGTAGCTCCTCTAGCCCGAGCGCTCGGAAACTGCTTGTCGTCCATACCAGTACTCCAGAAAGCCAACGAGACCTATTCCAATCCCATAAAGGAAGAAATAGGGCAGATTTGGCTCCGGGAAGACACTGTGCAAGACGTTTTGCACATGTGTCGGTGTTGGGATCAGGCTGAGAATTAATGGTGCTTTTTTTATTGTTTAAGAGATAATCATTTTCGTCAACGGCCTCATCGAAACTCAGAATCTGTCCTTGGGGGAAAGCCTTGAGCATTTGATGCAGTAGTCCCTGTGGTATACTAGGTTGATTATTTGAGCCACCATCCCCTTTAGATGGCAACTTTAGCGCACAACTCAAAGTATCGCATGGAAGATCGAATTCATGCGACTCAGCCCGAGGTAGTCCGAGAGGACTAGGCAGCTGCGAAGCCGAGACACCAGGATCTGAAGTTGTCAATTGCTCCCAAATTTCTGGTTCTTCAGGTACACTAGAAAAACAAAACGTTATTAAATATCACTCGATAGCTAGGCCGATGTACTCACAAGGCAAAATCGGTTGGGCAAGCATCGAGAAATGCAACCCCGTCCAAATCCATGGAGTCACGGAGCAATTCGCTTGCACGCGAATAGATGGATGCAATGCGTTCGGGTATGGGTGTGCTCTCGGTCAACGACAGCTGTGAGAAGCCTTGACCAATACCCTGAGCTGCAATATTATCTCCTAAGTTCAATGCTTCGCCCATCGACTTTTCTTCGCCGGGGCTCAACACCTTTGGTCGATCTGACAAACCCGAGTACAGAGATGAAGGATCCGTCGTGGAGCGTTGATCCCGCACGAAGAATATAGATTCCCCTCCCGCGACGGTCGAGGAAGACGATTGTCTGGATTTAGGGAAAGCACATTGAACAGTGTGATCGAATGGTGCATCAAGAACAGGGGTGGTGTCAGAATCGTCGTCGGCGTCCGCAGTGGTAGCGTCCATTTCATTCGGTGCGAGATTCGCTGCATTGACACTCGATTGAAGACGGCCATGGTTAGAGGCCTCTTTGGGATCAAATTCTGCATGGCTTTTAACAAAATCTGTCAAGCCCTTGACCAATTTCTCAGTTCGAATATGGACCTGACTCATTCGCACGTTCTCCAGATGAATTCCAATGGCATCTGCCACTTCCTGGAGGTCAGTGACCTGATCATCTCCGAACTCCACCCATGGTTTATCGTCGACGATGCAATACGAGCCGAGAACGTGTCCAGATGCGCTGAATAGAGGCACCTCTGCATAGAAGCGCATATGTGGCCACTCTCGAACGTAAGGTCGGTCCTTGAAGGAGTCCTCCAGGGTAAAATCTCGGATAATATATCGTGTGCGATTGGCGGTTATATTGCTAGTATCGATATCGTCTGTCGCGCGACCTGTGAACAAGCGCACCGTATGGGGACATACGCCCCAGATCAGGTCCAGCGATCGTGCTCCAAGATAGATACCATCTCCCGGTTTGTGGCGGTTCTTATCTCGTAGCGAGACAGAACGCGTCGTTTCAGCAATAATATGCTGAGTTTCGCCGTCAATTATGGACACGAAGCAGCGATTGGCATTGAAGCGGAGGACGCCGAGCTGGGCGAGTGCGTTGAGTGTAATATCCTTTGCTAGCTCGCAACCTGCGGGCTGTTCATCCCCTGTCGGTGCTGTGGGTGTCTCTTCCTCCTCAGAAGCCGTCGCACCAGTTGCTGGAAATGTTCGAGTCAATGTACAGTAATATCTGTTATGGCAATAATCAGTGGTGATCAGTGGGACAGGGATGCTCGCGGAACGCCACAAACCTCGATAAATCGCGGATCCGCTCACGCTCCGGATCGTCGTCTGGGGTTGGATGAAAGGCGCTTACGCCTGCAGAAGTCATAATAGTCACTGGCTCATAACTGACTAGTCATCTCTTGAAAAAGAAGAAATTCTAAATGGAAGGCTCAAATTCCCCATGGCGGGTGTCGCACGTGAAGTACTAAGCCTCTAAAACCTGATGTGGATAATATTCCCCCACTATTTTGAATTGACGATGCTCATTGGCCGTTCAGAAAATTATTGTGGTCACTCATGCCGAGCAACAAATACGCATCGAAGGCCTAGACAAATTCTCGGGCGAATACGAAGAGATTGGCTGGAGCAGGAAGCCGACCCGTGTCACCTGACATCACCTGATATCAACTTTTCACTTAATTTTCTGGAACCGTTTCAGCCTTTGCTAAATTAGCATCCTTTCATCACCAATCGCTTTAGAACTCACAAATATCATTGGCCGCTCATGTGGCCTGGTGTGGCCTTTTTGGTAGTGTTCTCGGATTTTTTTTTCGTGAACCATGAAATTCTGCGATGTCGAAATGTGAAAACCATACATTCTTTGTGTGGAATCAAATAAGGCTGATGCAGCTGGATTCATGCCTGATTTCATTGGGTTTAGCTTCCCTACATGTCGATATTAGGGCTACAGTGGTTGATTGAGACTGCAAGGTCTTGTGCATATATAAGCGAGGACTGATGAGCGGGGCATACCACCAAGAGCTGTCTACTCCGGAGTAGAAAAAAGTCATGTATAACAATCCAACTGATATACCTATGAGAATATTTAAAGGCAGACTATTTTTTTTACTTGCGGAAAACATCCACTAGCTATACTTCCGATATGTCTACGACCACGGAATACAACCTCGATCATCTCTACGAAAGTTGCCTCTACAACACTGCCTCTACCTCAGCCTCTAAAATCACCTCGGAAATCTCTACGGCTTCTACGGCACCGACACTGACCATCTCGTATTTGCCATTCAATCAGACCAAACACCCATTCCTCCTTTCTTTGATTTCCCCAGGATTAGAGGCTAAGAGAGCGCCTAAAAGTTGTGCATGTATAAGCAACTGAATTCCCCATGCTTGACTAGTCCAAGCCTATTACCTTCATGCAGATAACGCAAGGCGTTGCGAAATTTGAACCTTTTGTAACTTCTGTATGACATACCCATACAAACGGTAGATAATCTTGAAAGGCTATTGTTCAGAGAAAATTATTGTTGACTGGGGAGCACCAACACCAGGATTTTGTATTGGCCTCTTGGCACAATCACAGGCCCTTCTTGAAGATAAACAACATGATTCTAATCCATAAAATCAGATTACTTCAACTCCGGTACGAAAACCCTCTAATTTTCCGCCTCTCTCTTCATCTCTGTTCAGTTTTCGCGTGTTCGATCGTACTATGCCACGGCATTCAAGCACTGATTTCCTTACATTCCTCGTCGTAATCTGCGCACGTGGGGTCGGGTCGGGTATTTCTCACGGTAATAGATGCCTTGCTGTTTAAACCAGAAACACCCCTAGCTGGCGCATTGCTTGTCATTGGAGGTTAGGTAGTCGTAGCAGAAGTTGTTCGCCTCGGTGGTTGTGAAAGCACGCAAACCAACGCCGGTGATCAAAACGACTGTTTTGCATGCAACTGCTCTGCCCGACTTCGCTTCAGCACACGCTGTGCTGCTGTCTAGAATCATGGCCACGCCGCCGGGGATCAAGGCCGCGAAGCCAGCAACTCCAGCACAGATGTGCTTCCGGTTGTTCTCGCTGATCTTATCCTCAACAGTATTGGAGACACAGCGAAGCTGGTCTACTGTGTCTCTAACACAAAGGGCAGTAGACGGGGTAGCACTCGCGGACGGCAGCACAGTGCTCACTTATGGCTCTTCTCCTTCAGCAAAATACTCCTCCAATGTCATATCGAAGATACCCAATTCTTTTGCCAGAAAGTCGAAGCCATTCTGAGTGTTGAGGTCTTCGGACAGGAACACAGAACTGTATCCGAGCTTATCTTCGAGAATCTCCAACAAGTGACTCAAAGCGTTTTCAAGAATGTTTGCGGGAGGATTATGACCGTAGAACTTGACTGCGCTAACGGAGCATACGGAAAGGTAAAAAGGCGCAAGCAAAAGAATTATTGTTAATGTTCAGAACGGTTGCTTGATTAAGGCGAAAACATCCAAAATTGTGAATAGATATGAGAGATTCAACTTCCAGACAAGGATGCGATGATTGCAGAATTAACGATCAAAATTCTGACTGAGAAGCTCTCTTATATTCTAAACACCTCGGTAACTCTAGTTTTGTTTATTTGGGGCGATTCAAGTGTTGTGCCCCCAAAGGCATCATGGTGGTTAATAAAAGGATCGTTGGGGTCCTTTGAACGGATCGATACAGCTCATTTGGGGCTATGGCAAAGCATTATTTGGATGAAGTAACTCCCCACTAGCGATTGAGTGTGCAAAGCGAGGATAAGTATTTATTATATACCAGATATGGCTCTTGGATATAGTGGTGGTTTTCCATTCAATCAGCTAGACAGCAAAGAAGGCAATCAAATTGAGTACAGAGATAAAATCAGCATGGGATGAAGCTAATATCAATTGATAAACTGCTTTACATACCCGCAAAATCGCGACGTTGGTGAAGCAAGTACCCCTGGCTGCATGGCTCAGTGATGAGTTAACCGTAGGCACATAGGTAACCTTGAAAGAAATCACAATTGGCTCACATCTGTGGATGCAAACCTTGATTTACTAGTGGAGACTTCTGTCTCAGACCCTATCCTATCTCTTACGATCTTATGCAGATCTCGGGACGGACTTGGGACCTCAGGTGTAAATCTTTACTCAGCAATAGGCCGCGCAATCCATGGATGTTATCAAAGTGCCATCATATCTAGATTGCAGCTGTATGTTTCCCATATGATCTTTTGTTTAACATTCACCCGGTTCAAATACCCAATGCATCTTGGACGCCCTGGCAAGAGCACCACCCCCACAGCAATTCTGATCTCATATACTCCGTACGTAAGCGTTATTTAAGGGGAATTTCCGGTTTGGACGCAAAGTTGGGCCTCTACGTCCCGGGATCTCAATTAGCTTTACGTAGTGGGGCCCGCTCCACTCCGCCCGTTCCGCCCCCGGCCCCCAGCCCCCAGTGTCCCCTCCTTCCTCCTAGGTAAAATAGGGCATTCTCTACCCTCCGACTTAGCCTTTTCATGACATATCAGGCGTCACAATTGTTGGTTGAGCTCCTCAGGCTACATAATGACGCTATAGCCTACTTGGGGATGAACATGTGTAATTGAGGATAGCTTCTTGTTAAACACGGTGAATGAAGTACAATTTTCATTGAATATGTTCGGCCAAACAACCTTCTCCTGACAAGAGGATCGCCCCCGCAGTAAGGCCGATCCCATAGCAGTGTTATTTATTCCCAAAAATTTCGGGCTGGGACGCAAAATTGCATGTGTATATATATTGCTCCTGCTTAGCGGGTCCGCTCCACCCCGCCCATTCCACCCATCGTCCCTCGTGCGTGTCATGGGCCCCCGGCCCCTATTAGTGCCCCTATTCTCAGGTAAATCACATATCCTCTGTCCTCTAACGAGATGGTCATTCGCTGGTCCTACGCTAGCTATAGAACACTTCTACGTGAGACCTCACGGACTCGACTGTCTGAATGAGGCCAGGTCCTTTTAGACCCACTATTCACAAAGACTATAAAATATTGTCAGATGAAGCCAGATAGATTAGGGGCCATTACTGAAAGATCCACACATTGTTTGAAGCTTCGAGTACTTCGGGGGCCGGAAGCTGCAGAATAGACGTCAGTAGAGGCCCAATTTTTCAAAAGAATGTGTCATTGCTTTGCGCTACGCTATCAGAAAAGAATATAAAAAGGTGGGTGTTATCCTCGATCTTCTCTATCATCAAACAGCCTCCTCATTCAAACAACCAAAGCAGTCTGAACACTCGAACCTAAGCAATACTTTCTAATATGAAGTTTGTCCTCCCTGCCCTCGCCATTTTCGCCTCTCTGGCCGTTGCGGAAAATTGCCAAACCGGTCTTAACTACTGTTCTTTCACCCTTATGGGTAAAGGTATTGCGATCAAACTCATTCACTATGGCTGGAATAATGCTAAACAAAAACAGGTAACTACCACCAGGAGATTCTTACTGCCTTGGATGAGGCTGGGGTCGATCCTGCAACAGTCAACTACGACTACTTCCTTTACCACTGCGATGGCGGCAGCAATGGCGCTATTCACATGAAAGAGAGGTGCCCTAAGGGATGCAAGGACGGTGGTGACAACAAGTCCGACGAGTGCTATTAGAGGGAAAATGTGTTGGTACGGTGATAGCTCAGTATGGCAGTAGTGCCATGCAAAACGGATTATATTAAAGCAGTGAAAGGTTCTCATCATTGCCTTCTTCTTATTGGTAGGACACTACGCTGGGTCCTTTTATAATGCATGCAAATAGCCTTGCAAGAGTTCAAGCAGTAAGCAATGTCTCCCTTCGCTCATTTCTTCCAACAACTCTTTCGGTGAAAAAATTATAAGAATCTAGAGAATACGACAGGGGAAACATAGAAACTGGATGTTCATTCTACTATCGGGGAAAACGGACGGGAGAAGAAAGGAATAGAGACGGAGGTACCATCTCTAGGCTGAGTCCAGCCCCAAGTCCAACTGCCTTAAGTCCAACTGCCTTTTTTCAACACACATAATTTGCTTTCCTGTTCCGGGGAAATATCTGCGCAACGGACAGGAATATCGAAAGATCAACTTCCATGTTTCTCTGGGAAAAAAGGACTCGGTACCCGGCTTTCATGGAAAAAGAATGCTACAAAAACGACATAATAAGGCCTGATAAGCAGCCGACTTAAGGTTCCCTATACTTTGAATGCTCAATACTTGAAACATTAATCATTAAGAGATAATTCAAAGGTTTCTTTTACGGAGTTAGTAAAAATTTACTACAGGAAAATCCGAAGTGGCGCACTGGCGGTAATTCACTGTCGTGGCAGGGGGTTTTTATCACACCCGAGGAAGAATGCTACAAAAAAAACATTTCAAGGTGGATTTTAGAGACAAAGAAATATCTACGGAGTAAAATTTGGTGAAATAAGAGGATTTCAAAGAAGACCTGTTCTTAAGGAAGTACAGAGTATTCCGTACATAGTTCCTTGAGACCCCCGGCCTCGGTATCGTTCCCGTTTTCGCTTTCGTTCTCGGTACTACTAGTCTCATTGCTCTGGTCTCTCTCTCGTGATCTCGTTCTCGTTTTCGTTCTCCGGGATCACCACTAGTCCATCAGTTTATGCAGGTACAAGCCCGAGAGTTCAATAAGCTTCTCCACCATGCAAAGCTATGATATTATATTCCCCTTTTGGCATGATCGACCTGGGTACAGTGCTCTACCTACCCCAGATTGATCCACAGTGGTTCCTGCAGATGTTATCTTATGGAGCCAGAATCTCCCCCTCGCCCCTGTCGGAGTTATTGTTGACATCTATCCGAGTCTTCGCTCGACCCTTTATCTCTCGATCTGGAATACCTACCGCTGATCTCAGTCTTGCGCCTGAGACGTCACCAATATCAGGTAGAAAACGTATGAAACAAGGAAAAGAATGACTAGTTTCTACTTGGCTAGGCCGTTCTAATGCCTGGGCTCAAAATAAGGTCTTGTATTAGCTTCCCAAATTGCCGACAAGACAGCTATAAAAGACATCCCCCTCTACTTGGAAAATAGATCGATTATCTTTCATTTCAAGTCAAATTTCCTATCAAGAGAAACTCAAAGCTCTACTATCATATAATGAGGTTCACCAATATTGCCCTCACCGGTGCTGCCATCGGCCTTGCCAACGCCGGCCCTGTCTCAAAGCGTGCTATCAGCGACGGTGTGTACCTTCCAACCAATGGATTGCTCATCCTCTAATGTTCTTCTTCTTTAGCCGACGTCCTCAACTATGCTCTCACCCTTGAGCATCTCGAGGCATCTTTCTATCAGGAGGGTCTCAAGAACTACACCCAGGAGGACTTCATCAAGGCTGGCATGAAGGACCCTTTCTATGCCAATCTGAAGGAGGTTGCTTCCGATGAGAAGCAACACGTGGATTTCTTGACCTCCGCGCTCAAGGGTATGTCCCCACCATCTGAACACGGAAATAACGGACACTATGTTGACACTTTCTAGCTGCCGGTGCCTCCCCCGTTGCGCGCTGCACCTACAACTTCCCATCCACCGATGTCAGCGGCTTCCTAGCCCTTGCCAGCGTTCTCGAGGGTAAGAAACATCGAGTCATGCCAACAATCACCACTAATGACATCTCCAGGTGTTGGAGTCAGCGCCTACCTCGGCGCCGCAGCCTCTATTATGAGCGACACCTACCTGACAGCCGCCGGCAGTATCCTGACCACAGAAGCCCGACACAGTGCGTACTTGCGCGCTGCACTCGGCGAAGTCCCTTTTGCCCAGGCCTTTGACAACCCCCTCGGCTTCAACGAGGTGTACACCGTGGCCTCCCCCTTCATTTCCTCATGCCCCTCCAGCAACGGCGCATTGCCCGTCAAGGCCTTCCCCTCGCTCATGATGAGCTCGATGGGTGTCATCATGACAGGCTCGAAGGTGGAGCTGATGACGGGCAGAGGCTTTGACACAGCTATCAGCGATGTCCACGCCGCCTTCATTACCGTCACTGGGCCCGTCTGGGCTCCTCTCAAGTCTATGGGTGATGGAAAATTCACCGTCACTGTTCCCAAGGGCGTTGCTGGACAGAGCTACGTCGTCTTGACCAAGGGCAACAAGCAGGCGACTGACGACAATATTATTGCTGGCCCTGCTATCGTCGAGGTAAATTAGATTATTTTGTGGGATTTTTTATTGGGTGCTTTATCGCCCCTTTTTGGCAGGGCTGATGTTGCTTGTATTGATAGATTGGAAAGAAGACTGCTATGGGTACACCGAGTGGTATGGCTGCTATGGGTATGGGTGGCAAGAAGAACGTGACTATGCCTACTCCTTCTAAGTCTATGACTGGCTCCTGGAGTAGCTCATCTGCTACCGCGTCTGCCTCTCCTATTTACACTGGGGCTGGTCAGAAAATGTCTGGTGGCATTGCTGGTGTTGTTGCCACTATCCTTGCTACTGTGTGGCTCTAATTTGAGTGCTGTTGGCTTGTTAATTTCTAGTCAAATGAGGGGGAAAGAGATGGAAATGTTAATTATATATTTACTTCCAATAATATTAGTATGCTGGCAATAACGGCTGAAGCTTTTGATATATGATACATCCTTTTCATTATGCACACATGGACTAGGCACATATTGCAATTCAAATTTAGGTCATATGGCCGAGGATGCACACATCACATCAAATTCCACGAAATATAAATAGCGAGGCTCAACTCCATATACTTCCAAAATTGTTCTAGACCCGAGTCACATGATACGGGTAAATATGTACCTTCATGATTGGCCTCCGCAGCTGTCAATTAAATTTAAACATGCCCCCTCTTCGCGCGCACACCAAATCGCGCAACGGGTGCGACCAATGCAGAAGCAGGCGGGTCAAATGTGACGAGCAGGGTCCACCATGCTCAAATTGCATAACCCGCGAGTTAAGATGCACATATTTGAAAGTCGCCGCCGCTCGTCGCGCTACAACCCATCTTACCCCACCCAGCTCAACATCCGATGTGCCCCGACCTCTAGAAGGCCATGGGTCGCCCGGAGCATTGGTGCCCAGACTAGCCGTTGCCACAATAATCCCAGCCACGGTCCCGGCACCAACCCAAACAAACTCATTCGGCATCGACAACTTAGAATTAATGCACAAATTCTCAACAGACACATATCGAAGTCTCTCTATCAGTCAGTCAGAAGAAACAATCTGGCAAATAACTGTCCCAACCCTCGCTTTTAAACATGATTACCTGATGAGCGGGATTCTAGCGCTAGCCTCAATGCACATCGCAACAACATGCGAACCTTCAGAAAGAGCAAGCCTGTACTACGAAACAGGACTGCAATACTACAACCGCAGTCTAGCGCCATTCAGGAATGCGATCGATAGCATCACGCCGCAAAACTGCAACGCGGTATTCGCACACTCGATCGTCATGATCGCAATCAGCATCGCGTCGCCCCGACTAACCGTCGCGAAAGACGAGTGCGCCAGTATCACGGAGAATATTGTGATACTGTTTGAGCTACTGCAAGGCGTGAAAAAGATCCTGCAAGTCAGCAAGTCGTGGATCAAGCTAGAGTTATTCACGAAGGGCGAATATTGGAAGAGGACACCTACCAAGCTTGATCCGGATACAGAAGCTGCGCTGACGCATCTCGCGGCGTTGAACGATCAGGTTATGGTTGGAATTTACTCGGAACAGCATCGCATTAATAATGATGTTATTGCGCATCTGAGGCATTGTTATGACAAATTTGCGCACTCACCGGATCCGGCGCCGGTCCTTGCTTGGCTTGCGGCTGTTGAGAAAGATTTTGTTGATAGTCTGCGGTGTCGGCAGCCGTTTTCGTTGCTGATTCTTATGTATTGGGGTGTGTTGTTGAAGGAGCTTGATGGGCACCGTTGGTGGGCGCGGGATTCGGGCAGAGCGCTGGTTTCGGAGTTATTTGAGGCTTTGAAGTCAGGGGATCCGAGGTGGGAGGATGCTCTTGCTTGGGTGCAGCGGAAGATGGGGCTTTGAGCATTAAACTGATGACTGGGTCTTCGAGAGAAACCGAACACGGCGCATGAATGACCCGTGCTTGGGTCAGTCGGGTTACTTGAGACTAATATATTGTACATATAGCATTTTGGAAGCGATTTACACAAACATACAATTCCTTTTCTCTCGACTGGTCGGGACTGAGAATTGCCACCAAAACGTGTGCGTCAACAGCGGACATCTTTGTCAAGGGCCAAGCTCGTCTAGATGACGAAGATTGTCTTCGAGCAGTGAGAGCTATATGCTGACTTACACCACTAAACCGTGCGGCTGATAAGCCGCAACAAACGGGAGTCCAGATTGAAGAGTAGCTCGCTCCACCAACTAGGCTGCAAATGGCACGGCAGGGGCCGAAGATTGCACAGCCCTGTCAGCATTATGGAGTACACCAAGGGTATCGGCCAATAGTATATGGGCCAGCTTGGAGGCCACTTGTCACATCTATAGAGGTGTGCCTTCCGACCAGTGATATTTTCTGCTTTGGCGGGGGCGATCTGCGGTGCTGTGGGGCACTGCTGATCCTACAAGATACGCACGGTGAAGCCAACGGGGCTCTAGCGAGCATTTAGCGGGCACCTTCGCACAGCTTTGACGTAAGGCTGACAAGAGAACTCCGCAATTTCAACCAATCTCGACCTCAACTGCGGTGGATATTGCAGAGAACACTTGGCCAATTGGTCAATTGGAGCAAAAGTAATTGCTCGGGGACGGTGACGGCAATGAGAAAGCAGTGGTTTGAGTATTTGACTTAAATCCAGAGTGAATAATTCACGATATCCATGAGACGGAGTCTAGGATTGTACCAGAGGGGCTTAGTGGGCGTTCCATCTGCAACGCTTATGGCAAAAGGGGTTAGTATACGTGTTCATTATAAATAAGTCTTACTGTATTTCGGGGTGAAAATGAAATTTATCCTGAGATTTACTCAAGAGATTATCAAATTTTTATATGGCATCTTTGAATGTAGAGTATAGGCACAATATACCACATATATAATAAAGGGCTTTCTCCCACAATCTTCACCTTTCTTCTAGGGCTGAGCTTCACCAGAAATCAACAGTTGGATATCTTATAATATATCTTAATGCCTTGGTTTTGCTAAAAGCTGGACCTTCACCCCCGCTGCTGATCCAACCTGTATCTGGTGTCATTACCCCTCTTATACGCATTTATATTGTAGATCTCCCCCAGGGCCAATCTTTCGACAAATCTGAAATCATACCATGGCCCAAAATCCAACCTGCACCGTTGAAGAATTCACCCGCACGACATTTGACTATGTCATCTGCGGCGGAGGAACTGCAGGACTCGCTCTTGCAGCGCGCCTCAGCGAAAATCCCGATATAATAGTCGGTGTTATTGAAGCTGGCAAGTATCGCATTGGAGATCCGTTAGTTGATACTCCTGCGGCATTCAGCCAGATGTTTGAGAACCCCGAGTATGATTGGTGTATGTATACGGTGCCACAGGTAAGTTTATTCTATTTCCATTGCATACATCTAATTTGGGTATGCTAACTTCTGCGAGTATAGGAAAACAATCATGGCCTGTCCCACCATATGCCGCGTGGAAAGCTCCTTGGTGGATCCAGTGGTATCAATTATATGATGTATGTGCGAGGATCGACGCAGGATTACGATGACTGGGCAGAGCTAGTAGGGGATGATGGGTGGCGTGGGGAGCATATGCAGGGATATATGCGAAAGCATCAGGTACGAACTCGGCGTTTTCATTCTCCAATCTAGTTCTTTTTCAGTCTCAGACTGACGAAATGAAGACCCTCGAGCCAATCGACCCAGCCATCACCGATCGCTCCACAATGCCCCTCGTAGGCGAATTCCACGGCACGAGCGGGCCCGTCCGCACCAGCTTCAATGATTCCTTCCTGCCAATAGAGATCGACATCATCAAGGCCTGTGAAGATGTGACTGGCATCACAACCAAGCCCAGTGACCCATGGAGTGGTGACCATATCGGCTTCTACCGCACCCTCGGCGCGGTTGTTCGAACCGGCCCGGACAAGGGAAAACGTAGCTACTCCGCACGAGGATACTATGAAGCGAACCGCGCGACTCGACCGAACCTCAAAGTGCTCTGCGAAGCCCTTGTCAACCGCGTGGTACTAGATGGAAACAGGGCCATCGGCGCAAGCCTCACACATGACGGAGTCGAGTACCAAGTCTCCGCTCGACGCGAAGTAATCGTGAGCGGCGGCACAATGAAAAGTCCACAGATCCTCGAGCTATCAGGGATCGGTGACCCGGAGATCCTCAAAGCCGCGGGCGTCGAGTGCAAGATTGCCAATACTGGCGTCGGCGCAAACGTCCAAGACCACTCCATCACCTTAATCATGATGGATGTCCAGCCTGGCGCCGTCACCCTAGATACTCTATCCCAGGTGCCCGGGGAAATGGAGGCTGCCGCTAAGCAGTATGCTGAAACCAGCGATGGACTACTCAGCTCCATCGCCAGCATGCAGGGCTTCTTCCCGGCAAAGAAAATCCTCTCAGACACAGAGCTGGCAGATATCATCAGGAGCATTCGGGATATCGAGCCGACAAGCGCATTCCACGCGAAACAGCTCGCTCAGACTATCGCGCACCTTGAGAGCGATCACTCTGCCAATATGCAGATTGTTACAGTGCCAACTTCCATGAACACAGACGGCGTAGAGCATCAGAGCAAGATAATCGTACCGCGTCCGGCTGATGAGCCGGCTGGTTTGACCTTAGCGCTTTGTCTGCAGTATCCCGTAGCTAGAGGGTCTATCCATATTGAGAGTGCAGGTGAGTTTCAATTAAACACAGACCCCCTTCCATACCCAATCAACTCAGATACTAATAGATTCCAGACCCAACTAAACAGCCTGTCATCGACCCTAACTACGGTGGTCACTCATCCGACATCTCCCTCCTGGCGGCGTTCCTGCGCTGGAGTGATCAAGTAACGGAATCAAAGCACCTGAAGCCTTCATTCCTGCGACGCACGTACCCCGAGCCTAGTATCAACCTGCAGGACATGGATATGGCCCGACGAGCGGTGCATGACCTTGTTGCGGGTGAGTACCATATCAGCGGGTCTGTTGCTATGGGCGATGCCTTGGACAGCAGATTGAGGGTGAAGGGCGTTGAGGGATTGCGTGTTGCTGATGCATCGGTGTTCCCAAATAATGTTTCCGGGAATATTGTCAGTAGTGTTTACGCTGTTGCGGAGAAGGCGGCGGATATGATTCGCGAAGATTGGGATTTGAGGGCTGGCAAGACGAATATGACCTAGATTTTTGTTGATAACTTTCGTTTAGCTCTCGTGTTTTATAGTTGAATTGACAGCAAATATTTTCGTGACCCGTACAGTCTTGCTAATCTGAATTTGGAAAGATGGGGTTATGAAGAGACTATCCTCCTAGCGGTTGGAATAATGAAGTTGTGAGACATCTAGTATCTTCCTAGATGTACAATCTAATGAAATTTCCGAGGTCCCAGATATTTTAAAATTATGTGACCTGCTCCGTATTCATTAATCTGACAGTCCCTCGTATACGGCTGCTTATTTATAGTCCTAGTTTAGGCTAAATTCATGAATAATATGTATTTGCTTTTTCCAGATATCATTATTACCACCCTAGACAGTTTTTTTATAAAAGTACTCAAATAATGCTATGCCAGTCTCCATTATAATAAATTCTCAATTTCCCCATATATAATTACATAGCAGCCCCCAATCCCCTAAATCACTAGCTCCAATAGCGCCAAGCCCACTTCCCCAAGCGCTAAAGGCATCAAACGTCAATCTCCCACCATGTCTGCATAACCTCCAAAATAACGTTGGAAACCTCAGCGCACTCCACAAACATCATGTCTCAATTAGACTCCCTACCAACAGAAATCCTCCTCTCAGTTGCGCAATACCTCCCCACCCAAAAAAACTTCAGCGCCTTCGTCCGAACCACAAGAAGGACATACACAGTCCTTCAAACATACCTATACAAAAACAACATCAACAACCATGGCAGCACCGCCCTCATCTGGGCCGCTAAGCACGGCTACACAACCCTCGCGAAAAAGCTGCTCGATGCAGGCGCCAGCATAAGCGTCCTCAAATCCCACTCAAACCACCTTAGAAGCCCCACCACCAACGTCTGTATTTCGGGGAGCGCTCTCTCCCTTGCAGCCCGTGGCTCACACATAGAAACACTCGCCTGTCTACTCGCCGAGACAAGGCCAGACAGAAGATGGTATCACGACCAGCTGGGCGAGGCGCTTCACTACGGTGCAATTCCAGCCCATAGCGAAGAGGCTGTAAAATTGCTACTTCGATATAACGCTTCCATGGAGCCAGGGGGTGGCGTTCTGCGATATTCCTCGGCACTTAACGCTGCTGTTGATTCACGTTGGCCTGTTATTGTACCGGTCTTGTTGGAGGCTGGTGCTTGTCACGGACAGGGTGACTTGCATACCCCGCTCGAGCGCGCGATTCACACGGACCAGCCGGAGCTCGTGGATATATTCCTTGGGATTGGGATGCGCCTTGTGAATGATGCAGCATTGTGTGTTATTGCGGAGCAGAATAATCAAACTCTGTTAAATGTGTTTGTTGAGGCGGGATTGGAGATTGATATGTGTTGGCAGGGGGCATTTTTTGCGGCTGTGAAGTGTGGACAGTGTAAGATGGTGGAAGTGTTGATTGAGAAGGGGGTGAACCCGCATTTAACGCAGGATGTGTTTCTGAGTAATTATGAACGTCCGCGATATAGTGCTATTGGGGTTTCTGTTTATTTTAAGCGTCTGGATGTTTTGAAGCTGTTGCTTAAGAAGGGGGTGCGTGCTGAATGGAGTGATCTTGTAATGGCGCAGGAATCAAGTTTCAAGAAAGCGGTGGCTCTTTTGTCAAAATGCGACTTTGAAGATGTACCAGAGAAGGAGAATTTGCGGGTTTTTATGGAAAAAAAGTTGAGAGAGAGGCAGGTTACAGAACCAGGGTACAAGGGCCTTGAGATACAGGGCAAGTTAAGGACAGGTGGAGGATATTTTTACGATAAATAGGCTACGAGGAAGGCAGATCCGGTGGAAATACTATTGACTGGGCTCTTGACGAAAAGGGAAGAGAGGAAGAGAGGGGAGATCTAGCTATTACTCCTGAGTCCTGCGGAATCGGAGTCACGTATGAAGCACGCAACTCTTGTGGTCCCTGAGGGATGCTAGGGCCTAATGTATATACCGCTGCAATCACAAACACACGTTCTGTTTGTCCTTATGATCTTTCGGCCTAGTAGTTAAATGCTCTCATATATATTCAATTCGATAGGTTCGAGGACTAGCGCGCTGCTATATATTGGAGGAAATCGCCTATATCGGGTGTTCCCCTATAAAGGAACGCGTATGGCCTGGAGAGACGCTTTAATTGGTGCAAACAACCAGTTCCTCGCAGGTCTCAAAGAGAAGTAGATGAAAACACATTGTATTGGGAGATGGTTACCTCAGCTTGCGTATTGGTATTCCACTCCTGGGAATACCAGAAAGCATCGCTCAGACTGTGGAGGTCAATTTATTTCGGAATTATAGACTGAATTCAGCAAAATCCTTGTGGTAAAGCGTAATCTATTAACAACCTATCATCCTCCAGCCGACGGGCACAAAAAGGCCATACTCATCATATATAGTTATGAGTGGTGAATACAGCTCACTTCGTTTATGAAGCCACAGTATAACTGCTCAAACATAGTTTGGGAGATGACTGCCCTCTTAGTATATTATTGAGCTGTTAGCAATCAGGCAAAACAGCAACAACGACGCTATGTTCTCTAATTTTGTGCAATGTGTAGTCGTTCGTGGTATTTATTAACCCTAGTACATATGTATCAACCCTTCGGTTGTTAATCAATAAACTCTTGCGGGGCAACATTATACGGCGAGTCTTGCACAAATCTAGCTCGCAATGTAATTAGCAAGATCTAACATGCCCACCTCTCAAGAGGCAAGGTCCGGGGGGGGGATTATTGTACTGTCTAGGTTAAAGCCACATTAGTGTCGTTCTCTGTTCTACGGAGGATAGGCCTAATATCGTGGCAATCAAAAATCACTTTCTGGCCCAGTCCAAAGCTCTTCCACTAGAGAATTACTATTTGTACAGCGCCTTGTTAATTTTCCCCTGCTTTAAACAGATATGTCCTATATATAAGCAGCACGGGCAGATTTTATATTTCCCGTGGGCAACGTGCGCAAGTCCAGCCCAGATGGGCTATAAAGGTAGTAAAAGTGGGCCTAGTGATATTCTAGACCCTTTATTCTCGGAGCCAGTGAAAATTGGTTTGGAAGTCTTTTATATAGCCTCGGTTCCGACCCATTTTTTTTTTCTTCGGGGCAATATCGGGAAAAGATGTAAAGGGTCTGGGTAGATGTATATGTTGTAGATGCGATGCTGAGTCGTATATTGTACATTTTATCTCCCAAATTCACTGATTCGGAGGATATTCGGATGGTATAGGTGCACTAATAGCAATCCCTTGTTGGTTAGTCGCGTGCCCCATTTCTCGGAGCATTGACATTTGCTATACAGGGCCAAGAGAGAAGAGAAATAAGAAGTGGAACTATCAAGTAGCACGGAGTACTCCGTATGTAGTATTTTTTCCCTGTCCAGGATTCTCAGGCCTTTTTTATAGTGCAACTTGTAGTCAAAGTCAGTATACACAGTTTTCCTAGCAGTTTTCTATATATATAGAAATACAAGCTTTATATGAGAATGACATATTTAATCTAAAACCAATTACTCAATTAGGTCAAGCCCTATGAAGACCCGCCCGTGGACGCTACTTAGTCACCTGATTTTCTCATCAAATCGTAGACGCACGTGCAAAAGAGCTGTATCCCGCTAGTCCCAGAACGGAAGAAGACATTTGGGTTCTTGGCTTTTCAACTCTTGAAGCCTCTCGCTATTGATTTCCCTTTCCCCTTGAATTGAGTCTGGATTTTTCTCCTGATTCTTTTTTTCTATCTCCAATAACTTCACATCTTTACATCCGAAAATGTCCAGCCAACCTCTCCTCCAAACTGCTCCGGGTAAGTCCGACAACACATCCGATCTCAGCTTGACAGCTCAGCGCGAGAGACAATTCCACCTGGTCTCGCTCCAATCACTGTGGTGTTGGATTGCAGCGATTCTGCTTCTCTGGGCTGGTGGCTATTATAGCGGTGTTGGTTGACGTGCGATTGTTACGCCACCTGACAGCGATAACAGTCACAGCTCAGGAGAAGCAGAAAGATCGCACCCCCATCCCATTCCAACCCCCACACCACAACATTCCTCCAATCTCTACCCCGAACCCATCTAACATCATCCACCAGGCAAGCGCATCGCCCTCCCAACCAGAGTCGAGCCCAAAGTCTTCTTCGCCAATGAGCGCACCTTCCTCTCATGGCTTAACTTCACCGTCATCTTGGGCGGTCTAGCCGTCGGTCTCCTTAACTTTGGCGATCGCATCGGTCGCATCTCCGCAGCCCTCTTCACCGTCATTGCCATGGGCGCAATGATCTACGCCCTAGTGACATTCCATTGGCGGGCGCAAAGCATCCGTCGGCGCGGGCAAAGCGGTATTGATGATCGATTCGGCCCCACAATCCTCGCCATTGCCCTGCTCGCCGCTGTCGTTGTTAACTTCATCTTGCGCATTAGAGATGGGCAGATGAACTAGAATGTGTCCGGATGGTGGATAAAATTGTTTTTTCTTGTTTGTTTGATGGTGATTTTGGATCGGGGTTTTAATTTCTCCCGTTCGGCCATCTGAATACTACCTATACCATTGATTCTGTTGGCTCATCATCGTTGGCCCATTATCGTTCGTTCACTGTTTATTTTTTTTTTCGACAGCTATGTCGGTTTCATGTATTCATTTGGCGTATTTTGGTCTGCTTTATGCTTATGAGGCCAGAATGCCTTTCACGTCCATATACTCGAGTCGAGTGTCCGTCTTTTTTTTATATTGCAATTGGCGTTTTTGGGGATTGTGCTTGTCTGACAAGCAAAAAAGAACGAACGATGAACTCGAATTGAATTGAATCGTGTTATCTGTATCTATACACTCTCTCAAACGCACGCGCAATTTTCCCTCCCCATTAACATATCCCTGGATAGACTCAACAAAGTTCCAATAACTGGTTTAATCTTGACTAGCAAAAGTAGCATCACTGGAAAATGTTGTTGTTTAGAACGCGTTACCCTACGTAAACAAACTACTGCCAAACCGACCTTTGATCATCACCTGTCGGAGCGCAAGCACATTGATTACTACGACCAGCCCCCCGAGGTCCATCAATGGGTCGCTTACCAACAAAAGTGGAAGCTTCCCGAGATCCCATCTATGCCTTTCGAACCCCTCGCATTGAACACGAATAATCACTTCTAAACCACCCAAACCAATTGGATAATGGTCACATCAAACACAAGATTGCTCCTCTGCTCGAAAACCACCAACCACCAAACTGGTTCGATGTTGGTTGGTATTTGATCTACCTTGCTACAGCTAGGCTTATATCAGGGCTGATAAAGTGTGTTGGTTAAGATATCTGTTTTGTCGAGTTGGTTGGTCAGGGTTTAATGACGCTGTTGGATATATATCACAGCGGGTAGGGCGCTAAGGAGTGTTGAGAGGACAGTGCGCATTAGACTTAGTTATTAGCCCTCGAGAGGAAAGACAGTTGGCGATAAGCGATTCGCTTTAACAATAGCGGAAGCAGGGGATATTGTTTTCATTGGATTGTTCAACTTCGGGACGGAGTTAAGAGATTTTTATATATGTTCATATGCATATGTACTTTGTAGTATGCATATGAGTATGTACTCCACGACAACACGAGGTACGTAAGTAGTACATTGATAAACTAGTTACCACATGAACAGCCAAGTTTCCCACGCGTGCCTAATCCAAGCGACACGCTGGAATGCAGGAGTGGGAAACGTGGAAGACTGCCTAGCACACATTCACATATTGTGTTTAGTACGTTGTACACAGTACTCTGCGAGCTGGGCTACGTGTAAACATTTGGCAGACCCCATGATAGTCAGGGATGAGCGAGACCAGTGTACGGAGTACTTTGTATATTAAATGAAGAGAAAGGGTGTGTGAGTTAGAAATTGAAAATATGATTTAGGGTTACTGTGATCAGCATTGTAAATTGGCATAAGATCCCGTATCAACGGGTTGACTCGAGTTAAGTTCAATGTTAAAAAAATGATATGGATGGTTAAAAATATACTAGTTAGGAGTACGGAGTACATAGTTAGTTATGGAGCAGTAATTTAGTAATGTACACTATAAATAGGGGTAATATATAGTGGCTACGATATGCTCCGTACACTTTATCGGCACAGATATAGTTCAAGAACCTGGGGAAACAGCCCTGGAGAATTGCCCCTGTTCTCTCCCGGTTCGATGATGTTCCACAACTTTCCATTTGCTTTCTCAGCCACATCTGACCTGTAAGGAGTATATTTGTACTCCGTACGATCTGTAAGATCAGTACGATTAGTACTTTTGTATCCACATGCAATTGAGGCGCAGTCAGAACCTGTTTACACCCGGTTCGCGCCCCACACCCTGCAAGTTTTATAGATAGTATAGGATCTGATTTGTTGGGGATCTTCTAGATCGTAGACACAACTGGCTTAGGCACCAGAAACAGGGCAAGGACCAGGCCGTTATAGCCTTGGCATGCACGAATGGGGTCGGTCAGAGTTGCTTGTTGGGTAGTATATTGGTATGTTGGGTATCAGCCGTATACATCCGAATGGATGGTAAATAGAAAATCGGTGGATAAGTACTTTGTACTCCGTAGATAGATGAATACATAACATGGGTAAATTACGCAGGTGTATCGCGGTCAGGGGTCGAATGCGGTTTTTATAGTATTGGTGCCTGAATATGCCTCGTTTTCGACCGCCTTCTCACACCGCTCTATACAGTGTATTGTAAACGAAGCTCCCACATTGAAGCTATTCCCACTATACAAATCTCCGAAATTGCTCATTTCTGGGCGTTGAAGTCCCCCGACCGAGTACAATCCCTTATCTGATGATGATGAAGCTATTCATACTTATATAAATCCTCAAATTTAACATTCTCTAGCGTTAAAGCCCTCTGATCGTCCAAATAACTATTTTCTCAACAATTTAAACCGATCATACATATCGCCAATCTCATCAGCCTACCCCGACCTTGTACTGTCGCTATCTTCATCAATCTACAGAAGTAAGGGAATCCTAGGATTTGTATGAGTGCCAATAGCGTCGCACTTGTTGCCCATTTTTTAAGGCGCTTATCTTGTTGACCTTAAAGGATTTGAAGAATGGATTCCCGAGGTCAAGTACTTTGCTTACTACAGCATGTGTTATACCCGTCTACATGTAGGTAGTAATCCAGGCTCCTAAAAAATCTTTGGACACCATAACTACAAAAAACCGCATCCGACCCCTGGCCACGATACACCTGCGTAGTAATTAGTTTAAATAGAACAATGTGATTCAATATTCTTATAACGAATCAATGTCTTATAAGTATAAAAATAGAATCGAATAAATAATGTACGACGTGTCGCAGATATTTGAGACGAGTATGAATGACCCTTGAGTCCTTCTTAACATGCACCCCACGTTCTATATATTCACACTAGACGTCCACAGAGCGCCTATAATGGTCTATGGAGCGCGGTAAGAACTGGTTTGGATGTCTTTCGAATACCCTAGCACAGCAGATCTAAAATCGCATAGAATTGGATGGTCTTCGTCTTTCAACATTCTGATATTTTGACATTCAGGTATTCGAACAGATTTCCGGTTGGACGAGTTAAGGGGCCTCTATTTCCCCCTAGCCGGGGTAAAATACCGCAGTAGTGACGGAAACATGTGAGAGGACGAATGAATTTCTCGTGCAAAAATTCTGTGATTGACGAAGGTAGAAAATCACAATCGGCTGCGTATTTTTGGTTCATACTATGTAGCAGTATGTATTGGAGTTCAGCCCGCGGATGCGAATTTTCCGATCAGGGTGCCGCCGTTTTATGAGACTCGGAGTCCTGCTCACCGAATATCCTGGGATGTATCTAAATAGCTTTGATGTGTTAGAACAACTTACATATGAGATGTCGAGAGCATTTTCACTACCTAATACATCCATAGCGAACAGATACCGAAGACTGCTCTATGACATATGATATACATAACTGTTCCTCTACCTCAGCCCAAAATTTGACTGATGATGAAGATCGACGTCAGGCGTGAGTTGAATCATTTCTTTAGTTCATTATTTAGGACCAATGAATTCCTTTTTAATCTTTGCATCTCTAAAGATATCTAAAATGAGTTCACGATATTCCCCAAGCATCTTTCCACCGAGACGTCAATGGCCGAAGATGCCTCCCCAAATCGTATTCTTCATGTTCACGACCCTTCAGGCCATAGATGCGGTTTGCTTTGCGCTGAGTTGTAAATACACGCTCGCTTTTTACCTTGAACTCCTCGAGAGACGCGGAAGGACTATGCCTGTGGCACCCCAGCCGATGTTCCTGGGCGTGAAAATCTTCCCATGGATTAAAATATATCTACTTCGCCGACTCCAAAATTCCCGCTGGAAATTTTGCGCTCAATGCTGGATGCTTCATCCACGGTCCATTTGGAATATACAGCCGTTCTGGAGGCTGGACCATAAGGTGTGCTCTTATGGCTGCAACACACTTGGCAGTCGGAAGTGCTATTGCCGTACGCCGGTGAAGTTGATATGTGTCCTTGTAGCATCCTCAATATACACCACAAGCTACAATTGATCTCTCTATGCCATTATCAGACCGTTGATTCTAAAGGTGGTTTTCAACACCTGACAAACCGCAGCTGCAAATGCATTGAGATGTTACAGCACACATGTACCTTCACCGCAAATCCCGTTGCACAGGTTCAAATTAACGTCTCGTTCTCATTCGGCTGCCGAGACCAGAGCCTACGCATGCGTACTCGTATGCTATTCGATTTCACAAATTCAACCCCTTCGCAGCTGGAAGACTTTTGGAACGAGCGGCGTCATATATGTGTGCGTGAAAACACTGGGAAGTGGGTTGACAGCTTTTTCCGCGAAGCCGGGTATCTTTTCGGCGGAGAGCAGGATTGGAAGCCCTGTCAATGGTTTAGTTGGGATGTGAGTGATGAAGGACCACTGGAGATCACCTTGAACCGCGATCTGGGGAAGCGTGAATGGCCAAGCAGGAGCTGGATTCGGAACTGCCGCAAATTCCCCAAGTTTTGATGCTCTCCTTTTCCAATTCTTTTTTCTTCTTTCTTTTACTATGATCTGTGGTTTCAAAATAAATGGACGATCAAACATTTCTATCGTAATGTTGTATAGCCTGATTGCCTTGCACATTCTAGGAAATAATTTCATTGGCGTCTCTTTTCTCTGTGTCAGCGCCAGACGAACGTGGCTCATATACTGGAAGGTCTCGCATATGGGTACTGGTGTCACATGACATTCTCGGGTACAATACCCTGTTTTCATACAGTATTACAGTGACTTTTTTTTTAACACACAGCCCCACACCCCCTTGATTATATAATATAATGCCAGTCAAAAACCTACATAAATTCATACCATGAATCTAGTATGGTGTATACTATGTAAAACCCCTGGCTCTCAATAATAGCTTCCACCCAGTGTGGTATTGGCGCAGAGAGATACACCTGATACCACAGCTTTGCTTTATCATATACCTGCTGCGCAGTAGCCACAAAAATCTCCTTAGTGTCAGTGTTTTGTATATACAGTTTTCTATACGTTTTAGGTAGGTGGTATATTCCTATACTGGCGGTGAGCTAGGTAGGGTAATAGGTGTGTTAAAAACATCATTATATCCACTGACTGTATGGTCTGTAAGATCAGTACGATTAGTACTTTTGTATCTATATACAATTGAGGCGCAGTCAGAACCTGTTTATACCCGGTTCGCCGCCCCCTGTAAGTTTTATATAGGATTTGATTTGTTGGGGATCTTCTAGATCGTAGACACAACTGGCTTAGCCACTAGAAACAGGGTAAGGTCTAGGCCGTTATAGCCTTGGTATACACGAATAGGGTCGGTCAGAGTTGCTTATTGGGTATATTGGTATATTGGGTATCAGCCGTATATTTCCGAATGAATACATGTAGTGAATAGAAAATCGGTGAATAGGTACTTTGTAGATAGATGAATATATAACATACATATGTAGGTAAATAGTCTAAATAGAACAATGTGAATAAATATTCTTATAACGAAAATCAATGTCTTATAAGTATAGAAATAGAATCAAATAAATAAATAAATTATGACGTGTCGCAGATATTTGAGACTGATCCAAAGGTACATGATCTGCCCATATAATTAGTATTAGAACAACAAGTATCACATCATAACTCCACTCCCTTCCCCCCCCCCCCCCCAGGCACCTTTCTCTCCCATTCTTCCCATTCTCTTATTCTTCTCTCCCCTTTCTTCCCCTTTCTCTTTCTTTTCCTATTGATCTCTTCCCCCTTCTTTCCATTTTCCCCCTATTCACTATTTTCCCATTCTCTTTCTTGTACTCATCCTCCATCTTATTAATAGATTTTTTCTGCCTTCCGTAATCACCGGTCGCGCAGTCGACGTCCATTCCTTTTCCGTAATAAACTTGGAACGCATGGACCATCTGCCACCTAATCCAAAACCATCTCTATGCACTCACATGGCATGTTTCGCCTGCTTCCCTGGCCCTCTGCTATAGGGAATAAAGTGGAAGAGGTCAAAATGCTGGCCCCAAACTGCACAGACATCAATACTCTGCTGCCCCAGCTCAAGCGCAAACGCTCCGACTCCGACGCGACCGATGCGCCCGCGCCGACGAAAGTCTGTTCGGATTCGATTTCTACGCGCCCATCTCCGGCCGTGATCGCAACTGACTCGGTCTCGGTCGCTCCAACCCCCTCTACTCCAACTACCTCTTCAAACTCACCGGTCACGTCCACGCGACAGCCGGCGCAGGCCGCCGTCGTCGCCAGACCTAGTGTGACCCGACTTCGGGAAACTATCACCGCCCAGCTGAGCTTGGAGGTGTTGCTTAAGCACAACGAACTTCGCCTTATTGACCAGGAAATTGCCAAGTGTCAAGTCGCTCTGGAACAGCTGCGACGTTGTGGCGAAATCCCTTATCCCGGATCCCGTGTTACGGGTGTCTCGCCGGATGTGAGCTCGGGAGCGGGCGCGTCAGTGCTGGCACCTGGAAATGGTCCGGCTCCGATGTCGCCTGCTCCCTGGGGTGTAACGGAAGGCCCTTACGCCCGTCACTACGCACGGTGGTTGATTCCCGACCCTCGCTTCGACGGTGGTGAGGTCGACTCTGGGATGCTAGCAGGTTCGCTGGTTGAGGGTCGATCGACGCGTGGGAATCCTGGCGAGATGGGTATGCTTGCAGGCAAGACTCGCCCCCAGCGAGGCTCGACTGGCGCCAAGCATACCGCATTGTCGACTGGCTACCCTGTCGTCAAGGAGAAGTCCGGGCCGATGCTCATTCGGCGCAAGTCGGATGGTGTCCTGGTCAAGCTGGTCTGTCTGGACTGCCGGCGCGATAACTTCTCCAGCACTCAGGGATTTATTAACCACTGTCGGATTGCGCACAACCGCAACTTCGCCAGCCACGACGCTGCTGCCATGGCGTGTGGTCAATCTGTTCAGGTGGACGATGCCGGGATTGTGGTCGGTGGCTCTGCTGAGCCCACTGCTAATCCAACAACCCCAGGCTACGTGCACCCTCTGATCCGCTCTACCCACGTTGCTACGACCCCTTGGAAATCTCTTCATACGCCCGCCAAAGACCTTGTCACTCCCCGCAAACCGACTACGGCTGCCACATCCGCTGTTGCCACTCCTCCCTCGACTGCTGAACCGGCCTACCGACGACGCTCCGAGCCCATCCGACAGCCTCCGAACCCACAATTTTTGGCTTCACCTGCCACTCCTCATCTGTCCGCTCTCATGAAATCACGTGGTGCTGGTCTAGACATGGAAAAGCTGGTAGAAGAATCCCGAAAGCCTGTAGATCTTAGTGGTCTCTTCGACGATGACTCGGAAACCGATGACTCTCGTGTGCCGTCCGCGGGAGTCAGCCATGCATCCCTTGGTGCTCGCGCCGGTCGCCAGCCTATGCGCATGCCTGTTGGTCAAACCCCTGGAGAGTCCGAGAGCCGAAAGGCCCTCGACCGCGCACACAGTCCGCCCATGGAACAAGCAACTCCGTCGCGCCCCAAGACCTTTTTGGAGCTTTCGCTTGCTGGCCAGTCTCAGGCCCGGGAATCTGACAGCCTGGATCATCAAACCCTCAGTCCTCATGCCATCGAATCTAACCAAGCCCCCAGCTTGGTCAGTGATGATGAAGATGATTATGAGGCAGCCTCTGACTCCGACAGCCCTGCTTCATCCGAAGCAGATGAGCAGGAGCAGGAGTTCCGCCACATCCAGGTCGAGGATGACGAGCGTGCCGCTGCCCCGTCAGCTGCCGCTGAAGCCAAGCCAGGACCGTCCCTCGCGAGTCCTGCGCCGCAACCCGGGCCACCTCTGTCCCAGCCATTGAAGCGCAGTCGCTCCAAGAAGATCTCCTCCATTGTCCCATTCAGTGACGACGACAATCAGCACGTGGGCTATCTCCATTCCACCTCCGCGGAGAATGCTGCCAAGGCTAAGCGTGCCGCCGAGCGCAAGCCCAATCCTTCTAAGCGGTAAACCCGCAAATCAATACTTATTATATGAAAAAAAACTACCCAAAAACTTTGGGGTACAACACCCTAATATTAACTTATGCGCCCATCCGATCTGTACTGCCACTGTTTACTCAGTGCCGTTGCCGTTCCGACCTCTCATCTCTTCTCTTGCCCGGCCCTCCCTTCAACGGTAGACATTGTGTCTCCTCCTACTTCTCTCTCCACCCTTCACCATATCCTCTACTTCTCCCTACACCTACCCGTCATGTCGAAACACAATTCACTGGAATAACCGGCCATCTTGACGATGGCCCGTGACGCATGAATTGCATGATGATCTGACGACTTTCTTCTGTCTCCCCCCTATCACCATTTTTATTCTTGTGATGCATGCGTCTCTCCTGTATCTGATATCTGCTTTTAATCAAGACTTGACGGCCATGAATTTGTACATAGCGATGAGTTTGAAAAACAAAACAATGCGACTGGTTTGGCATAGAAGAGTGGTTCTGAATAATTCAACTTGAATATGTACGAAGTAGTAAATATCGTAACCAGGGTTAACAGGGGCAGATTGTGTGTTATCTACAACGGTGCACTTTACTAGGTACATAAATATCTCTTATCCCTAAGTAATCAATCATATGCAAGGCACATAGTACGGAATGTATGTACCTAGACCTAGTACATACTTTGTACTACAGATCTACAACTAGATCTGCACCATTTCACCCTCAAATCGTCTCCACTAAGCTCCAGCCGCGCGTGGCTCAAACAAGACACCTATGTATATTAAGCGTTATGAATGAAGTGAAGATGGCGCATTATTCGTATAGGGACTTGGAGACACTGTATTTGGTACTTAGGATTGGGGGGAGCTGGATTTTGGAGGATCTAGGAAGGATTAGGCGATGGAGTTCGACTGGGGTAAATTGTATGTACGACTTGCCAGGGGCTTCGACGTAGAAATGGCTATAAAAAGCAGGACGATTTTGAAAGCAATTAACCTGGTTTTATTGACAAAGTGAAGCAAAGCAAGTCAAACATATCCCCATATCAAGCCAGAGGTCACTGCGTCGAGTCACTCCTCTAAATTTCCGATACAGGTAGCGGAAAACATGTAAAATGTACTTTTCCATTGCAGTGTCTTTTAGTTAATGTTATCATATCAGAAACGTGATATCTTCACACATAGGATAATACAATGTATTTTCGGATATCTTGTTGGATGCCTTTTGAAATGCCTTTCTGTCGTTTCATTTTACATTTTGAAACATGAACATAGGTGACCGCAGAATGCATGCGGTGAAAATCTCATAATATACAGATTTTATCACTTAGCTTCTTGCTTAATCCTCTTGCTGCGCCTCGTGCCAAGCTCACCAGAATCGCTCTTTGATTCCTTTGGTAGCTGGCTATTCGCCGACTCCATATCTTTCACAATATTTATACCAGTCTCGTGATCTTGACTAGCATAGTAATCTGAGAAAGCGATATTGCGAAGCACATAAGCAGCCCTCTCAATATCGATAAAAGATACAAGTCCATCTCCAGGCTGCTCTCCAGCGCCGCTGTTTAGCCGTGCCCGTAGCTCCTGTGACGCATTCCATAGATCTCGATACTCATTTATATTGTACTTGGCAATCAACTCCCCATTGGGCTTCTTATGTTTAGAAGGCTTCTGCTCCTTGGAACCCGGGCCCTCTGGGAAATCCATCAGACATAGCCAAAGGTACACATCGTCGCTGTAAAAGGGGACTTGTTTCTTAGCATCACCAAAGACCGTAGCAATAGATAAAATCAAAGACGCAGTAGCTGGACCGACACCACGGATAGGCGCAGTGAGGGCGTCCAGACTGGCTTTAGGGAACGCTTCGTTTGGCGCAACCACAGGATCCACTTCTGGCAGGGCGGCAAAAGCCGTAGATGTAGACTTGGTGATCGTCGCGACTGGGTTGCTTTTGATCATTCCCATGAGCATGGGGCGGGAGACTCCATGTTTCCTATAAGTAAGTTAGACAAGATCCGAACCTATAACACTTCTAGGTGATTATTACTCACGTCTTCCATTCCATGATATCAATTAACTCTTCTTTGAGCAAATGCGCCCCTTCCGGCCCACTTGCTTTCTGGCCATTCTCATTCGCCCGCTCCGCGATGATTTTGGGCAGAGCTTCATATCGCCACCGGTCAAGCTGGAGGAACTTATCCGTCTCTTCGAGAATGTGCTTCTCCTCGGAGGGATCGAGCTCTGCCTTCGTCGTCGGCGCTGCGCTGGTCTTCGTCTCCGCCTTGCGCTTTGATCCCTTGCTCGCTTTAGACTGCAGCTTTAGCGTCATCTTGCCGCGGTGCACTCGCTCTACCGTTGAAGGGTAGTGAGACAGTAGGTTGCGGAAGGTTTTGAGGGTGATATGGTGCGGGTGGAATGATACATTTTGTTTGTTGTCATCCTCGCCGTCATTGGAGTGGTCTTGGCTTTTCTCAGAGTGGACATGTAGTGTCCTTGCTTTTGTTTCCCTGACCATAGCGGAGGATTGCTAATGCAAGGCAATTCCAACCTGGACAAGTCTGTTTTTGCGGAGACGTTTGACCTAGCAAGATGAGGGTGCAGGTATTGGAACCTGGTTCCAAGGAAGCTTCGTCTATATAAGCTGTTATCGTAAGGGCTGATAAGCTATTGTAACGCTAGTGTTATATACTGTATTTTATTTTGTAATGCGTAATTTAATATAATAAATTACAGATATAAAACTTCAAGATTGGTCTACGATGATGTGGAATATCATACATAACTCATAGGCTTCGTGGACGGCAAAAAACAAAAACATACAACAGTGAGGATTCGCTGGTGGTCACCCACCCAACTACTAACTCACCGGCGTGTGGCTTAAGTACGGCTGAGCGGACGGGAAGCCCTGTTTTCCACACCCTATGGTCGTATGTACCGGATATAGTAATAGACAAAAACATAAAGTACAAATGGATAGCTGATGGGGAGAGAACAGATGAGTGAACGCTGCTATAACGTTGGGCGATTAGGGGCGAGAACGGTGAGTGCAAAATTGCAACTGCTAACAATAAGGCCATAAGCGTACAAAAATCACGAAAACTTATAGTATGAAGCTTTCAAACCGATATCACGGATTACCTCTTTTCTGCGCAGCTTTGGCGATTGTGCGTGGAGAGAAAGAAAACATCCATATAGCCCACTGAAAGATCAAGAGCAAAGTAGGAAATTGAGATAGTTGGCTGGCGAGATCTTCCAAGTCATTTCCTGTATGCTTTCGACTGACATTGACTGATTTTGACGTCGCCATCGTCTGAGTTCGGGATATTTCCCCTCTTATCTCACTATTCTGCTGTGTTTCATTTAGGGGTGGCAGACATTGTGACATAATATCGCCTGTATTACTACCGTTTAAGGTGGATGATCCAGAAGGCCAGCTAGAAGCCATCATTTCTACATCGCCAGCAGATGTCGGGATTGACGTTGTTCTTCCGCGGTGCGAACTAGATGGTATCATTTTTGGTGATCTGTGAGCGAGCATAGCCGCTGAGGGTTGATGATCATTGCTTCGTGGCTCATCTTCAACCATCTCCTCTAAGGCTGGCGCTAGGTCGTCAAAGGCTTGTGGTGTATCCTGCTGGAACGATATAGGCATGGAGTCGGGTAGCTGCACGCGAATATTCTCCATATTGAGGCGCTCCATGCTTAGTGACAAGCCCTGCGCAATCCGATCCAGTCGCCGCGTCTGGTTTGTTGTCTTATCTGGGTAAACGCGTATCAGCGCGGTGCCCTGGTCCTTTTTTGTCTTTGATGGAAATCTGAACAGTTGTTTCATGTTTCCTTTGAACTGCTCCGATCTTCGTTGAAGTTTGCCTTGAATATCGATCCTTATGTAGAATGGCTCCATGTCATGCTCAAAAGCAAATGCAGTATGGATCACACTGCTATGCTGGGATTGGGCTTGGTTGTCATCTTCGTTAAGTTCCCACTTCATTGTACGGTAAACGCTCGGTTCGGGATTAGGGCGCCTGTGATTGCGTCGTGGTCTTGAGCTGCCGATTGCGGAATAAGTGTGCTGGGATTGAGTTCCCGAGAGCACCTTTCCAGTGAAAGTCCATTGACTGGTTTGTTCAATGGACTTTTCATGGTCGTATCCCACACCTCCTCCGCCTTGCCCGAGAACATTTATTTCAGGTGTGAAACGCTGGGTCTCTTTGATCGTTACTTGAGTAGGCTTTCCCGCGAGTTCATGGGGACCGTAGTAGGGAGTGACTTGGAGGCAGCGCCTTGATCGTGTTGTTAAATCACTAACAGTATCCACGGTCGCTGGCGCCAGATACCCCGTGGAATCTTCAGCCAAACCGTGATCTGAATCTTGTGTAGGATGTCTTAATCGTGGCCGTGTTCTGGAAACCGTCTGTTTACGTTCTCTGTGTGGCTCTATATCCGACTCCTCCATAGTGATAGCAACCACTGCACTTGTCAGCTGGCAGTCTTTTGGCTGATCGAAGGTCAAGTCCATGTAAAGCACTGCAGCGGGGGTGTTCCCACCACCAAGGACGCCCCATTGAGTTTTTGAGAGGCGAAATCGACAATCAATTTGGACACGACCCATTTCATGGGAGCAAAGACTTGCATTAGATAAATGATCCAATGTGCTGAAGGTAGGGCCGCATTTGCGGGCGAATCGAGCGGGTCGATGAGGCCTCTGGGTATTCATGATTTTATGTGTATTCGTTTTCAATTGACGGAATCAAAGAGAAAGAAAGAAAGAAAGAAGAAGAAGAAGAACGCCCAGGAATGGTAAGGAAGGAATGACATCTGGGACATAATCCCTTAACTCTTATTTCAGGCACCCATGATCCATGTAGTTGAGGCGCCCGGGGTTACTGGTTGAGCATGGATCGTCACTGGAAGATACACAGCCGCGAGGGTATTTTTACGAGGTTTGCGCTATGAGGTGGTGGCTGAGACTGGGGGGCAGTGTCACCGTGCAGAACGCCATTATTATTATTTATATCACTCTCTCTCTCTCTCTCTCAAATAGCATTATCATTGTGGGCTTGCGCAACACTATTAATACTACTTTGGTATATTAAAGTTGTACCTTGCTGGGAAATATTCTCTCATTCTTTTACGGGCGTTTGATACTAAGCATAAGCATCATCGGCCAGTATGCTCGAAGTCACCGTAGATGGATCTGGTAATGAAAATGAAAACGGTACCAAAAGCGCCAACGACAATCACCACCACTACCGGAGTTTCAGAGCTCGGGAGCGCCGCCACCCAATGGACTGGCAAGAAGATGGGCCATCAGAGCTTCCACTCGCGCGAATTGAGCGACAGGGCCGAACACGCAGTCGTACGGACTCACCTTCCACTGCCAAACGCAGTCCCTCTTTCCGCCGTCGACGACCAGAATATATTCTATCATCAGATGATGAGCCGGAATACTCAGAAACGGATGTTTCGTTTTCTAACAGACCAAGGCACCTGAGGTCCTCGGCACAGAGCCATCATCCTTTCAATACATTGCCCACTGAAGCTTCACTACCGCATATACAGGCAACCTTGAGTTCTGATTCGCAAAAGGACATCACCTTGCATTTTGACCTGGATTTTGCGGATGATATCGAAGGGCATTTAGAGGAACTAGCGCGGCTGAAACGACTTGGCCACTTTCACGATGCAGTGGATTATTTCGCAATTAATCTAGAACAACATCTCAACCTCCCCCTTGTAATAATAGAATATGCGGACTTATTACAGGAACAGGGAGCATATCGGGAATTACTTGACTTACAGTCGCGTGGCATCCTAGAGCTACCCCAGAAAATGGGCTCTGGGGACACCCCAAAACTGTACATCTGGCACTTGGATGTAATTCAAAAACATGCAAAAAGTGCTTTTGAGGGGCTATCAAAGCGGGATATATCTGAAGGCACGATACCACAAATCCTTGAACATGTGGAGCAGTGGCTGTCCTTCCGACTTTCCAACTATCTTGATCAGAAGCCGGCTGACCCGGTGGATTGGACAGAGGTAGGAACCCATTGAGATGGGTCAAATGAGATGATTGACATAATTTGTTGACTCTGCCATTTTAACAGCTTCAACTTTTCCGGAAATTTCTCGATCTTTTGTCAAACACATACATTAACGATGTCTTGCCTCCGGATCGACCGTTGTGGACAGGTATCTACGACGATTTGCTAGAAGGCGAACGTATCTGGGACATCTCTGATGTGATTCTCTCTATGATCAATATGTACGAGCCGCAGCAGGTACTCATTGATCTGTTCAATGATCCTTTCGATCACGACACGCCAGAAGAAGACCAAGATCCACTTGCAAGACTACTTGAGGATCTGGAAAGTGACGAGTATGATGAATTGACCGAGCTGGCTATCTTGAGTATTTTGGTTGGGCTGACCTATGCAATCGAATCGAGTGATATGCCAAAGAACGAACAAATAATCACAGCCCGGCGATGTTTGCAGCATGCCAGTCTTCATGCCAGGCTTGTCGAGGAACAGAGTCCAGAGCTGACTAGGTCGCGGCCATATCTGCTTTACATTCTGGCCAAGGAACAGTTTCAACGCTGCTGGGGTGGCAATCGTTCATCTATGCGAGAAAGAAGACGGCCCGCGGTATATACCACCGGAATGGCGTGTGCAGTGGGTGGTATACCAAGTTATATCCCCGTCGAAGCTGAGAATCCAGGATGGCCATCCCCAGACCCAAAATTCCCACCCAATCGTGTGTTAGAAGATATCTTGCAATCTGCGCGCGAGCTTGGGGACTACGAAGTGGAGGCGGTATGTCTGATGGAGCTTATTTGCCGAGTGGAAGACCCGAAGCCACTACTTGATCAACTAGAGCGACTGCGCAAGAGCACGCAAGGATATTATACAAGCTACATCCAGACATGCATCTCACGGTATTTGTTGGTCAACGATAAAACTTCTGCTCAAAACCTCCTGTGGGATTTAGAGCAATCAACTTCCCGGCTTTGCACTGTCCCTGGGAAGGACGCTTTCCCGCCCTTTCGTTGGAATGAGCTCAAAGTCAAAAACGCGCTACATCTCACTCTTTCTGGACCTGGTAGGGATACGCACGAAACCATGCATTTGGCCAACGCCCTTCTTGATGATCATCGGGGGTTCCGGAGTTCCCCGTATACAAGATATCTTCGTTTTGAGGATGAAGAATATCCTCATATAGAGGTCGCTGGACCTTCTCGACCTGGCATTCGAGATAGGAAAATAAGCAGAACAATTCGGGGGGACAGGTCTTGGATACCCCGCAATGCCGCCGAGATGAATTTTGAGCAGAATACCAGAGTATCCAATCTGGAGCAGGCAATTCAGAAAGACAAGCAACAACTAGAAAGACCGCGCCCGCCGGGAGAACAGTGCACAGATCTGGTTGTGGCGAGTAAAAGGGGGTTGGCGAAGGATGAATATGAGAGAGAGTTCGACGATGTCTCGAATTCCAAAATGGTTTGGGCCAACGATCGGACTGCCCTGACCAAGAAGATCCAAGCTCAGACATAAGACAAACAGGACGAAGGCAGGTTTTTGCCTCAACATATAATGGAGATATTGAGAGTAGATGCTGAAGAGCATGAGGGATGAAGTGGGCACTCTTAAGAGCTTTATTGATGTGGAATTGTATGGCAACTCATATATAACCTGGAGGTTTTATTTATGATAATATATGAACTTCTATGACCTACCTCAAGTATTTCTATTCTAATACTACAGAGGAGATCCAGGCCCTAGGTGTGATAGTACACCGACTAATTCAGGTACTAAAGCACCCGACTTGATACATTTAGAATAAGGATAGGTTGGTACAATATTTGAAGCACTCTATAAGCAAAAAGACGATGTTGCAGATCGAATGTACAAAGTAGACTCTCATTCTAGGCTCTCGCTCAGGGGTTACTAAGCAAAAATATCACCCCGCCTATCGTACCAGCCACGAAAACCACTACCAGGATTCCAGCTCCTGCTTTGTCTGCCGTGGTGATAGGGGGTAACGGTGCAGGCGCCGCACTTTGCCTAGTACCAGCACTTGGGTCGCTTGTGGCATTTCCTCCCGTTGCTGTCGAGACTGGTTTTGAGGATGAGCCTAGAAATTTCACCATAATAGCACTCATCATCTGACTACCACTGATTGCATTCTCCATTTGGTTTTGCCCATCATACCCGCCATACCAGCGGTTACCACAGAGGTTTTGGTTGTCGCCAGTGCATGAGTTTGCAGCACCCACGGCAGAAACTTCGAGTTTTGGTAGGATCTTCTCCGCGAGAGAAGGGATGATCAGTGCAATATCTGCAAGCCATGACACTGTAAGACCTTTGAAAAGTGGGCCATTTGCGTCTTTATAACACTCGCCCGAAGCTTCGCATCGCCAGTCTGTGATCACACCTCCGTGTTGGGGTAGGAAAAATGTAGTAAACAAGGCGTCCATTAGATTGTTTGTAATGTTAAGCCATTTAGTATCGTTAGACTAAAACGAGGTCTGTCATTAGCATGTCAAAACAAGATGTGTAACTCTGGGTTGTTAGACGAGTGGGGAATAAAAGAACAATACTGACATAGGCATACATATATGCAGCACCAGACAGATATGTACCATAGTTGTAGGTCCACCGGGTGTGATCAGGAAGACTGCAGCCATTGGGGCCCCCAGTGCCTTCTCTGACACTATCCGCGACTTCCCATGTTTTATTATTGACCAGATTCACGGCGGTGGACCAGTCCCAGACTTTCTCGGCCCACACAGCAAAATTTTCCTTTTGTGTATACCAAGCGAGACGTGCAGCGAGCATAAAAAAGCCCCCGTTTGAAACCGCGTTCTTCATGGTATAACCGCTTTGCCATATTTCCTTCTGCCAGCGAAGACCACCTCCGCAAATAGTCGTATCCCACCCCTTTCCATTTGGTGCTACCTGGCTGTTGAAAACACCCTGTGCAAGGGTGAGCCAGGTGTCACCAGTTGGACGATTCGGAAATTTATACTCTGCTGCAGTGATTGCCGCAAGGCCCCAGAACATTTGGTCGTCGTTTCCCTATAGAACGGTCAGAATGGCGACTACATACTCACTCGGAATGGACACTTACTACGCCTACCGCCCACGAAGGTATGTAGTCTCCGTTCGCTCCTCCCTGGTGTTGCATCCCGACGCTGACTTCCTCGTTATAGGTTGTGTCATTCGTGGCATGCCAATAATTGAGACATGCCAGAAACAAAGCAGCTCCTGTCCACCAGGATCTTGAGATGAAACCCGGGTTGTCTGTCCCGTTTTCTTTGTACCATGTCATCATGTTGTAGGCGGCGGTGCTCCCGGCATCTTTGATCGATTCTACTCATTGAAAAGATAATGCAATTAGCAATTTAGCCTTCGGGGCGATATGAACATATCTCTTACCCTGATTGTTAATATCCAGGTTAAGCGCGTAGACATGAGTAGTAAGCGGTAGAATGCGCAAGGCCGCAATGGCAATATGCCCCGCACCTTGAAACCTCATTATCCTCAGGACGACCGCAGCTGCCGAGAAGGGCTAATGGAGCGATTCTTTTCTCGCCGGTGCTGTGTTGTTAAAGACAAGGAACTCGGTTGAACCTGATCAGGAAATTGGTCAGCCTAAAAGTAAGCGAAGCGAAGCATCAACCGTGTCGGTCGATTTCATTGGAGTGACTCAAGGAAGTGGGACCACTGGGATGGGGCAAAAACCCCGAGCATGTGTTCAATAAAATGATTCGTTGATTGGTTAATATACGGGGGCTTTAGGGGCTCCTATCATGTCCACACACAACCAGTCTTACCCCCTAACCTCCGAACGTGCTGTCCCCCACAACGGTCGCGCAGCGCTAACCGTGCAACCGTTACGATTTGCATAATCTCCCATTTGGTGTTATTTCCCACTACGATAGCAAGTCCGATGCAAGGAAGCGCCATGTATGCAGGGTGTAGGCTCTTCGGCCAGGTACCTTGCCAAGCGTTCGGATAGACCCCACAACTCAGTTAACAGTGTCAGCACTGCAAAGAACATAACTGGCCATGTGAATGACAAACTCCATTATGATATTAATTTCCCTTGGAGCAGCTGAATACAGTACGTAGTCTTACGTCTCATATTTCTCGACGTGTTCATGAAATAGTATACCACGTGGCGGAGTCTACGGATCTACTCTCGGCCCGTGGTGGTCCACGGGCCGCCCGGATGATCTTGTCATTTCTGGGCAGGAACATAATAAATGCGATAAATTACAACTTGATATCTCAACAACGGCCGTTTATATAACGATTTCCCTATAGACTAATGCTCTTTAGGTAATTTCTAGCTTCTCTCGCGAGTTTGGGAAATATATATGACTTTGTGATTGTAGTATATATACTTCTGACTTTTAGCACTGTAATTTTTAATACTGTAATGATGCACCTCTTCGATATTTTTAAGATTGCTACATAGTATTTAAAATTCTTATCAATAGCTATCTGTAGGTAATGAAATCAAACAAAAACGTGGTTGTTGAGATATCAAGTTGCAATTAATCGCATTTACTATGTGTTTGGGGGGTGGCCGGCTCGGTGGTGTGGCCGGCTCGGTAGTGAAATACGTTATATGCACTCGCAAAGTGGTCGATTGATGCTAGAGCCTATGCAAACCAAAAAGTGTTCTAAAAACGTACTCCGTTATCAGCCGCTGCTACTATGTGGACAGGGTGTTGAATAGTAAACTGACTAATAACAACATATCATAAATAACGCTAGTAAATATGCCCTCTTTGATCGACACCTTTGTTCCTCGTGGTCTCTATCCCGCTCCACCACTGAATCCTCACCCACATGTCCTCCGTACAAACTGCGATATTTTATCCACCAAAAAAGTACATCAATAATATGGGGCATTTTTAATAATCGGCAGAATTGTATATAATAATGGGTGTAGGTCTCATTTTGGAGTGGTCGTTGCTCTCACCGAGATTGAGCTCGAGGAAGCCGGGGTCGTCGTAGCCGTTGGTCCGGGTTTTGTGGAGCAGCTTCCTGTGACCGTCGTTTGGGCTATCGCGGTCCAGTCTGTGTATGACGGGTTGGGCGCATTTTTCAGCGTAGCCGCCCAGAGGTTGTGCCCATTGTCGTGGAAACTGAGGGTGATATCAGAGGGACAGCCGGGGTTCCCGGGAGCGGGAAAGGCCTGGACCCATCCTAAGTCAACCAGACCCGCGCTCGTGGAGGCGTTTCCACTCGCACTGCCCTGAGTCCACTGCAGACAGTTTGAGCATCTGAATATCAAGGCGTAGTGTGTTGCATTGATGGTGGACGAGATTTGGGTTAGCTCGGCATTCCCAGTATAGGCGTCCGGCATGTGGTAGCCTGTGGTGTAACGGAAGGACGTGAGAATGGATCCGCCATAAGGGTAGGCCAGCAAGAGAAGAGAATCGGTCATTGTGCCCCCGAGCGAAACACCACACCAACCGGTGGAGGTAGCATTCTGCGAGGAACATAACTGCGAGACTGCTTAGTAAAAATGACAAGCAGAGTGGAAATTACAAAGGTGGACAGAGTCACGCACCAAGTAGCCGATAAATTCGGTAGCGTCTGTGGTGAGAGCATCAGATGGCAGGGCGATGCCAAAAGTGAACCCTCCCTTGGTCAAGCTCTCCGAAACAGTCCAAGTATCAAAGGTGATATCTGTATCCGGGTCCGTGTATGCCACCGGAGTCCCGCTCTGGGCCATAGATGTTGACAAGACTGGATTCGACCAGGTCAGCTAGCAATTCACCCATCTCTCAGCAGGAAGAGGCAAGAGCTTACACGGCATAATGGCCGCAACTGCGGCAAAAGCATGGGCAAAAAGTCTCATCTTGCTATTCAGCTTATGACTTCAATCGCAGTGTCTAGCACGCCAGTATCAGGAGAGATTTGCGTGCGACCACAAACGGGGTTAATAGGCATCTTTAATGTCGAGCACCACTGGGGCCTCCCCGCAAGACCGATGCCTGATAGATCTGCTAGACGTCACTCTTCATCCCTGCCCCTTTTGTAACCTTGATCCACCACCCGAGGACAGACAAAGATCGACAGCCGGCAGCATCATATGGGAGGGTTGCTTAATCGGGCTGACCTTGCATTAAAAATGGAACTGCAACGACTGGTGTATGCACGCCGTTGGCCCTCGGCAGGTCATTTCTTCAGGTGACCAATACACTCACTAATGAAGGCAAGAACAGGCAGACCGCTGGGTATAGTGACTGTTATCTGAATATGATCAAGAGTGACAAGAAAAGGGATCGGCAGGGCGGTCTCGGAGGTGTGTTTCCCTTTGATTGAGATCTATAATAGAAGAGGGCACCAGATGCCATGAAATGACAACAGCCCGCTCGTTATTGGTCAAGCCCAATTCGTAGGGTAGCCATGGCAAGAGCCGTTGTGGGGGAGGTGGGGAGGCCTAATGATTTGATAGCTCGCCGATGAAAGGCCGCGTGGTGCAACATTAACGGTTAGGAGGCGCTAGGTATCATCCTTGTTAACCTCCGAGGTTGCGACTATCTATCGATAAAACAAGGCGGCGATCCTTATGTCCCCGGTAAAGGCCCGATGAAAATGCGATTATCAATTGCCAATCACCAATTGCCAATTACTAATTACCAATTGCAAATTTTCTTTACTTTTTCCTTCGGCTACTTTACAATTTAATGAATGGATGATTTTATTTGCCCTAACTTTCACCAAGCTGGACGCCAGCCCAAGTGATACATATGAGCGGTATGGCTCCTAACCGGCTTATGTCTTCCTGGAGCCAATGGAGCTGGAGGACTAGAAAGTGCTGACAGAGAGTTGGAGCATTAGTTAGTTAACACTATTCATATACAGGGCTAGGTAGTTAGTCGTCGCAGGGTTGTTACGGACCCACAGGTCGCAACTGGCGAGAAACTCGCCCTTCCAACGTAAAGGAATTGGCCCGCTTAAAAGGTCAAGTTAGGCTAGGTCCTTCTTCGAATCAAGGCCAAAAGGTGTACTGTAGTCAAGGGCAAGAGCTAGAAGAATATAATCAACTGCGAGCTACAGCTTTCTAGTATCTCTAATCCCGATTCCGAAGCCAGGAAAAGTAGTTAGTGCGTGAAATTTGGCATGAGCTACCGTTGGTTGTGGCTTGCATCCCTGCCTCACACTATGCTTGGGATCTTTGATTGGTTTATAACTCTTGATTCAATTTCCACTCTAATTTCCAAGAGGCTGTGGATAAAGGGAATAACACCAGGTCGATATACTGTATGATAGAAATCAAGGTGTGAGGCTAAAAACATACAGGTCACTTAGCACCCATGGTTCGGGCTCGCCGCTCTACCTATTCAGCCCACGAAAGGTGCACGTATCCCATCCATGGATGGTAGCCATATCATATTAGTAACTGCGATTATCGTCATAATTAATAATAGAACAAATATACAGAGGCCTTTTGGGACTTTCTACCTCTTCAGCTGTGAAAATGATGTCCTTTCAAGATGTTCTTCCTCCAACTACACGGAGATACAGATATGAGGGATACCATCAATGTCTTGAGGTTTTGGAACAAGAGTCCGAGAGATTGGAACGTGAAGAAGCTCCACTCGGATGCGCATATAACCCTTATTTCATTATGGATATTGACGAACGCTCCTTCCTCGAGTGTTTTGTAAATTCGGGAGATAAACTACTGATGCTATCATGGGAAATCTACGATCATGTCTCTCAGTCCGCTCTGTTAAAAATGGAGTCTTCAGCCCACGCCGTTGCCGCCGGAGCGTTTAACACCATCTTCTCTGCCTGGGCCAGAAGAGTGGCCGACCCTCTTCTCTCTCCCACAAGTACGAGAACTGTCCGCGGCCAGACACGAACCAAGAGAGCCGACATCTCTTGGAGCCCGAGAGAGATGCCAAATGGCCGATCGCATAAGTGGCCAACTTTCGTTGGCGAGGTTGCGTGGTCGGAGCGTCGCACCAAACTCCAAGAAGACATCAAGTTCTGGCTGGACGATCCAGATAGTGCCGTTAATGCTGCCATCACCATCAGTGTGCTCCGCGATAAGATAATGGTGGAGAGCTGGGAAAGGGGCTATGACAAGGCTCCATCGCCCAACCAAAAAATTCAAATTCTCCGCAACCCCCGTCCAGGCTGTTCTCAGGTCAATGGCCAAATCGAGATAAAATTTTCGGATGTCTTCTTGAGAGATAAGAGAGATGGGGAGAGCGATTTCCTTCTGACGGCAACGGATATGGACGAGCTTGCAGGTCACATCTGGAACTACCAATATCCCGGGTAGGTAATGGGCTTTTGATACCCAGATGGTGTGTACTCATTCTTACTTGTCATTCCCTTACTCTATCCCTCGTGTCATTCTTTTGTTCTATTCTTCGAATCATTGCTTCCTTACTATCCATAACTTTTTACAGCCATTCTCCATGATAATCGTCGATTCATGACTAGCTCGTTAGAGGACGAAAATATCTTAGTTAAAAAAAAAAGTACCACAAAAATCTTTTGTGAGCCGCCGTGTTCCGCACGGTCTAGCAATTTTATTTTCTGTAATAAGTATCAACTCTAGAACAGTTTGATAAATTGATAAACCCAAGGATACTGTCATGATAAATGCTAAATACCATGATATATCCTCTGACCAGGTCCCTATAGTTGCTAGTAGGTGACCGTAGGAGTGTGTGTGATATGTACCTGAATAGGTAGCTATCCAGATGATAAACCAATGTTTACGGCGAAGAGCAACCAGAGGAACAACAGTGTAGAGTAGAGCTTAAAGTTGAAAGAACATTAGCCTCGAACAAAGAGAACTGGTGTGAACTAATAACGAACGCTTACCTTCTACCAACTACCCCTAGGTTTCCTTCTCCTATCCTCCGCTACTCAACAACCTGCACTAGTTTTGTCTAGTTTGCAGACAGACATTACCGCGCGCCAACGTCCAGCGCACCCCACTACACTCTCTACCTATGTATATTCTACAGACATGATTTCGCGGCCTACCCACCAAAGTACGTATATACCTAGGTTGTATGCATGGTGCTTGTGCTACGCCCATCTCTTGGAACATGGTCTCGAAAAAAAAAGGAGAAAAATGCATACCAAAAATCAGATTGGCGCGGAGAACCAAAAACATAGGTACAAAGATATGTCAAATGTGTAGCGGTTATGTCTACCACAAAGCAACAAAAAAGTCAAATTTGTTCTGCTGGCCAGCCAGCCTTCCTTCCCCTTTCTCCTTCCAACGAGCAAAATACAACGTTGTATACACCATGCCAATTTGGTCTCTACACCTTTGGTACCACTTTCTCTCTGATCTCGCATGCCCGAATGCAGAAAGCCAGTAAGATCTGCCCAAGTGAGTCCATGTGGTTATCCTTTGAAATATCGAAAGGTCCATATTCGTTCATTTTCAGAAAGCTAAGTTCAGCCGACGAGCTCTGGCTTGGGGTAGTTGAGGGGTTCTTGACCAAGGAAGTTGACAGCTTCGGGCTTGGAGTGGTATCACAAATATAGTGTACATACCCAGCATCGAACTCCGCGAAGGTCAGATAAATATATTGACGGTCCTAGGAGACGAGTAGACGACTATTGAGGCATCTACTATCAGCAAATCTTCACCCTTTGGTTCTCTCATAATGGTAGAGAACGTCTGCAGACTGAAATAACACACCTGAATGTGCCGCCTGAAGTAAGCTCAGAAGGTGTCGGGGGATGCTGGGAAATCCATGCAGCCATATGAGCACTCTCCTGCATTCGGGTGGGGTTTAAATCGGGCGCTATGTCACGAAGAAAGGGCTTGACTTCGACGATAGCTATTATTGGGTTATCTGGGTCATCCTGATAGCGAAGAAACCCATCCACACGCGCCTCGTAGACCTTTTGGTCCTTATCTCTCTTCACTACCAAGGCGCGGCACTCGGATGTCCAATCTGCCCTGATACCACTGAAATTGATCAGCAGCGCTTGAAGATAAAGAAGTAGTGCTATGTTGACAATTTGTTCGTCACTGATACTCTTGAACGCGGGACCAAAATCTCCGGTGGGCGGACTGAGAGGCGAAAGGTAGAAACCATCCTCTGGGCTCTCGGAGCTTTCATTGTCATCATCAATGGAAAGGTCCTTAAGGCCAACTATTGCCTTGTCGACCATCCTGGAATCATCAGATGCTGTCGCTTTTCTTTGAGAACGTGTCGGTGTAACAGGGTTGCCACCCTTTACCTGAGCATCACCAGCTAGATCCTGGCTTCTAGTTTTCATTGGTGAAAACTCAAGCTTGTGGATAAACATACCCTGAGATGGATTGATGGAATTAGAATTGAGCTGGTATAGACAAACCAGTGAAAAAGCGCCAAGAGACGAGAAATTATTTTCCCGGTGCCATGCCAGAGTTTTAGAGGCAGTTGATATGTATCGCGTCCAGCCAGGCATTGCTTTCAGGTGTTGTCGAGCGGCTTGAATATTTTGCTCTGTGACTCCCCATCTGCCACGCTCGGACGGGCTTGATAGTTTGGTGGCTTGATTCGTCACCCATAAAACCCGGAGAAGGAGAAATTGTCGCCAATTGATTTTTGACCCGGAAGCTGGAGACTCGAATGAATGAATTGTCTTGTTCTTGATTTTCGCGGCCTCGACCTGGTTCACCCAATAAATTTTATTACTTGGTAGCTCTGGCATTTTCAGAGAAGAAAAAAAGGATGATAGGAATTGATAATCTAGAAGTGAGTAGACAGGATGTTAAGATGACATAGGCACAGCTTTAACCTGGGAATCAGATAGATCAAGATGCATTCTGCAGCAAGATATAAGTAGTGGCGGTCTCTAACTAGTTGGAACGTATCGAGTCATCATGTTGACTTGGAGCAATTGGAAATTTCAGGAGACGCATAAGGGTTGTGAATGAAAGCCCAGTATTAAACAACAAGATGCCACTATCACAATCCGGTCACAATTTCTCAAACATGACCGTGATGGACTGGATGGAGCTAGTAACACCAAACAATCGACATTGCGGGTTAACCGCGTTGGTACAGCGCGAGTTACAATTGTAAGACTAACTACGGATGGGTATATCTAGCGATACGCTAGCTATAGTTTCTTAAATATAAGCGTGATTAGGTGAATAGAGCTAATAATACCAAGTAATCGGCATTGTAGGTTAACCATGTTAGTACAGCGCGAGCTGAAATTGTGAGCGTAACCATGGAAGGATATATATAACGATATGCTGGCAGCAGTTGTTGATAGATTTAAATAATGAGAGTTACTATACACCCTATAGTTAACTATACGAACCCCTTTACATAAGTACCTAGGTAGGTCTAATAATACTAAGCAATCGACATTGCGGGTCAACCGCCTTAGTGCGGCGCTGTTGCGGGGCTATGTACTACATACTGAGGAATTGAGTGATGCACTCAACGCCTCACTGTCCACCTCTTCCCCAATTGTTCTCACACACATTCCCTCTCTTTGTTTTCTTTTTCATGCTATGCTACATCATAATATAATCTACTTGACCTAGGATGGTATTCGAGGTGTTGAATTGAAAGTCTTCTTTCAAACTTTTCGGATATTTTTTTGGAGGCTTGTTTCTACTTGATACCCGTAAGTCGTACGCAGTACGTAGTACGGAGTAGAACAGCAATCCGCGATTTACAAAACAGTTTCGCAATGTATAATACGACATGATATGAAATGATCAAGGGCATCAAATTTAGAGTATTGTAATAGAGCGATGATCTATGATTGATCTATATCACGCTTGATGATTGTCTGCCAAGTAAAAATTCAACCTGGGCGGCTGCTCAACCAATTAACTGCCTGCGCGTACCCAACACCAACCATCACCAACCAACCATCACATCAACAACAATAACAGCAAAGCGCGTAACGAGACCGATAAAAACCTTGGGACAGCCTCGCAACATTAGTCATAAAAGACGTCCTAAACTCAGAGCTCCCGTCCCTCTTTCCCTTTGTTTCCAGCAGGATAACACTTCAGTAAACTTCAACCTACCTCGCTAGCGTGACCATCTAACGCACAGCATGGAGTCAAGCACTACAGATAATGAACCCACAAGGACACATTGGGATGAAGGCCAGATCTGGGTCAAATCCTGTCACGCCGCTACTAGGAAGCTCCTCGCGCTCGTCCTCTCTCGGAAGAACCAGGAAAAATTGCATATCACCACCACTGAACTTAATTTAATCTCCGGTGATGGGAATGACTATGGCCCATGCTTTGTGCACCCATTTTCCTATGATAAAATGAGAGAATATGCGGTCCGTGAACAGCCTTGGGATAAATTCGACATCCACGGTTTGAACATCGATGATACCCCAGAATTATGTAGATACCGGGGATGGGTTAACGCGTGCCAGGTGATTAAGGGTCTACATTATTCTCTGGACAACTTTTTTGGTGATATTCCGCCGCGTGATATGTCTGATGAGGAGTAAGTCACCGAGTTCTTACATTATTTATAACGCCTTTATTTCTAATCGGTTTTACTATATAGCAACGAACTTGACTCCGTATATGCGCCCCAATGGCAATGGAATATCACAAGCTGGGCGAACGCAAAGGATACATCTCAACCCCATATCACCGCCTTCATGGTTGATTCGCAGCCCTTCCGTGCCAATCGCTTCAACTCGGGTGAGATATCTATTGCCTATGGCTTGATCGCTAAGCGCCGAATTGAAGATGGATATAATGACCACCGATACATTCCTATCATCATCATTTCTGCGTCGGGTTTCCAAGCCCGTATCCTTCAGATCTGGCATGACAAGCAGAACCCCGAAGCACTACAAGTCCGCTCGTCACCGATCATGGACTTTAACGGTGGTGTGCAAAATAACTTGGATGACTGGGTCACCCTTCTATGCTGGATTGCAGGAGATCCCGTCGGAGATACAAAAAATGGAACGGAAGTTGTTCGAGTCGTTGAGCGTGATGCATAGCGCGTTGCAAGACACGCTGGCGAAATTTTTGTTATTTTAGTTACGGAGCTCGGGGCAAAGTTCTATTATTTATTCTCTTTATTTCATCTTTATTACGTTACTTAGTAAAAGAAAATGCAAGAAAAAAAATAGGATACTCTACGTGAAGAGATGCAAAGTACGAAGTGAAGCCCAGGGGTCAATGAAGCGACTGCCATACTGCCTATATGTGCATAGTATCTGTTTAGTGGATAATGCTACTTGGTAGAACCACTTCCTGAGACAATCATTCTATGGTACACGATTATCATACAGTAATATTTTTTTGATATAAAGACAGCAGGACCTCAACGCAACACCAGAACTAAAAGATAACCCCTAGCGCGAGCCCAATGCAACCTAGCCAGCCGCCAATCCTCAAAACAGAAGCAGTCCCTTTTTCCGGACGGATGGAATTAACCTCCAGCCCACTATACGACTGCCTCGGCCGTCCGTCCTGGAAATCATTCTCAACATCAGATTCGGAGATATAAGTTCCGTCGTCGATATCATTACTACTCGTAGTCGCAGCTCTAGCAGTAATACCATATGATTTGGCATTAGCGCAGCTTTGTTGCAAGGTGGACTGGGCGTCTTTTCTCAATGGGTCCTCGAGACAATTGTTATAGCAGCTGAGTGATATTAGTGTCAATGTGTGGAATGTATAGAGGTAGGTGGTATATAGGGTAAGTTTTGGGAATTGCTTAGGTGGTAGTCGAGACTTACTTTACCAAATTCGTGCTACTAGTACACAGGCAGTTCCAGTCGTTCGGTTCGCAGTTCTCAAGGTCAGATTGCATTGATTGGATGCATTGCTGTAGGATTCTGTTGGTTTGAAGATTTAGTGTTTGGGCTCAGTTTGAAATCAAAATAACCGCCCATGAACGTGTATATATGGATCGACTCGACCTACTTTCCTGACGCACATGCAGTACTCACCACACTATCTGTTAATGTGGTTGTTTTGGCTGTGTCCGCTGAGACGAGAGCAGTGGCTACTACGACAAATGGAAGGGTGGATTTCAAGTAATACATTTTGAAAAGATTTTATATATCTGGATGGGCGTAACAAAAACGAAGAGGCCTTTGCAGGATGAAGGGGTATACTAATATAGGATAAAATGAAGCCTCCAGCTACATTTCTATTAAAGACAAAACATTCCACACCATAGGGCTACGATCAAAGAATTGGTGACCAACCGCGTTATACAAGAGAGGGTAGGCCAATGCGTTGCTGTCTAGGGGTGTGGCAGGGGAGCCCTTGACATGCTACGGCTCACTGACAACTAGGAGCTGATAGGGGGAAATACAACTGCATGGAGTAATTCTAAGCACCATATTGCATTCTTGGCTGCGACTTGCGGTTCAAAGTCCATACTATACCTAGGTACTGCATTCCTATGAGCCTGGTGTATGCTTCGCATAGGGAGGTTTTAGATAGACGCGCCAATAGGGAAGATTCCGGAATGTGGAGGATCGGCGGGTACCTGCAGATTAATTTGGTTCTTGTTTGGGCAGTTGGAGGATTGTATGCTATTGGTAGGAGAGGAAAGGAAAAGCGAACAGCAAGTTTATTGTTTTTTGTACGATGTTGATAATACAAAGTCATGATACCATCCTACTCTCAAAACAGTTTTACAGGTGGAATAAACAAATTTTCTATGATCAATAATTCATTGCAGTAGTTTTCCCAAAAGATAATCCACGAGGCTTACTCTGGGCGAGTCCAAGTGATCTTATTTACATCGAACCTATTTGGTACAGCCCTTACAGCCCCTTGGCCTGCTTAGCCTCGGCCAGAGCCTCCTTGAGCGCCGCCAGGGCATTGTCAACATCACCACGCTTGGGATCAGTCACACTGACACCCATGTGACCGAAACGGATGTACTTAGTAGCAATCTCCTTGTGCAGGCCAGCTGCAAAGATAACACCACGCTTAAGCAGACCAGGCAGGACATCAGGCGGGGACAGACCCTCAGGCAAGTACAGGGCAGTCATACCATGGGCCTGGCATTCAGGGCGGGAAGCGAGCTGCTTAAGACCAAGCTCGGCAGCAGCTGCCTTAACCTTATCGGAGACCTCGGTGTGGATAGCGAAGCGGCCAGGGACATCAGCGGTGATCTGGCGGAGAGTGGTGTGCAGGGCGTGGATGAGCTGGGTGGGCGGGGTAGCGAAGTAAGAGGGCTTGTTGTTCTCGTAGTTCTGCATGATGGGAAGCCAGTTGGCGATGGAGGCGTAGTAAGCGCCGGGAGGGGTCTTGCGTGACTGGGAGACCTGGATGGCACGGCCGGATGTCATGACGATGCTGAGACCTGGAGGGCAACCGATGGCCTTCTGAGAGGCTGTGACGACAACATCGAGATCCCACTCGTCGAAGGCGATCTCCTCAGAGCCAACGCTGCACACGCCGTCCACGACAACGAGTGTATCGGGGCTGACGCGGCGCACCAATTGCGCAACGCCCTTGACGTCCGAGAGTACGCCGGTCGAGGTGTCGACATGTGTGAGGGTGATAAGCTTGTATGACTTCTCCTTCAGGGCTTGCTCGATTTCCTCGAGCGAGGAGCGATCGCCGATGGGCGCCTTGAGATGAGTCACGTTGGCGCCGTAGGTCTCGAGGCACTTGCCGAAGGAGTCGCCGAAGTAACCGGTGTTGAGAACGAGGGCGTTCTCGTCACGCTCGATCAGATTGGCGGAGACGAGATCCCAGCCGAGTGTACCGCTTCCGGAGATGATGAAGGGCTGCGCGGTGGGGTTGGTGGACTGGAAGAGTTTACGGACGAGAGTTAGGGTCTCGCCGAAGACCTTGACGAAGCCGGGAGCGACGTGGCTCTCACTGGGGGAGTTAGTTCGTTATTCATTGTAGCATGATGTATTGTGACCTCGACAACTCACGCATAGTGGGACATAGACTCGAGGACGGCATCGTCGAATTCGATGGGTCCCGGGATCAGGAGGGTGTTGTGAGGGGCTTGAGCAGACATAGTGGGAGTTTGTTCTGGGAGAGGGGCAGGAGGGATGGAGCGATCAATGGGTTTATATTCGACGTCGTCTGAGAAAAGGGAATCTCTCTCGGTCGAGAAGGGAGTATTGAGGTCAGGTAGAGGGAGGCGCTGGTCCAGGTGTCTGGAAATCAGGCTCAGACGCTCAGTAGATTTGGACGCCATCCGATCGCGGCGAGCCGCGGGGTACTTCGCGTGAAAGGGGATTGGAGCAGTTCCCGAGGGCAACTTTGGGATTGTCGGGTATCGCCGCCGAGTTGATTGGCCGAAATACCGATTGGGGTGCGATGATTTGTTCACTCGGATGATAGTACCGAGGGCATGTGAGAGTGAGATGTGAAGGGGTTATTTATAAATCATTCTTTTCAAGGTCTACCAAGGGGTGGTTTAGGGGACATCGGAGAAAGGCCGGGCGGATCCTACCGACAACAGTCTACGTCGTACGCTGTAGGTGTTGGTCCTTAAATTTGTGGATATAAAATATTCTGGGGTATTCTGCAGGTCATTTGATATCATTCTATTAGCAATTGCTTGTAGTATTGATCTTATGATGTTGTACTGTTTTACTCCTGTTTTTACTGACGTTGAAGATAGGAGAATCAGAATACTACACTCTATGTAGACCTGCTTTCTGCATTGAATGTGTATATAATATCCCATCTATCTCATCTATTTGATATGCCAATCTCAATGCCGGTGTCTGTTCGGCAATTGCTACTCCATTCAACCGCCGAACCCCATTCAATGTAGTATGCCCTTTCTGGTCTCCGGTGACCTTGGGGAGTTCGGAAACCTTCGAGGAAACATGGGGTAGAGTATGGATTGGACTCGTCAACCCGAAAAGCATTTGGACGAGAATGTTCGGCCTGATCAGCCAATGCGAAACAAATAAAAGATCGGGATGGCTTCATACAATAGATAGCACTAGCCGCATTTGGGTACGACATAGGGCTTAGGGCATTTCTTAGTTGCTCTTCCCCGCGAAGCTCCAACAGGCTGAAGTCAACAGGCGTTGTTTCTATCTGGCTTGATCCGATTTCCGATCACCGTGCATGGACCATTGACCTCCATTTACCCCCACACGCACCATCCAGGATGACCGCCCGTTTAGTCTTGGTCATTGGTGACCTATTCATCCCTGACCGAGCTCCTGTAAGCTGTCCTCAGCTCAGCTTTGTTATCTCCGCTAACATACTTGTCTAGGATCTTCCAGCCAAGGTCTGTCTTTCTTCTGCGTCGCAATTTACTACGCCCTACTGATAATTTCTATCGATTCTAGTTCCGCAAGCTCCTGACCCCCGGAAAGATCGGTCAGACACTTTGTCTGGGCAATTTGACTGACCGCGAGACCTATGATTTCCTCCGCGAGGTAGCCCCGGACCTGCAGATGGTCAAGGGTGACTACGATGTCGACTCTCCCAATCTACCTCTCTCCAAAATTGTGAATCACGGCAGTCTACGCATTGGTTTCACCCATGGCCACACCATCGTGCCACCCGCCGATGCCGACGCACTGCTTATCGCGGCCCGCCAGATGGATGTTGATGTCCTGCTATGGGGTGGTACTCACCGCTTTGAGGCATTTGAGATGGAGGGTCGGTTCTTTATCAACCCAGGAAGCGCAACGGGGGCCATGAGCTCGGGCTTCTGGCCAGATGGCGAGGAGCCTACACCGAGTTTCTGTCTGATGGACGTAAGTTGCTCCGACAGATTCGGAGGATAGCTCATATGCTGACCCTGAATAGATCCAAGGTGATGTCCTTGTGTTGTACGTCTATCAGTTGAAGACTGATGCCAATGGGGTAGAAAATGTGGCTGTTGAGAAGGTCTCCTTCCGCAAGAACCATCCTCCGGCTTCGTGATGCTCCCCTTATACCTACAAAGTAGTATCCTTTTTTCCTCCTTCCTCTATGTAAATAATTGCCTTGTTGTTTGCCTGGCCATATGTTCTTCTCCTTCTCGCCTGGTTGCAGATCCTATGCTTTTTCAATTTGATACATGATACCTTGAATCGAGTCATTTTCTCAACATTGTCTATGTTGCCATCTATCTCTATGTGCTGGATTTTTTCACTCTGATTTTTATGATTTTCCACAAAACAGGGTTCACCCAATAAAATTGAATCTTTCGCTTTCATTTTGTGATTGTCGCGTGATTGTCTTTTGTGGCTTGTTTGCGCCTCTCCCAAACCATGGAGCTTTGGGGTTTTGTACTTATCTATAACATTGAAATTTATTATATAGCAGCCAGAAGCAAACCATGTCAATTTTGAATGAACATGATTTGCATTCCTACATGCTACAGCTCCTAACTATGTCCTATGTGTATGAATGTGTAATGCAGTAGCTGTATACACCGCCCGGCAGTACATATGTATACCGCCCATTCATCGCAGTCGGAAAAGGCGCTATTCCCAATACAGAAAGCCTCTCGTTGCCAAATCCCAGAACTTCAATTCTCTGCCGCCTAGAGGTCTAGAACAGAGGGATCTGTTTACTCATCCAAATCATCTGGGCAGTTCCCAATTCCAAGCAGCTTCATACCTTCGTTTTTCTATACCAAATTTGGTGCGCGAAGATCAAATCGACACTCGGAGAGCTTTGACTTGCTCCCCTCATCGGTATCCCCGGCGCGTCCACCGACCCTTCGAATACCCCCAACCTCTCAACACCTTTTTTTTTTGCCGACAAAATGGCTGCCGAAGGACAAGAGATCCCAGAGCAGATCAAGGGGGAGCAGATTCCATCCCAGGAAGATGGTGCAGATGACGAGGTAGGTGTATTCGGGGTTGTTCCGTTGCACTGAAAGCAATTCCACACTCTTTGTTCGAGATCTTTGGGTCATTTCTTTGACACCCACGTCGCATACTTTTTCTTATATACAAGACATACCCGCTAATATGATTGATTCATAAAGGAAGAGATTGAAGCCATGAAGCGACGAGTGGCCGAGATGGAATCCGAGGCTGCCAAGCTGCGCGAGATGCAAGCTGATCTCGACCAGCAGACTGAGAGCCTGCAAGAGAACAAGGAA